TTGATTGATTGTTACTCGCCATATGAAATTTGTTCATCGGTGAAATATTATGCAAGATCGTAAAATCTATCAATTTCTCTTATACAATCAGATGAAAATCATCCTCACGGATGTGACAAATTATTAGATCGTCTCTCCAAAAAGACGGTTTATTCTAGTGACATAATCGGGAAATATAATGTTTTCATAATGCAAGATCTCCGGCCTAGACGACCATAATTTATTTGAAGAACTTTTTTATTTGATTCAATATGTTAATTTTTCTTTAGATATCGTATGACTTTTTAATTATACAATATTCCGCATTAATAAATTAATTTTACTACACAGAAATAATACAAAGTATGAAGTAAAAGTATTCAAACATATAACTCAATAACCAACGTCCAACAGGAAACATGTACTACTACGTATGAATTAGTGAAACCCCGTAATTCTTTTATTAATTAATGCAGTACATATACTAAGTACTATTATAGTATGGTAAAAAACTAAAAACAATGCCTCCAAGATCAAGAAGCAATTCAGTAAGCCCTCAAGGAACTTGCCCACCAACCCCTCCGTTAGGCCACTTTCGCCACCGCCATCTCTACCTCCAGCAATGCCTCCAAGAAGCCCGCCAAGAAGGTGACTTATTTCGGGTAAATTTTCTCCGACAGAGGCCATGACAAGTATAGCCATGGTTATGAACACCACCAATAACTTTGTTAGCTGCGTCGTATGACTCATCGATCAGTATTCAAGTATGGTTATGTATATATTTCTTGATGTATGTATTGGAAATAAATACTGATCGACCGAGTTTTGAAAGATTAATTTTTATTTTTATTTTTATTTTTTGACGGAAATCGATCATAACAATTTTATTACTCAAATGAAGGAACTAAATCAGCCATTTCAATATTGAATATTTCACTAGGAACCTCCTCCATTCAAACTCTAAGATCAACAAAGGATGAACTCAATTTGGCTAGAGCGTGGGCAACACCATTACCACTTCGCTTGACAAAGGAAAAGGAGCACAATTGACACCCACGAGCTAGCTGAATTATATCATGAATGACCATGCCAAAGATCGTAGGGGGGGGGGGGGGGGGCACAACCCTTCGACAGATGGCTATATACCTTTAAGCAATCAGTTTCCAGGCATAAATTTCTGAATCCCGAATCCAAAACTATGCTCAGGGAATGTCGCAGCGCCAAAGCTTCAGCCACATCAACATCGTACTTACCTCTAAGGCAGAGACAAGTAGTCGCCATCACATCCCCCACAGCATCACGCATAACACCACCCAACCCCACTGAGTCATTACCATAAACCGCCGCATCGGAATTGACCTCTATCACTCCATGAACAGGTGGCCTCCATTTAGCCTCCATTTGCTGTTGCCTGTATTCAGACGAGCTCATGGCCAGCTGAGCTTGCTCATAATCTCCCACCATACTCACTGCTTTGTGGATAACATCCATCACATCCTTCCTTCTCTTCTCGAAACACCACGCGTTTCTACGAAGCCAAATGCCCCATAAAATAGCCAGGAATATGTTCCACCAGTGGGGGTCTTTATGATGCATTCGGATAGAACCACACCATTCACCAAAACCCAAACCCTCAAACTTATCCACCTCTAGTCGTAAAGGAGAGAGGTACCATATTCTTTTTGCATCGGGGCAGAGGGCTAGCATATGTAATACAGATTTGTTCTCAGCACCACACATTGGGCAAATGGGATAAAGGCTCATACCTCGCTGTATCAGACATTGCCGCGCAGCCACCGCTTCTTTAATGGCTCTCCAAGCAAAGTTTTTAACCTTGGGTGGATTGTCAGAGTTCCACACAACAGACCACTCGAAATTGCAACTAACCTTTGAGGAAGTAGCTATACCATTTTTATCCTCCATTGTCAGCATATTGTAAGCACTTTTCACCGAGTAACAGCCATCTTTCGTGAAATGCCACACCCACGCATCCTTTCTGTCATAGAGAGGCACAGGGATGTTGCGAATTTCATTCACCTCCATAGAGGAAAAACACAAACTAAGAGCTGCAATATTCCAGGAGTTGTCAACCCAAAGATCTCGGACAAACGTAGGTCCTCCGTCACTATCTGTTGGGCATGAAAGCACCTTAAAATTTGGGAGAGTTGGAACCCACGGGTCATTCCAGATGTTCACCGTAGAAACATTCCCCACCGCCTTCCTTGCGCCCTTCCAAAGGACATCTCTGGCTCCCATGATCGATCTCCAAGTGTAGCTTGAGCTCGAGTATACTTTGGCCTCCATTAAAGAAGAGTGAGGGAAATATTTCCCTTTAAGAACACGGGCCACAAGAGAATCCTCGTTTGTCAAAATGCGCCACGCTTGCTTACCAAGTAGAGCTCTATTAAAGTTTCTCATATTCTGGAATCCGAGACCCCCTTCCTTCTTAGACAAGTATAACTTATTCCAAGCAATCCAGCATAACTTCCTTTCCTCCCCTTTTTGGCCCCAAAAGAACTGACAACACAATATTTCAATCCCATCAAGAATACTCGTCGGGATTAAGAAACATTGCATTGTGTATGTAGGAATTGCCTGAGCAATTGACTTAAGCAAAATTTCCCGGCTAGCTTGTGATAGAAAGGTACCTTTCTACCCTTTTAGTTTCTTCCAAATTCGATCCTGAATATTATGGAACACTTATTTCTTGGAGCTACCAATGTAAGTTGGCAAACCAAGGTATTTTTCATGTCCTTCGACAGCCTTAAAGGATAACTTCATCTGAAGCATGTTCTTCCGTTCTTGCTCAATGTTTCGGCTAAATGACACTTCCGACTTGTCCATATTCAGTTTCTAACCAGAAGCCACCTCATAGGTAGAGAGAATCCCCATCACATTATCAACCTCTTCTTCCGTCGCTCTAACAAATAGGAGACTATCATCTGCAAAAAAAAAGGTGAGAAATAGGATTGACATTTCTCCCTATTTTCACCCCATGAGTAGAATTTTTATTCTCCGCATCTCTAAGGAGGGTTGAAAGTCCCTCCGCCACACATGATAAAGAGGAAAGGTGAGAGGGGATCGCCTTGCCTTAACCCTCTGCTCGGCTTAAAACTCCTTAACGGTTGCCCATTAATTAGAACATCGAACACCGCCGAACTCACACATCTCATAACCAACGTGACAAAAGATTTCGGTAGGCCCAATTTTATCATCATTTTTTCAAGAAAGACCCATTCAACCCTGTTGTAGGCCTTACTCATATCAAGTTTGAGCCCTAGATAGCCCCTCTTCCCTTTTCTCTTCTTTCTAAGATAGTGAAAACATTCATACGCCACCAAGACATTATCTGTGATCAATCTTCCAGGGACAAAACCACTTTGTGACTCATGAATAATGAAAGGTAATACTAACTTAAGACGATTAGCTAGTACTTTGGTAACAATTTTATATAAAACATTACACAAACTAATAGGCATATAATCAACAAGAGACTCGCATTCTTTTTTCTTCGGAATTAATACAATATGAGTCTGATTAATAGAACCTATATCACCATCATTATTCAAAATAATTAACACCTTTTCCACTACATCAATACCAACAATGTCCCAGAATTTTTGAAAAAAGATTGCAGACATACCATCGGGGCCAGGGGCCTTCGTCGGATGCATCTGAAAAAGGGAATTTCGCACCTCCTCGGCATGAAAAGGGGCTGCCAAGTTGCTGTAGTGCCGATCCGAGACAATTTTTTCCACCTTCTCAATGATAGGTTTCGGCTCAATGAGACTATTTCCAGCAAAAAGGCCTTGAAAATAGTCCACAAAGACCTCCGTGATTTGCTCCTCATCATCAAATTCGTTCCCTGCCTCATCTTTAATTTTTTTTTTATATTATTCCGTTCAGCTCTTTGCTTCGTTTTCGTAGGGAAGAAAGTGGTATTCTTATCCCCATGTTGTAACGAACTAGTCTTGCCTGCTTCTTTGTTTCCAGTACATCTTCTCCCTTCTCTTAAGTTCATCTATTCTATCATCAATTGCTTTCATTTGGGCCATGACTTCCTCAGTTTGGGTCTCATCCATGAGCTTCTCCATTTGTCCCCTGCAGTCCTGTAACTCTTTAATGAAATCACCAAACCTTTCTCTAATCCACGCACTTAACCTGGTCGAGGTGAATGAAATTTTTGAGCAAAGACCGCCTCCTCTCTCCCACGCCTCCGAGACAACATCAGCACAACTCTCATCTCGGAGCCACATTTCCTCAAACCTGTACAACTTTCTTTTTTTCTTTTTTTTGGTGTATTCAAGGCCTCCTTAATGAACAAGAGAATTGGAAGGTGATCTGATCTCCTCTTTGTGAGATGCGAGACAAAAGAACCCCGAAAGCACTCCTTTCATGCCTTATTTGCAAGAAACCGATCAAGGCGTTCTTGGATATTCTCGACTCCACCTCTATTATTCGACCAAGTGTAGTCATGCCCAATATACCCAAGATCCTCAAGGTTGCAATAGGTGGCAGCCTCTCTTAAAATCTCAGCTTCTTCGTCGCAGAAATCTCGACCCCCAGCCTTCTCAGTTGATTGCATCATGAGGTTGAAATCCCCACCACAAAGCCACATGGTCCTCCTCGTTCATCCCATAAGCTTTTTAAGAGCAGCCCCGTCTCCACCTTCTTACCCTCCTCTGGGTGGCCGTATATACCAGAGAACCTCCATCTCCCTTGATGATCAGAAATTATTTCTACATCGATATGGTTAAGAGAGTAAGACTTCACCACCACATTCATAGCACTCTTCCACAGCAATGCCAACCCACCTTTTCTCTTCCTACCTTCACCTTCACAGTTTACAACTAAGGCACAATCAAATTTTATTTTTTGTTTTATTTTTTCAAATTCAAAAACTTTCAACCAAGTCTCTGAAAGAAAAATTATTTGGGGGCATTCAAGGAAAACAATCCTTTTTAGAGCACTGACTGCAGGAGTACCCCCTAGACCTCTACAGTTCCAAGAAATTATGTAACTCATTGATCACCGAGAGCCCTTTGGGTGGGGCCCGCCACACTACTAGAATCTTGCACTAATGCTCTACTCTTATTGCTCTCTTCAATCTCACCCAGGTCATCACTTATTTTCATCTTCTCCCCCGTTAGGATCACCTCTCCCTCCATATTACGGTCCCCATCCCTTACGTGACGTTTCCAATTTTTCTTCTGGAAAGTCACTTTATTACTATTGTTTTCAACTACTTCAGAATGCTCCTTCCCCTGCCTCCCCTCCTCTACGTTCTTGAAGATGAAAATCTCCCCTCCCTACTTACTTTGAATGCTTTTTGTATTCCCTCCATAGAGTTCAACGCCACTTCTCCTAGCTTATCAAGTACTTCAACCACCTGAGATGTCTCAACATTTGTCGAGGTTCCTCTCTGCTTTGGCTTTGTAACAAAGAGGGTCTTCGCACATTGGCTATCTTTCCCCTCTAGATCGACCCTTTCTCCAGAAATGTACTTCCATGGTGAAGCCTTTAACCACGAGCCATAAGGTAGGACAGGTTCATCGAGGTCTTTATGTTTCTCACAATCTTTCACACCATGCCCCATCATCCCACAAAAGAAACAGAAGAGCGGTGGTTTTTCGTATTTTACTTCAAAAGCCTCTTCAATGCCACCTCTTAATTTCAACCTGGCCTGTTTAAACAAAGGCTTACGGACGTCCACAAGAACACGAATTCTGATGGATTTATCAATCCCCACCTTTGCTGCCGCATCTAATTTAACAAACATTCCAATTTTATTTCCTATATTTTCAATATTCGCAAGATTCAATCTCCCTTTAAAGGGGAGATTATAAACCCTAATCCACATTGGCAGGTGAAAAAGTTCAATATCCGAAGGTTTCACGGAGTCAGTAGTTTCTCCAAGGATCAAAGCATGACGATCAAAATGCCATGGCTGCTCATCTAGAACACGCTGCTTATCTCTCCAATGGTAAAATTGGAACAAAAAACGGTTTTTGCCAATATTCGAAATATCCACACCATGTTTAGGCTACCAAACTCCTTTAATAGTATTAATGAAAGCATTGACATTAATATTCCGATTAGTCCAGATATTACCTACCAGAGCAAGTTCAATACGAGCATCTTCATCATCCTCACCCTTATCATATATCCCATTCAATTGCTTCATTAGGGTCCTCCGCTGCACCGGTCAAACTTTCTCTACTCTCATCGCTTTCCTTCTCTTTCAACCTTAGAATATTATTACCCACCTCCTCCATTGAACGAGAAAAGAAATAATCAAGATTAAGTCACGAATATTATTACCTTGGCGTATGTAGGTTACTTAAATGAGAAAAAAGGGTTACTCTCTTACATAAATGGAATCATTCTTTGATTTTTTAAAAGAAAAAAATAGGAGTTACTCGAATGAAAAATGGGGTTATTTACTTGTTTCTAAATTAGTTGATATTACTCATATAATGAATTGGGGTTACTTTAATTTATTGGACAAAATGGGGTTACTCTTATGAATAAAATGGGGTTATTCATATATATAAATAAAGATTATTCTTATAAACCAATGTGGCCACACCGTGTGGCTAGCCATATACAAGACTTACTCAACTCCTTATTATTCTAACTTAACCATTAAACCTTCTTATTATCTTATTCTTATTCCTATTTTCCTCCTTCCAAATGAACTTCTATCTAAATTTTTCTACTCATCTTTTATACCCAACTATTAACCTAGACTTAATCAAATTCAAATTCATTTAACAAACCTAAACTTACCTTGTTTTCATACCAATTCTACACTTTCTTGAACCCTATCATGCTACCCTTAAACACCTATAAATAGACCCCTAATTTCACCCACCAAAAATCAGATTATGGGCCTGAGTATTTAATATTTATTGTCCCTTTACCTGGGACTGGTTAAGTAAGACCATGAACTTTGTATGATCTAGTATATTTTGGCAGGTTTAAATTAAAGTAATTATTTCGAAAGCATGTTTGCCTAATAAAAGTATTTACATGTCTTGCACTTATATGTATTTAGCCATTTTGCTAATCCGCTTTCCTTTTTATTTTGGTTCGCCTTGTTTACCATTATTGGTAAGTAGTTTTGATTTCAGGTGTGGAGTTGATCATGCGCATACTTGAGTCGGGATTGGGATCACCTAGTTAGGAATTTATTTATTCATGAGTCGGACGAGTTTTTATTTGGAATATTTTCAAACAATATCTTATGGTTATTATAGTTATTAATAAAAGTCAGTTATTTTCGGCTGCCATTTTTAGTAGTTCAGTAAGCCTTACGTTTTCACGTGGCGGTAATACGCCCAAGTCTATCCTTACGGCATTTTATACGTATTATTCTAGTATTTCCATAGAGGGAGATTTGGGGATGTTACATTAAATATTGAAATAATGATGAAGGCTAAAAAAAATTAAGAAAGAGGCAACAAAACAACATAATTGAGGAAGAAGAAAAGCAACAAGGGTTTTCAATAATTGGGGGAATGGGAATAGTCCTTAACTTGAGATTAGTAAATATATACTTCCTCCGTTCTTTTTTACTTGACCCGCTTTGACTTTTATACTATTCACCACTCCTCCTTTTATCGTCTTTTGTGAATAATAGGTAAGAAAAAACATATTCATGCGGGATTGTAACACCCAATAATTATCCCTTTTTCAAACCACATACTTTAAATAAAATAAAGGAGAACCATTGGCATGTTACCGCCACGTGTTAAAACGTTAAGACTTTATCAAAGTATCGCAGCGGAAAAACCAAACTTAAGTCTTTAAAATAACAAAGTTTAGAAAACCAATAAGTCAAAACTTACAAAATGGAACCAAAAAGGCCTTATTTAAAACCAAACCAGTATTCAAAACCCAAATCATAAATGAAATAACAAAATATAAATAAGTTCAACACAAAGAACAAATACTCTCAATCACACTAATCCCTTGACAATGCGTATGCCAAATCCCTGAACTTCACATCATCAAGCTAACCTGTGCAATACTGCTCCCCAATAATACAAGTGTAATAATTGGATCATCATAGGGTCATTGAAAGGCGAAGGCCATGACCAAAAGAAAACACACAAAAGCACGCAATCAGCAAAGTTGGGTACATACAAGCTACAACACACCAACTTAGCATGCTCAACTAATTAAAATAAATAACAGTCAATATAAATTCATTAACCAAGACTCCATACCAAAATAGTTCAATCAACTCAACATACTCACTAACCGATTCCAATATAATCCACTTGACTCTTTATATTTAATTTAATTAATTTAGTTTGAAGTAAGCAATAGACGAGGTTGTCCAACCCACCAAATCATTTTGGTCCCAAATGACCATTTAAAAATAAAAATATAGCGCGATGCAAGAATGGGCGCGACTCCATTCTCACAAAGTTAGTCTAGGATCCCATCTAACTTTCATTCTAAAATGAAAATGTAAATACCAAAAGAAAAGAGGACATGTTGATCAAACAAGCCTCGGAAAGCCACGGGCTACCATCGTGTGCCCCAACCCATAATTGTCAATACTCCAGAAGTGCACGCTTTCCAGAGTTTTATTGCTCATCCATGTTTCACTTTACGTGATTACAAGTTTATTTAATAGCCGACTCATTCAAGTAAACCATACATGATGATCAAACATATAATTCACTTTTAATCTTATTTAGGACAACGATGATCACATCACAAATTGACCTTTAATTCCATTAAACTTTAAGATATCCAAAATTGTTGAGCATAGTTAACCCACCAAGCCATTTCGGCTTAATTCACCTTTACTCAACATACTAACAAGTCATGCTTGAGTAATAATAAAATAATAATAACCTCATTGACTAATTAATAAATTCATTCCACTTAAACCATTCAATTCCAATCCTTCAATAATCCAAATGTGGTTAACAAACCAATCCAATAAAAAAATATGCTTGTATCAACATTCCATACAAACAATTAATCCAATATAATTCAACATGCTTGCATCCATTATTCCATACAAACATAATCAATTCACGAAAACATGTCTCACAAACATAAGCACATGAATTAATTCAATGTTTAACCAAACAATTTCCATCCAAGATTTCTCTAAACATGAAACTAAGTTCTTTCCTTTTGGTACCTAAACATGATACTATTTACAACGAAATAGACATGTACGTACCTCGTGTAAACAATTCTTTGTGCCACTTTTAACTAATTAAAAGTCTCCAAGGGAATAATCACCTCCTAGAAAACAACCAACAATCAAATATTAATTCACAAACTAATTTCCAGCAATATAAATTTGATTAAAACTCCTTAAAACTTCCTTAAAAAAATATTTTTATGCTTAATTAATGATTAGAAATACATTAGGAACAAAAGCCCTAATTTAATTGATCATTAGAACCCTAAAATCCCAATTTATATAAAATTAAAACCCTAGGTTTAAAATTACAAAATCTGAAAATTAAAACAACAATTATAATCTGAAACATCAATTATTAGTTTAAAACATCAAAAACATGATTTTGATACTAAATAAACTAATTTCAAGCAATAAAAACCAAAAATCAATTACATAAGCTTTATGAAAATAATAAGAAATAAAGGAGGAAGAAGGGAAGGAAGGCCAGCCACGTGGGGGGGTCGGGCTGGTGGTCGGCTGACCGGAGTTCGCCGGCAACAGGTGGTACGCCGGACTTCTGGGCGGCAGCGACAGGCTGCAGTGAGCTATGCTCACATATAAAGGAGAAAGGAAAAGAAAGAAAAAGGAAAAAGAAAAGAAAAAGAAAATTTAAAATTAAAATAAAGGAGAAAGAAAATAAGACTAACTTTTTTTGTGTGGGGAAAATTTGGGGATTCATGGGGTATTTATAGGAGAGAATTGTAGGGTAGAATTGGTCCTCATAAAAATAATGGGCCAATTAAATAAACAAATGGGTTATGCTTTGTTTTTATGATCATAGATTGTAGGATATAGGTTTTATAAAATAATTTAGTCTAAAATAATTTTTGACTCAAACTAATAATTTGAGACTTTTAAAATAAAATTTTGGAAAAAAATACAAATAAATATTGTAAATAAAATAAAATTTCATTTATAAATTATTTAAAAATACGGGGGATTACAGGGATCTTTTTGAATTCGTCTCAATAAATACTATCGTAATATATAACTTTTATAATTTTTACTTATGGAGAATTAAAGTTATTGATCGTTAAAATTTTGCATTGGCAACCATAATAAAAGAAACAGGTTAAGTAAAAAAGAATAGAGGAAGTATCTAATACTATTTTCTAGGCATAATATATATATAGATGGAAAGATTTAGCACAAAAGAAAAATAAAAAAAAAAGTATTACAATGATTTCATCAATACATTTAGGCAGGAAATTTTTTTATGAGAGCATGACATGTGTACAATTTAGGAAAGAAATGATGTCAGCGGTTTCTGTTATCACATCAAATATCAAATAATAGAGCTCATAGAAAAATTAAATTATTACTCCGTATTGTTAGAGAGAATAGGCTGTTTTTCCAGAAATTGATACTAATAATAATATAGCTGACTAGAATTTTAATAATAAAAATAAAATAAGATTATGGTCAGCTATATTATTATTAGTATCAATTTCTGAAATTTTTTAATGATAACATGACACGTGTCTAATTTTATAATAGGATGATATCAATGGTTAGTCGATTACTATTTTAGTATTAGTTCTAGATAGATTGTCTAAAGCTGAAGGATATAATCTACACTTTTGATCTTGGTTCGTTCCCTTCATTTTTAGTTTTCTGTTGATTTTCAAACTAAAAAAATAAAAATAAAAAATCAATACAGAAAAAGTGATTAGCACTTTTTTGTTGTAACTTTTCAAACTTATATGATGATTCCTATAAGGTTGACGAATTTAATTTTATTATATAAAATACTTCGTATATCATACGAGTATGACTTTACAAAATAAAAAACAGAAAACTACCGTGATACCAATCGCACAAATAAAATTAGGGGGTTTTGTTAAAGTGGATAAAAAAATTCAATATTTAAAATAGCTGACATTGTATTATGCCGGATATTTTGATAAAATGTGGCGTAATGGAAATCTTTAACTCGTTAATCAAAGTAAAATTCGTTAAAGATGTATCGAAAAGTATTAAAAAACTTTCATCAACCTTTGCTAAAACAGAGTAGTAAAAATAATACGAAGTACATGCTTGGATATTATAAAAGATTGTGATGCAGGAACATTAGATCAATGACGACGATTGAGCCCTATATCCTCTTGGGCAGAAAAAGTTCCGGTGTCGTCTGCTAGCTGTCGGGCGGCTGAGACGATGACGACCATCAGAAGAATAGCCATGGTATGGCCGTCATCAACACCATACACTTTGTCATCTGATTCATTTTGTTTATTTTCTTTATATTACTAAAAATATAGGGTGGAACTTTTTTATGAGTTAGATGGATGAAGTTTGCTAATTATGGATCAACTATATATATACTTGATTAACTAACATAAACAACTTGTCAAAAAAAAAAAAAACTAACATAAACAAGAACAAGAATAATTGATTAGTGGCCTGCAGTTTATCATAAACAAGAACAAGAATTGATTATTTAGTCGAGGGAAAGTAACTATAATTCTTCCATTCGCTAACATTACTAAATTATTTTTTCAGCCAGCAGTTTATGTTGAACTAATATAGGTTAACAAAGTACAGATGGATAATAATGCTTTTACTTGATTTGTTTCACTCAATTATCATTATTACTTTGATCAATATTCCGTTTGTTTTGAGGAAAGTGATACACAAACATGATCACCTATTTGCTAATGATTTGAACATAAAGATATAATAACACAAGATGAATCGAGGCCTTAATCGGCTAATCCCAAAGACGTACAAGTAGTTGGCTACATGAACTGGATCATGGGAACGACTAGCTACATGAACTAAGATTTTATTTCCTAGATCATGGGAACGACCAGCTAGGGGATAGATGTTAGAAAGTGAATACCGATGCACATGTAGGAGAAGGCAATGAGGCAGGTCTTGGGGAAGCAATAAAGTCAATGGTCAGAATCCAAACAAAGGTCCCTTTTTACAACCTAACTGGCATATAAGGACTTTTTATGTAAGGACCTTTACCACAAATCGGCCACTTAAAATGACCTTTGCGACAAATTATCCTTTTTTTTCTTAATACTACTCCGTACTACACAGGATAGATAATGCTTTCATATGATTTGATTTGTTTAACTTAATTTAATTAAAATTTAGAAAGCGACACATGACAAAGTAACCTACTACAAAGTGTTTTTATCGCTCTGTTGGGACTAAGCGGATATAGGTATAGGATACTAGGATAGTATAATCGTACAAACAAACGGATTAAAAGGGAAAATAGGGCAAACATCAAGTGACACAAAGAGAGTAAACTTTAATTGTATCGCTTGTGCGTGCGTATGCCGGCTTAGTTTTTTGTTTACAGTGAATATGATCGACATGATAATGCTTCAAAGATATTGACCGATCATGTTTTGTTTTGAATTTTCTTCTTAACCTATTACTATAGTACTATATGATTAATTAATTGAATATCATTATGTAAACATAATTTTACAATCGAAATAACACAACTTATACTTGTATAACTATTAACATCTACTTTAGTACATCTTTTACAATCAAACTATTACTTCGTTAAATGCTTTTGAAAATTTGTGAATAAAAAGAAACTTGTAATGCTTCGAAGATTATGATAGATCATCTTTTGATTTCTTTTTCTTATTAAATTGATTAATTAGTTTATTATCATTATGTTAAAAATAAGTATAAAGTTTAATCATACATGCTCTCCATTTTAATTATTACATGATTAAATTCCTTCTGTAGACAATTTCACAGATGTTAAACCGGAGACATTATTCGATGGCATGGCAGTAAAACAGGTATAAGAATTTAGCAATCTATGGTATAAGGAATTAAAGATCCATGGCACTGTGATGTTCTTGAAGGATTGACAATTCATTCAATAATTATTTAACAGATACAAAACTATTACTAAAACATAAAAACTCTTCATTTCATCAACATTTTCTACTGCTATGCATTACATGATTCAATGTCAAAATTATATTTGCCTCGCCATGAACTCTGTTTCAGTCAATACAGATGGACTCAAACCATTTTTGTCGTACCCAATTTAGGATTCTTGTAGTCATTCAGTTTAACACAATAACGTGTGACATTTGTATATCCAATAATCAGCAGAAAAGCTTGAGAGTTTACAGAGTAACTACCTCTCAGGCTTTATAGAAAGGCCGTCACAACATCCCAATAGAATTCTCCATATAAGAGAAGCTTCAACAGAGTATCAGACTTCTGATTTATGTCTTCTGAGTCATAGCAGCTCTGGAAAAAGAAACAGGAGATTAGGGAAAACTTAATAAGGATGTTACTATTTTTGAGTAAAATATATACATTCATTCTAAATAGCTAATGACAATGTTGTGCTTGTTGAATAATGAGTAAAGTAGAAGGACCGCAAAGTCAAGGATAAGTAATCTCTAGCCCTTTTTACACTTTAATAGTTGGCTAATGATTAGGTGAATAGCCTCACTGTTAACATAAACATGATTCGCAGTAGCCAGCATGAAGCAGGGATCGTGTACTGAAGTTTTATTTTTAGAGGTCCCTAAAGACACTACTCCGTATCAAAATTAGGCTGGACAATGATTGTGGATCAAACATTCATAATGCACACTGAGGGGAGGGAAGAATGTGCACATGTTGGACAGCAAAAGACAAGAATACAGTCGAATACGTCAAAGTATTATGTTCATTTCTTTTCCCGCCATCCTCATCCACAAGATGGAGACGGGCTATGCCACTGAGTCTGACAGCATTTATTATACCAAGTGCTAGCAGGCTTGCAGCAGTGTCACTAATCTAAAACTTTCTGAATCAAGAAAAACTGCAGTACAATGCTGAAATCATACTGAAATTACCTTTTTTAAGACAACTAAGAAGAACGCTTGATCCATTTCCTTTCTCACTCTATGAAGAACTTCTTCCTGAACGGCTGGAGTGGCTGTCCAGATGCCAGTTTGAACTCGCACCCAAATTCAGCTTCTAACAGTCGATGGTTATCTTTAGCACGATTCATCACAAAAGAAACATTCATATTATCTCCTTCATTACATCGAATTGGAGAATTCAACAGGAAGACCTGAGATTAAGAAACAAAAATATAACCACCGTTGCAAACTGGCAATGACTTAATTATATCAAGCATACCATAGGCAATTATAGTCAGTAACCAATGAAACAATTCATCACCCAGATCATGACTCATATAATTCTCCCATCATAAAATATTTTCCTAATTCAAGAAGCCATTATTTTGGGATAGAGGGAGGAACATACAAAATATACTCCCTAGGAATGGCCCCATTAATAAATTATCCTCCTAATTTCAAATGAAATCCAGACATAAATATGTCAGGTAGTCGATAATGGCAAAGAGTGTCCTTTGGCAGCAAGAATAAAGTGTCGCAAAGTTTGGAGCAAACATAATGCTCTTTTTTTGTTTCAATGAAAAAGTAACTAGATATTTTGCATACGTAAGTGTATAATGTATATCCGTTCCTGGAAGTATTCATCAAAAGTCAACCCAACTAAGTAATGGCCATTATTTATCAATAAAATACACCAACTAGAAAGCACATGAACTATGAAGACAAAGATTAATTCAAGGAGCAATAACTGTCTATAGTGTAAAACATGCAACTCTTCTATGTTCTAACTAATTCAAGAATAAACAAAATTAAACATGATATATCTTTATATGATGCACTACTTACTTGCTGACCCCAATGTGTGCCATTTTCAATACTTGGGGCAGTTGACAACTCAATCTCACTTGTAGCTGGACTCTCACTTCTTCCCTGAGATACCAGAATCATAAATATACAGTAACTAATATATATATATATATATATATCAAGCGTGCTTTGGACATAATAAAGTTCTACTTACTCGGAAATGAACATCAAACCAGCCTCCAAAACCAGAGAACTTTGTATCATCCTCCATGATTGATGAGAAAAATTGAGTTTTGATAACAAGGATATCTTCAACAGTAGCAGTTAAACAATCCATCTCCTTGATGATGGAAGCTGTTCCGATGACTTGTTCAGGACGAAGATTGTTCCACAATGAAGTCTGAAATTATAACAGCAAAGTTCAACAAAATATATAATAAAAGCTAATGTATTTGATAAAAAGAAACACACTTAAAACTGGAGTCAAGGACACCATTTATATGCCATAACTACTTATATAGCCAGTTCATTTCACGCAAAGGTAACTTGAGAAGCAACGTCTGTATGTAATTAGGCAATATATGTCACATAGACACATCACATATGGTCAATATGGATATAAAAAGAATGCATCTTCAACAATCAATTACTTGTTATATGTAATTTTGTTGAATTTTTTCATTAGTGCTCATACCCACATGAGCCACATTGTATTCTGATGTAGAATGATACCTCAGATATTCGAGAAAACAGATATCATTAAAGGTAACCGACTTACAAACCCAATAACCTGAATTAAAGCTATAAGCATTCGAGAAAACAGATATCATTCATGCACATTAGATTAGCACATACACCTGCAACACACGCACGAATGTTCACGTTCAGTCATTCAGATACCAAAATAGTGGTTGCCAGGGTAAAAATGCAGTGTTACTCTCAATGACATTTTTTTTTAAAAAGAAACACACTTATTTTCTGAACACACACATGTACAGAGATGTAAATATTAGTTTACAATTTATGAATATGAGAATTTGGACCAATAGACGAAATGGTAAACTGAATATGAAGAGAAAAAAATTCCAAACCAAACTCAAGAAGAAGAACATCATAGTATTTTTTATTAAGCGCTTAAGGAAAAAAAATGACCACTGACCTGTAGGTAGTATTTCTTCTGCTCCTCAGTAAAAGGCTCTGTAAGAATACTCATATCTACACCATAGGAGTTCCTAGTGTCATCAATAAAACCATGCCATTCTTCCATAGTTCCATCATAGTGATCCCTTTTCTGATCTATCAAGTGAGATCTTATAGGAGCCAACCATATGCGTGCATGACTTGGATACCTGCAATACCCAAATTTCCTCCAATTATTAAACATAAGGGTGTTACGCTAAATTTCACGACACAAGCGTGAATAGAGACAATCTATAAGAGGAAAGGCATCTCAACAATACTATTAAATGCATAACAATGTGATTTGAAGCATTCTACAAGAAAGTGGCCTCTTTGGAGTCTACCAAATTCAGTTGTACTACTATAGATATCCTTCCCCTTTGGCAAGTGTGAGTCCTAGAATATAAGCCATCAAATAGAAAATAACTAACGCTTATTTCTCATAAGACATACTTCCAAAAGCTAGCCAAAAACAATTATCACCTAATAATGTATTGTTATCCCCAGTAATGTATTGACATCACCTAAAGCAATTCCACTTCCACATCAACTTGATTTTTTCATTTACAATTTTTATCTCTGACTTGTTTGTCATGTGCATGTTGATCTATTAATGGGAAAAAGCAATTATAGATGCTATCCCTAACTATATGTGCTTTGATTGTTAAGTTGTTACAAAGCCATAGAGAAACAATGAAAATTAGATAGAGAAAATAGCTCATTAGTAGCAACTGTGGTATGACTGATAGCAATACTTACAACCAAGTTCTATTTCACGTTGATAAATTACCAAAACAAATTTGCATTGCTGATGAACCCTTACACAAACGTGCTCAAGATGGATCTTCAACTAAACAATTCCTCGACAATTTACACCAGTTATACATTCGACAAACTAAGGAATTCTAGAGTCGGGAGTGGCTCTCATGGGTAACTCGTAACATTCTTTGGACTTCACAGCATAACAAGTCATATAGTACGAGGGAAAGGCATTTAAAAAAAAAAATCCCTAAGCCACTCCAGCAGGGCTTCACAGCCATGGCTAGACATCCCAGTTTTAAGCCACAACCCCTCTCTATAACCTATAGGAACAAAAGTGATCACTCAGAAAGCACTTACTTAAAATAATTTATCCTTCTTGTTTAATGTTCAAATAATAAGAGTAAATACGTCAAAATCCGAACCCCAAACCACCTGCTATCACTTACACTTTTACTGTTCTATGGAAAAGAGTTACGATTTATATAGGGCTGGCTTTATTAACTGAAAAGAGTCATTATACCACATACATTTAGAAGTCACTCACTGAAATCTGAATCTCTCCTTGATAAATTCATCACATCGTCCCAACCCCTCATAATCAAGAATATGACATGCATTCCCTTCAACACACTCTCAACATCACTCATTCAAAGTCGGGTTGTTGTCTCCAAAAATCCAATCATAAAAGCCTAACTATTATAGGGAAGATGATAACTTATTCCAGGAAATTCCAATAACAATATTCCGCGAATGCAATTATAACAGGATTACAGCATAAATCAACATAATCAGAAACTTCACACATTGTACTCCCACAAACAGCTTCCAAGTCCCAACCCACAAAAATGGCATACATATACCCAAAATCCAACATACCCTTTTACACAAAAACATTTTTTCACCCAAGAACCAATCAAAATGCATAAATTAGATGAACTCAAGAACCCCAGAAATAACTCCAAAAAAAACCCAAAAATTACAAGAATTAATTGAAATACTTTTTCATAAAGACATAAAATTAGAAAGAGAGAAAAGGGGTAAACCTTGCCAATAAAATGGTGTTTGTTCTGGAAAATGGAGTTATAATAAGCATCCATTCCAACACGATCAGAAAGCATTTCTTTCTGGTGATACAAGAAAGAGTAAGTGCAGAAGTAATTGGCGTAATCTACACCTTTGTCCACTGTTCCTGGGCCAGCGCCGCCGAGTCCCCGCTCTCTGCCGCCATTAGCATATGAGCTTCCCATGGTTTTTTCTCTCTGTGTGGGTTTTGAGTGGAGTTGAGTGGAGTTGAGTGAAAATGAGAGGGAGACTGGAGAAAGATGAAATTTTTAGGGCAAAGGCCTTTTATACCCTTCATTTCTCAATGAATCAAATCTCATGAATGATACTCACAACTCATAGAAGTATTTAAAAGTAGGTCCCTTTGTACTAGTATTTGTTACTCCTCTTTGAGGATATAAAATGATTTTTGAAAGATTATTATGAATTGAAGCGGAGTGAATAGAATTTGAATAGGTGCTTATAATTAAAGTCGATGCAATGAAGCTGAAATGAATAGAAGTACAAGGTACTCGTACTAGAAGAAAAAAATTGAAAATAAATCCAAAAGAGTAAGGTCTAATTATGAATTCTGAACAATACAAATTACACCATTAGCGATTTTCTCTAATTTGTAAATGATCCTGGGTGAATGAGTAGTTGGGACAATCTACTCCATTCTTTTCACTAAAATTACAACAGTAAGTTTAATTTATTAAAAGATGTGCTACGCTCAAGTTCGTTCTTTACTCATAGTATATGGTTCTCTCTTTTTCTGATTTCTCTTCGTTTTCCTTAACCACCAAAATTATTATTTTTTGCATAATCACATGAGTTGAGCATTTTCAATGACAAACTAATTACTAAATTAGCTTACTTTACCACATTATAATTCAAGCTATTTTTGAAGCTAATTTACTCTACAATGTTTAGCTATTAGATTGCTATTAAAATGTGTTATTTGTCAACTAATAGTTTATTGCCATTCTTCATCTTCTTGTCAAGCAAATCAACTTGCCCAAGCTAATTTCCAATTTTGCTCACTTGCTACTCTCCTTTATCGCAAGGGTTGCAATCTTAGTGAAACGATACTTGTTAAGGTAGGTTATACTTTGTATTGCATGAATTTATACAACTAGTTTATATAATTATATGTAATTAAACTTCATGGTGTCTGTGACCAGTTGTCAATTATGATATTTTGATACTCCTAAAATATTGAGATGTTGAAAGTGAGGAATAACTCATGTGGTTAGAGCTTTCCTCCCGATTCTATAAGATCATGTGATCGATTTTTATTATAATACTGAGATGTTAATCCAAAATGAAATGACTCTAAGATGATTCGACTCAAAAGCTAGCAAATAATGGACTTAACCGATTTAACATCGACCTACCCAATTAGATTAACTCATTTCAAATTTACAACCCATCTTGAAAATAAATACCAACCCATTATAGATAACCCAAAAAAACCGTTAAATGACCCAAGTTGACACCTTTAGCAAGGACTTGAGGTGCAATTTCAATGAATTAACTTTTCATGATTTTTGGGTAATTAACTAATTACACATAATAGCATTTTCTATTATGTACATTGAAGAAGGTGGAAAAATCAAAAGAGAGTTTTCTGAAATTAGGGCAGAAAGTAATTTGATCATTGTTTAAATTGAATTCATTAGAAAATTGAAATCGAAATGCAAGTACTCCGTTTTTGAAACCAAATCCATAAAAAAGGCGACACATTTGGGCTTCTTGTGCAACAGCAAAGAGTGCAATCAATCAGGTACAGAATTATAAAATTCCGAATATTAATTATCCATTAAATTGTAGATATTTAGTAAAGTTTGTGGAAAATCATCAGCATATACGCATGGTATATTATTCATCTTAAATTTAGTTTTGTATTATATTTTTTTATTTTATTTATTTGAATTAATTAGTCAAAGGGTGTTTTTGATTTGATAAAAATATTGAATAAACTATGTTAATCAGTTAGGTTTGGTCAATAATTTATGCAGCTAAGAAGAATGAGGTAGTTAGAATTTACAAGCAAGGAAAAGACCAACATTTCTGAAAGCCATATTAAGATTTGCCCCAATTATAAAGCATACGGGTCATTAATTAAGATTGAGTTAGTATAGTACTTGATATAAATTTGGGTTACATTCTGATAGGATGGTGTAGAATATAGTATTACCATAACATAATACTTGACATTATTGAACTAAAATGCCTATGCTTCTATGGTTTGCCTGGGTGAGGGTATGAAGGACGGACGAGTGATGACCCTAGCAGGCTAGCATTGTGTGTGTCGATTTTGGCATATACATAGTACTATATAAATATTTTGAGGTTATTGATTTTTTTTCGGGCTTGGAAGGGTATTTTTTGGGAAGAAAAAAGAGTTTAGGTGGGTTTCCGATTCCACATATTGTTCCTTGTAAGGGAAGGGGACGGTAATATTGATGTAGCCTCACTATTGTACCCTTGATTGGAAATACAATTGAGAGTCTGAAACTCTTGATAGGAATGCTTCTTGATTGACTTATTGATAGTAGTACGTACTTAGTATTAAAGAAGTAAGGGCGTCTCTAATAGTTAAGCAAGATTTCTTATAGCTTTGTCACATTAATGTTATGCTACAATCTTCTGATCTTCTCCAATGGTGAGCTATAATTGATACTACATGTAGCTTGAATTACCCCATATATCAATCAATATGTTTTTTTTTTCTTCTTTGATTCAGATTCAAGCAAGGTAGTTTGTTTAGTTCAATAACATACTTTTAAGTTTTAACAAAACTATGATCTTTCATTTAATCATATTTGTTTAGAATGGATGAAAATTTTGCAACAGTGATCTTTATCCCCTTTGGTGGTTTGGCCACAAACCCCTTGTAGTTTTAACTTTTAAGTGTACCATGTCATTTAATTATTGTAAGTGTTGAAGCATTAATCTGAAACACAAGAACATCTTACTATCAATCAGTATAAGCCATGCCTTTTAATGTTTGCATTACATGGTGCTTCATGCTTGATCTACTTTGTGTCTACATGATTTTTAAGGTTAACAACTATGTCCTGGTTAATCTAGCTATCTTGACATAAATGCCCGCGTGATTATTTGTGTTATTATTATTGGATAAATAGGTGTTCTTTACATGAGAAAAGGTTGTTAATTTGATCAAGTCAATTGGGTTGGTTCCATGAGTCTTATTCTTTGTTTATAGTCTTTATACCTTCTGCATTAGTGAATGGTCAAACCTGTATCTGATGTCATCTGTTTGATTGACTTATGGCAGCTAATGAGAATGCTTAGAAGAAAGAATCAGGATAATTTTCGAGAATCTTCAACATTAGAAAATGATGGACTATTATATGCTTTTCATAGAGGGGGCTTAGTTATCTATCTCTGATGAGCTTGTCACAGCTACAGGACAAGATTAGATATCCTCTTGAGCAGGACTCATTTGCTACTGGCTTGAAAAAGGCATTTACTAAGTGGAATATTTAATAGTATCTTCTTTCTTTGTTCTCTGTCTCTGACAGCAAAAGTCTTGTTTAGAACCTGAAATCATTGGTAAACTTCATTCTAGGATCAATCTTTGTTAGATGGAAACATGGGAGCTTCATTCATAGTCTATATGATTTCAAAGTATGTGTAAAACTTCCAGAGAAAATTGTGAGAGAGCGTTTTAAGCAATTATGGAAGAGCAGAAAACTAGGCTGGTTGGTTTGTTTCTGCTGTCTGGCCTTCTCATCGTGTTTGTTGCTGCTGCAGTTTTCTTGAAAACACTCTGGATTTTCTTCACTGTTCTTGGAATTATCATGATTGTGTCCTTTGGCGTCATAATATGGGTTTTTACCCAACTGGAGGAGCTGTCCAGGAACAGGGAACTTTCTGGTTTTGAGAAAGCAGTGGGGCTTCCAACAAGGTTTCTACATGAAGAACTTATGCTGGCAACAGATAATTTCAGCTCAATTGTGGGCCAGGGAGGATCAGGGTGTGTCTATAGAGGAATGCTGAAGGATGGGACTTGCGTCGCTGTGAAGCGGATTGAAGGTCAGGAACGGGGAGAGAGAGAATTCAGAGCTGAAGTGGCTACAATTGGGTGTGTACAGCACACAAACCTTGTACACCTGTATGGTTATTGCATCATCCCAAAAGGACCACGCTTCCTTGTTTATGAGTTTGTTCAAAATGGCTCATTAGATCGTTGGATTTTCTCTCATGAACACAACAAAAAACAGCTGCCAGGTGGTTGCTTGCCTTGGAAACTTAGGCATCAGGTTGCCATCGATGTGGCCAGGGCTCTCTGCTACCTCCATAATGATTGTCAGTCAAGGATTTTGCACCTTGATGTTAAGCCAGAAAATATACTTCTTGATGTTAACTACCGAGCACTCGTGACAGATTTTGGGCTTGCAAAGTTGATGGGTAAAGAGGAAAATATGGTTGTTACAAGAATTCGGGGTACTAGGGGGTACTTGGCCCCTGAGTGGATCCTAGAGAAAGGAGTTTCTGCAAAGTCTGATGTTTACAGCTATGGAATGTTGCTTCTTGAAATGATTGGAGGGCGGAGGAACGTCCTGTCTGCTCGGGATTTCAAAGGAAAGTCCACGAAGCCTGAAATGGGATTGTGGGAATATTTCCCAAAAACTGTCTATGAGAAAATGAAAGCAGGAAAGATCATGGAAGTGGTTGATAAAAGACTGTTGGAAGAAGGAACTGTTATTGATGAGAATGAGGTTAGAAGACTGGTCTACATAGCCCTTTGGTGCATTCAGGAGAAGGTTAAGATTAGGCCTAATACGGGTCAGGTGGTTAATATGCTTGAAGGCCGTTTGCCTGTTGATGAGCCCCCTGAAACCAAAATGTTCCTCCACGATCTTTTGTTAATGAAATCGGAGAAGATCCAAGGTCAGAATAATACAAAGGCTACTGCTTTGCAGGTTTCTCAAATTTCTAACGATAAATCTCCAGAAGCTGCTTCAACATCATCAATGTACGCTTGATAATTCCGCGTATCAGTCTATCACAATTTTGTCATATCAGTAGCTTAGTGATTGCATTGGGGTTGGTTACTTAGGTAAATATTTCAATACTTTCTCCTGTTGGATCTCTCTTTTTAACCCCCCTCTCCTTGTGTGGATGTTTTAGATATAACTCAGACTCTCATTGACTTGATCTTTGGTAACACTTATCTCTGACTGTTGTTCTCTTATATCCTGAAACATTTTAGCTTTCTTATAACTCTTATAATGGAATTCTTTTTCATCCTGAAAAGAGAAATGATCCACTACAGCTGTTACTACTTGCTTTTAACTATTTGTAGTTTTTCTCTTTCCACCAGAAAAGTTAGAACTATGGAAAATTCTGTATTCATGGAGTATGATCAGTATACACGCACTTTACATTACTAAATTTTTGTAAACTGTTAGACTTCCTTCCATCTGTTATCTAATCTTGCCAAGACAGAGTATTAGAAGTCAATTGCAGGATTCAAAAGGGTCCCTTCTGAATGCATACAAAAATGATAATATGAGTGACTTGTTAAAATGGAATAGGTTATTAATCAGGCTATGTATCCACTTGCCACAGTTCATTATGCTGATTCAAATTACTGGTGTTTTCGTTTATGTATCAATGCTCAATTGCACTGGTGAAATCCTATAAATCCAATAAAGTTTCTGGAGTTTTTCTTAATGTACTTGGCTTAGAGGAAGAGATGAGATTGTGATGACTTGGATGCGGTCGTTGAGATTATATGAATATCTAACGTCTCTTACTTCAGTGTCACCCTTGTCTTAGAAGTCAAAATGGGCAGCACAAGACTGGAAAAATTCACAGTTATTAAGTTTTTGGCATTTCAGCATATATGGTATTACAGACGTACAGTATCAGTAAACCATGTATTGTACAATATTACATACTGCATATGTTATGTTTTACGGCATGTATGAATACTCATACTCAGTTTTTGTTATCGTGCAAAGTCAATGTGATTGTGCCAATCACAAGCCATGTCACATTCTCAGGATCTAATAGCAGTATGAGCTAGATCTCACCATTTCTAGGGAGCTTTCTTGTGATTTTTTTTTATCTAACTTGATGTGTCTTCACATTTGGTGTGGTCTAAATTAGAAGCAGAGTTAGCATTTACTACAAGAGGGGCAAAAGATAGGAAAAATTATTCACTTTTAAAACCTTTTTTCTGCTTTTGGTATGTTTGCCTTGGTATTAGGGGCAATAGTAAATTTTGTTGGCATGATAACCAATCTTTCTTAAGAAGACGGCATTGCATTTGATTATTAGTTGTAGATCTTTTAGTACAAATGAATATAGGATGCTTTTAACTTTTGGATGAGTTGTATCCACACAAGCAATTACCATCATTCATGTCTTGCACTATGTGGAATGACTAGGTCAACTTGCCCAAATGTTTCAATTTATGCTGATGAATACTTCCATCAATAAGAAATTAAAGTGAATAAAATAAAGAGAAAGGGATTGTATGTTGATGCTTCAGTTATTGCTAAAAAGATTTGATCAAAGGAGATGATATAAGGGAAGAAAATTTATCATTGACTTGGGCAACATTGTATTGAATAATATGGATGCATTTTTCTATCATGCTGTCCTCAAAAAATGAGGAAAGAAGAAGGAAGATTGCTTTCTTCCTCATAGCACATCTTATTTTAGCTCTGAGTTTATGATGGATGACAAGTGCTCTAAGATACTTGCACTGATATTGGTGGTGACTCTCATCTCCTTGATTACTGTATCTGCTCTGTATCTTGGACCTACCTGGCAATTCTTTTGTGTATTTGGGGTTTGTCTTACAGTTAATTTTGCTATCTTTATATGGCTTATCAGACGCCGGTCCAAGGGAGCTGCTCTTATTTTGCCTCAGAAGCATGTGATGTCCCGGGAACTTTCCGTCCCCTGCAGCTTTCTCAGAAAAGTGGCAGGTGTTCCTACAAAGTTCCGTCAAAAAGAGCTTGAGCTGGCTACGGATAACTTCAATGCACTGATTGGCCGAGGGGCATCTGGGAGTGTTTTTAAAGGAATCCTAGGAGATGGTACTTGTGTTGCTGTGAAGCGGATAGAAAGTCAGGAACGTGGGGAGAAGGAATTTCTATCAGAAGTTGCAGCGATTGGAAGTGTACAGCACATTAACTTGGTAAGATTGTATGGTTATTGCATTGTTCCCGGGGGACCGCGGTTTCTTGTTTATGAATTCATTCAAAATGGATCCTTGGATGGTTGGATATTCCCTAGAAGGGACAAAAGAAATCGACCAGCAGGTTGTCTTCCTTGGCATTTGAGGTATGGTGTTGCCATTGATGTGGCTAAGGCTCTCTCTTACTTGCACCATGATTGCCGGTCAAGAATCTTGCACCTTGATGTAAAGCCCGAGAATATACTGCTCGATGACAATTATCGAGCAGTTGTGTCAGATTTTGGGCTGGCAAAGTTAATGGGAAGAGGTGAAAGCAGTATATTTACTAATATACGGGGGACTAAGGGGTACTTGGCACCCGAGTGGCTTTTAGAAAATGGCATTTCTGCAAAATCCGATGTTTATAGCTATGGAATGGTGCTTCTTGAGATGATTGGAGGGAGGAGAAGTGTGCGCGTTCTTGACGATAGCAAAGATAGGTCTGTTAGGAAATACGAGTATTTTCCAAAAACCGTGGTGGAAAAAGCAAAAGAAGGGAAATTTATGTCATTGGTTGATCAAAGACTATTGGAAGGAAGGCATATCGATGAGAGACAGGTAAGGACATTGGTGTATACCGCGTTATGGTGCATTCAAGAGAAGGTCAGGCGTAGGCCTACCATGGCTCAGGTGGTTGATATGCTTGAAGGAAATATGCGAGTGGACGAGCCCCCGGAAACTGAAATGATCATTGTTGATCTGTTATCCATTGACAAAGATAAAGTTGCCCCTGGCATGTGCAGGCTAAAGGCTACTGGAGTAGTACTATCAGATTGCAATACAGCTGCTAGCACATCAACATTTGAGCCTGGTACGCTTGTGTCAGGCCGATAATTCATGTGCCTGGTGCAGAAACTTGACTCCTATGCAGCTTTAAAAGGTATAATCTTCTGTTCATCTGCATTTTACCGCTGTTTTTCTTTATTTATTCCACTTCCATTATTGTATTTTATGCTTTTCTCAGCCTAAGATTGTGGTTGAACTGTGAAATACTATGCCCTGGCTTAAAATTTTCATGTATAGTTGTTGAGCATTTGTTATTTTCATGAGTTCCATGGTGATTGTGTCATGTCTGCAAAAAAAACATTTTTATCAGAATAAATTATGTTTTTATTTGTTTAGTTTAACCGATCAATGTTACTACTATATTGCAAATTTCATTCAAAGTGGGGAAAAAATTATAATTTTATGCTTTCAATTTTAGGATAAGAAGGGGTATTTCACTAGACAACAAAACTCGTCATTTCTTTATAAAATCCATCCATTTTCCGATACGTCACCCCTCTGCATTAACGTTCACTTGTAATACGGAATGAAATTTTCTAACTTTCTTAGAGTAACTAATATATCTTAGTATAATGTCTTCTAAGTAATGAGAGGAATCTAAACTCGAGACATCAACTACAAGATGATATGATTATAAGCATCTGTCATTATTGAATCACGGATCTGATACTTAACAACAAGACATTATTCCAAAAGATGTGCAAAAGTGGGAGAACATGAGAAGTTGGATTCACGCTTGTAGGAATCATTCCAACTCTCCTTTTTTTGCACTTTGTGTTGACAATACTTGACATTAAGTCTTTGGTCCTTGGTTGACATCATACCATAAATATAATGTTCTTGACTCAGTAATATGACAGGCTTGACAGCTAGATTTATTCATTATTATTATTATTATTATTTTATTATTTAATGTTAAAAAGTCAACTATCATACACAAATTTCATACCAGAGTAATGATTCAGAATTTTAGCAGGATATGCCATCTAGTGGATTCCCTGTAAGAATAACATTACAAATTGTGTTTGTAATGTTCTGTATGCATAACTATCTGGCTTCTTTTGAGCTTGTTGGGACAATGGTCCCACCTTTTGGGAGAGGGTTTTGGTATGAATGCCCTTACATATGCCCAAAATAGCAAAATTTGCCCCGGGGTGGACTAAATTCGTCGATCCTTTGTAGCGTTTTATCATTGTTTGTCATGATTTAGTAGTACAATTATTAACATCACATTTTGGTTATTGATGTTTAGTTGTAGAATGCTTCCTCACGGGACACTCTTGGTAGAATGCTCCCCTGAGTTTCCTTGTGTTACGTGTACGTATTGCATAATGCATATGTATGGATCAAATTATCATAGTTACTCCCTTTTTTGAATGTTAAGCATCTGAAATCGTGTCTAATAAACTACTGTGATTTGCTAATTACTCGATAGTGAGCATAAGTTCTTACTTTCATTCTATAGAATTTTCTGTTGACATTTTCTGTTTGAGAAGGTACTGTCAACTTTGTTGTGAAGAATATGCCAAGGTTGAAACCCCAGCTTTAATATTAGTGGGAAGCCAGTTAGATACATGTATTGCTCTTTTCAGCATTTGACATTGCTTCTATATTCTTTTTTCGACTTATTCAGACCAGATTATCCTAACGCCAAGCATTTTGGTTCTGTGTTTAGGTGATGTTGTGGAGATGGTAATGCATTTGTCACGATGGCGTTACTTTGCTCGATCTAGCCCTAAGAAATCCGGGGTGAATCTCAAATTTTCGTCCCATGGAGCCTTTTTTCTTTTTACTTGTTCCTTTGATACATCAATCACAATATTGCTTACTGAGTTGGTTGATACACGTTCAATGTTTTGTGTTTTGCTCTGTAAAATTAGATTATTACTTTTTTTTTTTTTTTTTTTTTTTTTTTTTTTTTTAGTAGTGGTGTAAGTCGTGCAATACTGGATGAAAAGTTTGAAGTAACCTGATGTAATGATTAATTAGATCTCTAAGAGAATTGCTTTTTGGCAAAATCTGTAATTAGTCATAACTTAAATTTCATATTGATTGAGTTTCTGACCAATTTTGATTTTTGCAATTTTAATGGCCACTTAAAGCATGAACTTTTTTGGTTGATTATAATGTCCGACTTTATCCACCAAAACAGTGTAGAATGAATGATACAATTATTTTTTGGGGTGCAATGATAAAGAACAACTTGTCAATTATAAAAATAATAATAAAAAATAATGATAATGTTTGATGATTTTGGCAATCCAAACTTTATTCATACCATGTTACCTTCAATTTTCTTGCACATAAATAAAAGACCTTTGTCAAGGGCAATGAAACTCAATGTATTTTTGGTATTTAGATAGCCACAAGTGTGGAGGTGAGAATTGATCTCAGAATCTCCTGAAACCGGGAGGAAAGTTCTAACCACTTGAATTATTCTTCACTCTTGCAATGAAGCTCTATGTGGTAGTGTGTACAAATATACTAGCTTTGACTGCACTTCCTATATGGAGATCTTAGGAGGTTTTCCATTTTTCCACATGAAAGTTGCATATTTTGAATTGGTCACTATTGTGGCAAATCAAATATAACCTTGAATCAAACATTCAAAGATCATTGCCTCTAGGCTCTAGCAAGTGAATGATTATTATACTTATTTTCAATTTGAAAATAAAAATCATGATAAAAGTTGAATTATGAGATACACCAATTCTGAAAACGTGTTCAATATGCTATCGAACAAATAGAAAGCTCGATTTTTATCTATAAAATTCAAATTACACGATACACCATTAGTGAAACGCCACCAACATCCTATCAAACATATTAAAACTTAAATGCTCACTTCTTATCTTATCTAATTTAATCCGATACGCGATAGAATCACGCCAAAAAAAGTTGGAATTCCGTTGAATGAGGAGGATTAAAATGAATGAAGGTTATAAAAGGACAAGTACACACGAACGGATGCCACGCCATATAGTCAGTCTCTCACCTCACAACTAACTTCTTCTGCTCTCCGTTTCTCCGTCATTCCTTTCTTCAGGTTTTTTTTTTCTCCTTAATTTTCTCGCTTAAACCCTAATTTCTGCTTTTTTCTTCTTTCGATTAATTTCTTCATCTTCTTCATTCAATTTGTAATCTTCTCTCTTTTGAATTAATCGCTTCCGCGAAAAAAAATCATCTGTTTGATCTCATTTTTGAGGAATTCACTCTATCTGGATAGGGCATCCATTTGAATTTTCTGAAAATTGATTCGTTTTCTGGAATAAGTTTCAATTTTTGAGGTGTTTTAATGGGATAATTACGAGCATTTTTATCGTTGACTTCTGAGATTGTTGCATTGATGTTTCAGTATTGCTTTCAATTTGTGGAATGATTATATGATTTAATTAATTAATTTATTTTGGTTTAAATGCTGCAGAAATTATACAAATTGCAAGTATGAGCTTCAGTAGCGCATCTGCTGGTTCAGGTTAGTTGCTTCCACACTTTTAATTATTGCCAATAATCATACCGTTATTTGTGAAGCTTTTCGAGTTTTCATAGTTAAATATGGGGTAATTTACTGCTGATTTTGTGCTTTATTTTGAGCAAGTTGCTTTGGGAATATATAAGTTTGATTTTGATGTGGAACTTAAATGAAGCAAACAAATGTGACATAAGCCTTTAATCATGGCATTGGTCGGAGATAGAAAGAAACAAACTCTGTCTGTCCCGAAAACACAGCATCATTTTGAATATGGTGAATTGGTGATAGATAAGTAGCTTTTATTACTTAAAGATAACCAAGTTTAGACATTTTTCCATCTTTTTGGGATAGAGGCATACTGAATATAGTATTATTTTGTAATTTTTTCCCTTCTGTGCTCTATTGGTATGTGTTTAGCAATTAGCACTTTCCGAAGAAGTTTGTAGGCAGCTAGCTTAGACAAACCTTGTTTTTTTTGCTGGTTAGCAAGAGGATCGTCATGTTCTAGGAGATACAAATATTCATGGGATGAATTCCCAGAGGCAGAATTTTGCTGTCCTTTTGTCAAAGCGTCGTACTGGTATCAGAATCTGACATCGGGTTGGGTTTTTTTTTTTTCCCTCTCCCCGTATCATATCTGAAGGATAAAACTCAAATACCTGATATTTGATAGAGGTGTTGGATATGTGTTCATGTGTTGGACACTGTTACAGCCTAGATATTGAGAGTAACAATGCCAGGTGTCTTTGTTTTAGAGAATGTCAGTCCTATTTCTCTCATTCTGTTTTATTTTCTTTGCTGCTACTATTTTCTCACCAAACACAGAGCTGAGTTTTGAGTTATCAAGCTTTGAGCGGCTGAGATGAGAATGGGCGGTTGTATAAGTAATTTTATTAGACATAATTAGACTTCCAATTTTCGTTTTACCATTAGCCAAGTACTTTGTAGTTAACTATTTGACTTTCTGTTAGTTCCTTTTTTAGGTGGTAATGCTGCAAGAAAGGCATATGAGTTTGGACGGACTTATGTGGTTAGGCCCAAAGGCAAGCACCAGGCGACTGTAGTGTGGCTACATGGCCTTGGTGATAATGGTGGGAGGTAATTCTGCTGCATGTAATTATATTTTGTTGCTCATAGCAGTTATTTTTTTCCTCTCTTTTGTATGTCTTCTAATTTCTTTTATTTTTCTATGTCCTTGTTGACTGATTCCTCTACTGACATTCAATTTTCTATTTTTACTTATTAGGATTCGAAAAGATAATCCAACTAAATATCAGAAATTCATGATTTCAGTTTCCTCCTCTTTTTTGGGTGGTGGCTTAGTTGTTATTCTGATGTGTGGGTATTAAATTATGGAATATGGATGATAAAAAGTTGTCTAACAAATTATGTGTTTCTTCTGGCAGCTGGTCACAAATTTTGGAGACCCTTCCTTTGACTAATGTGAGAACATTGAATTGAATTTGGTTTTATGATAAAAAGTTGTCAAATAGTATTTTGACTGGTCTTTATTTGTGATTGATTTTTTGTAATGCAGATTAAATGGATCTGCCCAACTGCTCCAACCCGGCCCATTAGTTTATTTGGTGGCTTTCCTTCTACTGCTTGTGAGTTTCCTCAGATCTTTCTTGATATTTGTCCTATGTGCAATAGCTTTGCAAGCTCATATTTGAGCTCTTAGATACCATTTTGCATTTTCTTTAGAGAGATATGTATACTTGATTTGATCACCTACATGTTTAGACATGTACTGTATCTTATATCCTCAGGGGATAGGAAATTATATGAATGTGCATATGTTGATATGCAATTACTATGAATGGTTGTTTATCCAACTATGTATTGTGCTTTAGTGTGTGATTGATGCTTAAATGGCAATGTGTCACGGTCCGAGGAAGGTGGATTCTAAAACAATGGAACTCACATAGTGAGCATACTTCATATACATTAATTTGTTATAATAAGAAATAAATACTAGATTATCATGATGAGGAATTGCTGCATTTAACTCCTGAGAAATTGAATTTGTACTGTCTACCTTTTGTGATCAAATAGTGTTATATATATATATATATGTATATATATATATATATATATATATATATATATAAGTGTTTATCTGGTTCTACTCAATATATGGGCTTTTTATGCTCAGGTATGAAGTGAAGTGCCAGGTCTTTACCTTGTCTAGTTTTGCACAATAGTGGCTGTTGTGCATGCACTTGCATTCTGTCCATATGCCATCTTGATTTCATAATAAATTGCTAATTAGCTGTTATGGACCACAGCTGAATTTTTGCAGTTTTGCAATGCTGACATAATCGGTTGCAATGCGAATTAAATCAGGGTTTGATGTACAAGAACTATCTGAAGATGCTCTGGATGATGAAGAGGGACTGGATGCTACAGTAGCGCATGTGGTAAATTTGCTGTCTACTGAGCCCACTGACAGTAGGTTCCTTTCTCTAAGTTTTAACTTTGTTGACACTTTTTAGCTGCTTGTGCCTTTCTTTAGACTTTCAAGCGATGACTACTAATTTTCAGGGTTCATAAGCAATTTGGGAACCTGTAGCTTTTAAGAGTCCTGAATTTATATTCTGAGTCTATGTATGATTGGAAAAATTTTCCCTTTGCCACAATTCCTCTCTGAGAGTCCAAGGAATCATCTATATCGGCTGTAGATTTCATTGGTCTACCTGGCTAATTGTAGGGAGCATTAATGCGGATATTGCTGAGATTAGTTGGCACACAGTTTAATCATCTTTAGTGTATATCATGCAATATTCTGGATACAAATTGTAAACATATATCTCTTTATTATTATAGCATCCCAGTTTGGGTGATTGATCTGATACGGTGGTGGTCAAATGTTGTTGGAGAAAACAAACAACATTCTTATACAATCACACGTCGTCTAGATGTACTGAACCCCAACCGTAACCAGATTTGGCTAAAACAACATCTCTCACAAAAGTAATGATAGTTTGATGTCGATGAATTAACTAATGGTGGAGAAAAACCTGCTAGAGCATGGAAGTAGATAACTGATGCAGTTGGCTTAGGGGTGGGGAAGGAAGTTAGGAAAGAATGAGCTGGAACTCATGGAAGAAATACAAATTCTAGTGACTAAACCATTCGTAGTGATTTTTTTTTTTTCTTTTCCTACTTGAATTTACCTCATCAGATTTCACTCTTTGAAATTTGTTTCAATATAATATTTTTGCTTCCATTTTCGTTGCAAACCTTCATTCTTTTTTTTTGACAAGTACAAACCTTCATTCTCAAAACCTAATAATTATACTTTATCAAGTTCTGTAGCTCTTGTCAGTTGTGACTGGTTTCTGCTAGTTTTGGTATTCAATTGAACAGTATTTTTAACTGAAGTTGTAGGCCTTTACCATTTTCATCCAAATACATAATGTAGTGTTGGCTACACTTATATACTTAGGATGGATCTATGGTTATTCCTTTTGAGAAGAATCCTTAGTATGAGAAACTCTAGAATGAAAATTTATTGAGATACTGCCTTTAGCTTCAATCATTTCATTACATTTTTTTGTTTTGAAATGCCATTACTTTTGCTAGTTGCGTGACAATTTGAATTTTGTGATACAATTGGCTTTTGCTAATTAGTAGCATGGCTTTAAAAGTTGTTGAATTGTTGTATTAATATGTATGGTGTTTGATACTGCAGTTAAACTTGCTGTTGGTGGTTTCAGTATGGGTGCAGCAAGTGCCCTTCATACTGCGGTATGCCACGTGTCCAGGAAATATGCTAATGGAAAAGAGTTTCCAGTCAATCTGAGTGCAGTTCTTGGGCTAAGCGGCTGGCTTCCTTGGGCTAAGTAGGCTTCTTCTACCTACACATTTCCCCTGTTTCTTGTTCTTTGATGATTTCTCACTTCCTGCAGTTCTAACCCTCTTTTGGACGTTTTCTTAGGAGCTTGAACAACAAGCTAGCTGCTAACGAGGCTCCAAATCGGGCTGCATCTTTACCTATAATGCTTTGTCATGGCAAAGGTATGAAACTAGTGCAAAACATATTTGAAGTTTTGGATAAAATAATAGATTATCTGGCAAACCCTGCGGAAATGGTAAAAATACTTGGGAGTATAAGGATTTTAGATGATATTGTGAATAAAATGATTCCCTCTCCAACTCCACTTTTGGAAATTATAAACCCAAAGCATTTTGTAATGGCAGTTGATGATGTTGTTAAATACAAGTTTGGAGAGAAATCTTGGAAGGCGTTGTCTTCTAGTGGCTTTGGCGACGTCACATTTAAATCATACGCTGGGTAATAATAATTTAATTCTGCAAATGCCCTCCCCCATTTCTTTTTTTTTTTTTTTTTTTTCATTTAGGAGAATATTTTGCATGTTTGAAATTCACTTATTGTTGGCTTTGATTGCAGTCTTGGTCACTACACTCACCCTGAAGAGATACAGGATATTTGTAGTTGGCTCAAATCAAAATTGAATCTTGATGGTTGATGCCTGCCACAGTGGACGTGGAAACCTGATAAAAGAGTGGGGGGAATTCATTTTTATGATTTAGGTTACTCTTTTACAGTGAGATTTTATGTGTTAATTTCAGAGTTACTCGTGTTTCTCTGGTTTGATTGTTTCACATATTAGTTTGTATCCGGACAGAAGGTATTGGTGAATTGACCAAATTTGCACTTTGAATTGTCTGCTTATATGATAATTTGGTGATGCATTTTGTGGTCGGAGGGAAAAAAAAATATGTGAAATTGCTCGATAATTTGTGTATAATGTGTTTGTTCTTTGTGCAAGCTTTATCTGTATCCTACATTTTAAGTTTTCCTAGGTACATAATCGATATAATTTACCAAAATCATATCCTTCCCCGTTTAATTTCATGATTCTAGACGAATGCTGCCTCCATATTAGGGTGGTTGTTACTTGCCAGTTTTTGAGAGGGTTGTGAAGGGTGGAAACAATGATTCAGGAACTTGCATGATTCAACTACGGTACCACAATACTTGTGCCATTATGGAATAGTATTAGTGAGATTGAAATCAGTTGCACTTTAATGAAGATATTAGAGAATAATTGAAGTAAAACAATTATGATTCAGTGACTAGGATATACTTCTAATGATAAGACAGAAATACAGGGACTAGGATATACTTCTAATGATAAAAGTAGATAGATATACTTTCACTTCATACTTGCAACCCTTAAACTCCTCCATTGTAGCTTTAGCTATCTAATCTCTAATCATTGATAAATAATACTTCAAGATCGATAATTTGTCTCTTTGCTTGTGTAAGACGAAGTTCAATTGTCTCTTTGCTTGTGTAAGAATTCAAGCTCATACACAAAAACGGGTTGACATCATTATGCGATCACAGATTGGTAAAAGTTCAGAAAGCCCTCAGGGCAATATAATAACAATTACACCAACTTTATGCAAAACCTTAACTTTTGGCTAAGGACTAACATGAGCTGAGAATGCAATCACAATGATACAACTCACTAATTCCAACAAGAAGGTGAGGCCAAAATATACAAAAAATGGAGGTAATTCGTGGGGACTACGGAAATGGAGAGCTCCTCAAGTAGATGTCTCTCTGCTAGCCAGAACTTCGTCTATTGAAAATTCAAGCAAGCAGTCTTCTAAGAAACTAACAAATTGCACCTCTGTTATTCTGCTTCCCTGATAAAAGCAACATCATTACATCCAGGTTTTGGTGATAGCAGCAGAATTTTATCTTGATCAGTATCTTCGCTTTCAGTGTGCTCACGAGGACTGTCTACCGAGGATGATTCCATTCCATCTTCTGAATTCATATTAAACCATAAGCTCAAGTACATATAAACATACCGCCAAACCAAAAATAAAGGCCACAATTCTAATTCAGTTCATCCCAATCTAACAGGGCACTATTTAAATTTAGTACATTAAAATTTGAACTTTCACATATTACTCTTAGTGATAACTTTATAAGAGTTACAAGTATTTAAAAGAAAGACAACATTGGGTGGAGATGTAAATATTTACATAGTGAAAACATAATTATGGTATTGTAGCTATATTTCACAAAAAGATTCCAAACAAATGTGGCCTATTATCTAGGGATGAAGGGAGTAGTATTAAACTATTAATCCACGAAGCTATTACTATTACAAGAGAAGAACAAACAATGTTGCTTTAGTACATACCTATGCAATCATGATACTCGGGCGACTGTTTAATAGTTGTTGTTTGCAGGCTCTCGGGAAGCAGACAGCTACAAACAGCACCTGAAATCCAAAAAATTGCATTTTATTAGCCATTTTCAGACTTGATTGTTCTCTAAAGAGTAGAAGGTGCAAAGCTCATCCCAAATATGACCATTACCCCACCCCTCTAGTGAGGCTCCTACCGTCCTACCTCAGGCAGGTGGCACTACTCTTCATAGCAGCAAAAAGTCAAAAATTCCTTCAGTCCCAAAGTAATCTTCATATTTACCATATTAGTCAGTCCAACACTCTCTCTATCCAGTTCAACTTTTTTAATCACATATTGCAAACGGGTCAGCCCACTATTTTTACCTTAATTTCCGCCAAAGCAAACCAGGAGTATAAATTTGGGGTGGAAGCAGTAAGAAGAACAGAGAATTATGTGAGAGATTTATCTATCAAATACTCAGATGATAACAGAAAGGATCATCCAAAATATGGCACAATAATACCAATAACATGTTATTTAGCTGGAACGGCTTTCAAAAGTAGTTTCCTTTTGGTTTAAACTCCCAAGACCCATCCCAAAAAACTTCAGCACCAAAGTTGAAAATAAAAGGCTCTATTCTACTATACTTCTTGAGGGCAAGGATACTATTGGGTCCATCACCTGGTGGATCAAGGCTCAATGGTAGTTCATGTTGTTACAGCAATATATGGGAAAATCAGAAAACACCAAAACTTCAGCATGTAAAGCTATGAAACAGCCAAATATATATTTACTCTATATCACTTGTCACATTACTCATTCCATATTGCTAGCTGCTAAGTCAAATGAAACTTGTTGGCCACTTTTTAAAAAAAAACAACTGGAACAACTAAACAGCACATGTCCAAAATTCCCCCACATCAATCAAATACCACTAAAATCTTATTGTGATACAAGAGAAATCAAGTTTAATTCTTAAACAAAATGATACAGGGTATAGTAGCCAGTTGTTCAAACATAGAACATGGGAACATGATATGCCCTTCAAACAGGGCTTTCTTGGAGGACAAAATTTTTTGTACTTCATATAACATATGTGTGAAGGACAGATCAGAAAACATGCATGAAGGAACTTTCAGCAGCTACATGAGTACTTTCCAACTTGAAATGCTTTGTCCAAAATTATAAGAACAAGACCAGTGAACCAAATACTTTCTCTGTTTTTTTGGTTGGACTATTTCTCTTTTCATGGTCAAAATTAATTTCTCTGAATTTTGACCTTATCTCTCAATTAGATACATACTATACTTATTACAAAATAAAATAATATCATGTAGGACTTGTTAGATTAGCCACACCCTATATTTTCAAGATATCAAGTCTCTATAATTGTTTATATGAAACTACACTTACTGATGGTGAAAAGAACTCAATGGAAACCAAGAAAAGAAATGGTGTAATTTAAAAAAAAAAAAAAAAAAAAAAAAAAAAAAAAAAAACCCAGAAATATATAGAAAGTGCAGGGCATACCAGTTCGGGCAAGACGGTTGACCCATCCAGGGATATTTTTGCCAGTCAATTTAAAGGAAAGGTCATCTGTGAAATGATTACAATTTTTGGTGATGAGATGATAAGTATCTCCATGGTACTCAGAAGCAACTCGCTCAACGAAATGCTGAAACTCTGGTTGGGACATACTCGTCCGGCCTAATGAGATAGAACATCTGTAAATAAAACCTGGACAGCTCCTTGGTTCTACTTCAAAAACCCCACTAGCCGGAAAATCATGGGCCCCAAATCCATACTCCATGCCATGGACTGTTTATATAAGATGCATAAATGAGAATTGATTTTGAGGAAGTTAAAGGAAACTCTCAATCAATGTCTTAGAAGACATAAAGATCTGTCTTTGCTGAGGCAAAGTGAGGTGCATGATTCCAAAAACGGGGAAAAAAATAGCAATTTATACCCCTTTTCCACCACACACACACACACACACAAAAAAAAAAAAGAAAAAAGAAGCTACTACTGGCCTAATGCTGATCTTTCCATAATAAAGACATCAGTTATACCATGATATAAAATTACATACTCCTTCCATCACTAAGTAATTGCATGGGTTAACAAAGTGCATTTACTTAAAAGCTACATAAAACAAGAAAAATGGACGACCTTAACCATCACCATTGAATGTTAACATACAAAAACATTACCACCATAATGAATGGTGTTATAGCCCTTATGTGATGCCAAGATTCAAGTGTAAAATTATGGAGATTCATGAGTTATTTTTGTCAACAAAAGACTTAAAAAGCTACATTAATTTAAATAGGCACCTAAAAGATCCATTGTTTGTGTCTCAAGAAGCTGGAGTGCCCTAAGGTGCATCAGTAGTGATTTGCCTTAGCAAAAATTACCCTAGCCTATAGCCACAAAGGCATTGAAGCACACTGGTATAAATCAATGAAAACTAGAAAACACAATGTCCAAGACAAAATCATCTAATAGTGAATTTAGACCATTAAAAAAAGAGCAATTAGTACCTAAGCATTTTTTCTTTTAAAATCCCTATAAATCTAGCTTGAAGCCTTATGTTCCGACACAAGATCAATGTGCACCAAACTTTACAGTCAAAACAAAGGAATAGAAGTAACAAATCTTGAATTGAGAATGATGGGATGATAACAATATAGAAAAACACACTCACTAATAAGAAATTTCTGGTAACTGATAACAGTCCATAGTAACCAGCATAGACACACAACTCTCTTGACTCCTTCAAAAAATTCAGAACTATCATCAAATGGTGCCATCCCACAATATCACCAACATTAGATTATTTCAGAGAACATCATTATAACTCCGATAAGTTTCTATGCTCATACACCAAGAAAGACGTACTGTCTAATGGGACTACCACAAAATATGTACTTATTAATCTTCTATTCTAGTTCAAGGTTCCTCTTAGCTATATGGTTTATATTTCCGAGCTCGGTTATATCACTACACAAGTGCAGATGGTTATAGAATACTGAGATCCTTTAAGTATTTGACAGAATAACAGGAAGAGTTTAAACAACTTACAATACCAATTTTACAAAACACCAAATTAAGACCCTAATCAAACAATAACCTAACAATTACCATATTGATGTAGAGAAACAACCCAGATCAAATGGAAAGAACCCAGATCACACACATAAATAATCAATCAATTCAACAAAAATAGAGTGCAACAAAATTTATAAAAATCAAGAAATTGTTAGATAATAATAGCAAAAGTTACAAGAAATAACCTTCAATGCCGGAATGAAAAATCCCAAAACCGAAGCAGTAGGTGTAATGATTAAGAGGGGTTAGGTCATACACATTCAATACCACCTGGGTTTCAATTCCTCCGTCATTTTTAGCCGTTGATGATTCTTCATTACCCATTTTTTGAATTTCCCCCTTTTTTCCCAATTAGTTTTTTTTTTTTTTTTTTAAAAAAAAAAAATCCTCAGAAAATACTGAAACCCTCTTTTCAAGAACAAAACTTTGTTTTCAGGTGATGAGGATTTTGACAAATCCCCAGCAACCCAGTAACAAAGCAAAGCTTCTGAGATCAGCCCTGCTGTTGTGTGTGGATGAGAGAGAAAAAGAAGGGAGAAACAGGCAATTTTGGGGCCTCCAGTCAAATTTTATAGGAATATTTGAACGTGGTTGGAAAACCAAATATTTAAACAAAAACAAAAAAAAAAACAAAAAAAGAATGATTTTCAATTATGTTCGTTGGTGGATTTGGTCGAAAATATTGAAGGGATAGAGGTTTGAATCTCTAATATCTCACTCAAAACTAGTCATTATATTTTAACAGGGGATTTTTCTGTGTAAGCCACACCGTGTGGTCGGAATTACTCGAGTTACTCCTGACCGAGTACTCAAGTAACCCCTTACCGAGTAATCTCTCGAGTAACCCCTGACCAAACCCCTTAAGTAATTCCTGACCGAGTAACCTCTGACCAAACCCCTTAAATAATCTCTGACCGAGTATCTCGAGTAACCCCGGCCACACGGTAGGTCAGCCACATATATAAATTTGGTGATCCTGATATTTTATAAGTAAAATGAGTTATTTAAATATTAATTAATCAAAATACGGAGAAATTCATAAGTGAATAGACAGTCTTAGTTTAAGGTCCCCTTCTAAATAAATAAATAAATATAGAGTTTAGTTTCACATGAATTAAATTTTGTTACACCATGTCACCATATGAGTTTACATGCATATAAAACAGCTCAACTATGATGAGATTCTTGATACTTTGATTTTGTATAAAAATGTGCATTAGAATTTACTAATTTAGTCTTTGTTGGCATTAGTCATCATATCCCTTCAACTTGAATGAGTCAAGTTGGATAAAAGTAACCTAATATTGTCATGGGAGTATTATATTTATATGGAAGTTGAAATTTGGTCAAATATATCAACTATGACAATAAGCAAACTGATATGATAATCAAATTTGACATATTTGTAGTGATTAAAAATAAAAAAATAAAAAAAAATAAAAACTATACTTGTAACATATGTTGCATTGAATACATGACAAAAGATGACATCAAGTATCAATTGCCTAATATAGTATCTCTAACAATGTAAGCAATATTTTATATGCTATTCTCTACTTGAGTAAAATATTAATTTCCAGGAAATAGTATATCCAATGGTGGCAAAATTAAATCTAATACTTAGGTCAAAAATATTAATAATTTAACTTAGGCCAAGATTTATTTAGATAAAAAAACTTGGAGATTAAAAATAAAGCCTTTTCTAGGCACTTTCTTCAAATAAGAATGTTTTCTAGAGAAGAATGGTTTTATCAATTGATACAATGAAAGTCAACTTCTTTTTTTCCAATTAAAAAACACTGGGTTTTCAGAGATTCTTAGACCACATTTTTCCCACCAATTCTCTAGTCAAACCTTTTGGGTGACCAAGTACATTATAAAAGAAATACAGAAACAAGTCGCAACTGCAAGCCATATATATTAATTGCTAAATGTAATTTTGGGGGGCATATGAGTTCATTAAATAGAGATTAACAAATTGATCAAATTCAAAAGCTATTGAATTAAAATGACAGTACAGCGTTTTTTTTTTTTTTTCAATGTCAATCTCGCTGTAATATCCATGAAGCACCGTGTAATGAAATGCTGTAGTATGAGATGCCGCTTCTGCAAGTCTGTGATGCTGTGATCATTTCTTTTCAATGGAAAAGAGAGGATAGCTTTGTGCTGCAAGGTCAAACCTTTCGATTCTCAACAGCTCGAATGATATCTGGTGAAGTCCATTCCATTTATATACAGAAGCAGAATGGAAAAGAATTTAGAGTAAGCAAAAAAAAAAAAAAAAAAAAAAAAAACGACGACAACAACAGATGCAAAGCATAAATATATTTGGAAGTTGGAACCATCAAACAACGATGAAAAAAGCATGTAAGCTATGCTGTTGTAGCTGGTGCAGCTCCAAGAAACAACACTGAAAGAAGCTAGAGAGCAGCAACACTTGCTACAGATGTACTAGCAACTTCTACAGAAATAATAAAGCAGGCAGTTACAGCTGTAGCAAAAACACAAGGCAGCAGCTACGCCAAAGACCATCGACCGTATCTATAGCAGTATAGTAAATTGAAAACTCTGTTCCACAGGCAGTTCACAAGCTATGCTGTTCAGGGCAGATGCTGCAGAAGGATAAATTCCTTCCAATGTAACAGTCACAAGGAAGCTTCCCTTCCACAGAAAAACTAATTCATCGCTTGCATAAAACATGTCCTACTTTATTATCAACAATTTCTCAATCTTGCACATTTACAAATTTAGTTCATATATTCCACAACCAAAGGATGTCGACATTGGTAATGATACTTTGGTCAGCAGAATAATTGGAACTTCATATATTCAGTATTGATGGAATAATGATGCTTCATATCTTCATCTAGTAAACATTGTAAATTGCATCAATGAAATACCACTAATAGCATCATTAGACAAACACAAACTAAGACTTTGGTAAACACTTGTTACACTAGTTATAATTCGCATAATAATTATTAAACCATTATTTTTTTTTAAAATGCTACAGTTAAACATGCATTCCATTGATAATATAAGCACAAGCAACATCACAAATGATACCAAAAAGCTACCATTACAGCTTATATTAAAATAGCCTTCAGTAGAGTTTTAATAAAGAATGGCCCATATAATGCAAAACTACACTGGTATTTACTATTTAGCACCTCAATAGTTTACCATGGGCTACAATTATATACATCAACTCATCAAGAGAATGTCTTGGATTAAAGTGCATGTATAAAGAGACACGTCAAATAAACATACCATACAGCATTACAGAATTCTAATTCAATGACAACATCAAGAAACGACAACTAACCTGTATGCTGAGCCAAGGGCAATAACACTAGTTCTTCACATCTAACTCACTAATCCTTTGCTTTAGTTAAAATCATAGAGAATTCCAAAGCAAGCAACTCCTTATGTTCTTTGAACTTGAAGAAATACTAGAGGAATCAATGAAGCTTCTTCAAATTGGATTAGAGATATTTGCACACACTGAACATACATAAACTTTCCATATTTTGTCTGAATTATTCTTACATACTTTCATGCATGACCATTATGGAAATTCTGGCCTGCTCATAGAAAATATAGGGGCACTAGCAACATAACTAGTTAGGAGCTTAGTATGCCACGCCAATGCTTCAAGAAAAATGTTGAAATGACACACCACCTTTGCTAAAGCACTGGCACTTTACAGAATGCTAGCTTAGCAAATTTAATGTTGGAGTGGTATCATTTCCTCAAGTTTCTTCCCTTCTTTCCCTCCCATAACCATTGATGGAACAAGTATCCTTCTCTCTCTCATCTCAAATTTCCATCACTAATGTCTTGTAGTTGTGGACATTCCTGAACAAAAATGCTTGGTAGGCCATCCACATCATCAATTTTCTTACTCCGTACAACACAAGCACGCAAAAAGTTAGAGCTATAATGTATAAAAGTCTAATGTTTCCACTATAGATATTATACTTGGGTAACATGTAATACTATTTTTTAAGCAGCTCCAATATTTCTTAGAAAGGTCCTATAGAAATAGGTACAAAAGAAGTATAATGAATGTATTTCATTAGATTATCATATTTAAATGTGCTCTTAAATTGTAGTTTGAAGTCAAGTACCCGTTTGGCCTCCCTGCCACCGTTATCATACATATTTATCAAAGGTCTTGCAAGGTAATCATCAGACTGATCAAACTGATTCTTCAGAAGGTATCCATAGATTTCTCTCCCTAATCTAAGAGCCCCTGTTTCTCCACAGGCAGGAATGAGTATCATATAAGTAATAGGGCTTGGTTCAACCCCTTCTTTAAGCATTCTATCAAAGAGTCTGAATGCCTCGTGCTCCAAACTACTGTTGATGTAACCTGCAATCAATATGTTCCATGTAACTGTATTCCTGTTATTTGTTCGCCAAAAAACATCTGTTGCTGAGTTTATATCATTGCATTTTGCATACATATCAACCAGTGAGCTTGATACAAAAATATTAGAGTCAAGCCCTTTTCTGACAATATAAGCATGAAGTTCCTTCCCATGGCGCCATGAACCTAAATTAGCACAAGCTGCAAGGGCACCAGTAACAGTTACAGTATTTGGTTCAATCGAATTTTCCATTATCTGAGGAAGAAAGCTGACACTATGAGGTGATTGCATGGCCTGGAACAATCTCAGAGCTTCATGACTCATGCCAGCTTGCTGATAGCCAGATACTAAAATGTTGAATGTAACAACATTTGGTAACAAACCCATTTCAGGCATTTCATACAACAGTTTGAAAATGTCCTCAATTCTTCCATGCCCGAAACAGGCAGCAAGCATAGTGTTATAAGTAATAACATCAGGTTTTGGACCAGAGTCTTTCATTGACATAAAAAGGCTTTGAGCTGATTCCACATTTCCATCACTCATGTAAGCTGCAACCATCTCATTGCATACGAAAGTACTTTTGTGCATTATCCTGACGAAAATATTTTCTGCATCATCAATCCTTCCATTTTTCCAATACATACCAATTAATGACCCATCAACATGAGAATCGCCATGAAGACCAAGTTTAATAATGTATCCATGAATTGCTTTTCCCAAATTTAGATCTTTCAAGCTAGCACAAGCTGGTAGAATGCTGGAGACTGTCACAACATTAGGGATCAAGGAAGTCCGAAACATTTTAACAAATGCATCTAAAGCATCTCCATAAAATCCATTCTGAATGCAGCCTGAGATAATTCCATTCCAAGTGTTCTCTTGTGGCCTAACCCCTTTTCTTTGCATCTCTTCTAGACTTCTAAAAGCCATTTCAATCTCCCCATTCATGGCAAGGCCTGAGACAAGGGCATTCCAAGAAATCAAGTCGGCTTCCACACCTTCCAACTCCATCTTGCAAAATATGTCCATTGCCTTGTCAAGAAGACCATGAACCATATAAGCAACAATGAGGGCAGTCCAAGAAACCACGTCCCTTGAGTTCATTGTGTCAAAAACACTCTTTGACAATCTCAATCCCCCACAATTTGTATACATATCAATAAGAGCATTCCCAACAACAACATCTTCATCAAGCCCCCTCCTAATGGCATATCCATGAACCATTTTACCAATGTTTTCCACTCCCATTACAGAAGAAGCTTTTAAGATAGTTGGTATAAGATATCTGTCAGGTAACATGCCATCATTTATCATCATCCCAAGAGCCAAGAAAAGATCAATCCATTTCTCGAATCGACAGAATGAGCTTATCAAAGCAGCATGCGCGGATACAGTTCTCCTTGGAATTTCATCAAACAGCCTGATAGCATCACTTAACAACTCTAAACTCTTTGAGTAGGCCACCACTAGCATATTCCCTGTGAAAGAATCAGCCTTTAAAGCACCCACTTTGACAAGACGTCCATGGACTTGTTTACAAGTGGAAGAATTGTTGTTAGTCCCACTACTATTTCTGTTTATTTGGTTAAGGAGAGCAAAACATTCAACAACCTCATCTTCCACAGCTTGATGATTGGAGTTAACAAAATCATTAGCATGTTGGATTCTTGACAATAAGTAGTTTTTACGGTGTGGTAAGTCCTTAAGACCCACATTATGAGTTGCTGCAGCCTCAGCTTTAAAATTTTGCACTAAATTGAGCTTACATGGAAATAAATTCAGGAAAGGAGTGTTATGAAATGGAATGGAAGTAAGTAATCCAGTAGCGGACATTGTAGGGAAAAACTTTGGAAAATTAGCCGATAGAGAAAGAGAGTGGTGGCAAAAAACTTCCATGTTTGAAGTTTTATACCATAGGAACCAAGGTAGGTTCAAGCAGGCTCACCGAGAGGTTATATGTATTCAACCAAGTAAGCATCATTGCATCTCTGGGACTCTCGGCCAATAGAGGATCTAAAAAATTCATATTGGAGGTCAGAAAGTTAATATGTACATGCTACCCTAAAATTCAATATAATGTCATATCATTGAAGACAACAGCCATAATCAAAGGATAATTACACGCAATTAAACATCATTATAAGAAAATCACATACAACAATTTTTGTCATTTAAACAAACCAAGAATCTGGTGCTAACAACAATCTCCCCATAACTTCCATTACTACTGACAAGATAAGTCTTTCTTAGTTTCTTTGTATACTGGGATATATTTCCGTGCATTAGTACGGGTACGCTCTAGGATATCAGACACAGAAAAACATTATCATCATCTCGCTTTCGTCTTCTATGCAATAACCAACATTAAAAAAAATCACAATTTCAGTAAGAAGCAATGTATAATACCATCATCCAAAATTAGTAGAAACACATAATATTTAAAAAATACCCAGCAATAATGTTCAAAACTTTCAATTAACAATTATCCTATACATCAAAAAAAAATTAAACTTGGAAAACAATTTAGTAACTAATTCACCTTGAAAATTAATCACAAAATCAATCAATTCACCAACTAAGCTGGTAATCAACAATTTAACTACCCAAGCATTTCAACTAATTACAAACAAAATTCTAAAGAAAATATATTTGAAGTTGCCAACATGATAATTAATTACCAAAAAAAACGAAAGAGTGAAGCAACGAAAGAATTTACCTGAACAGAGGATTTTGGTATAGCCGCGGTGGGTCGGGTGGAGTTGCAGGTGGGCCGGTGTTGGGCTTGGTGGAGCAGCAGTCCGACCCCGTCAGAAAAGTGGTCTTCTGACCCGGAAGAAAACGGGTGTGGTGGTTGCTCAGTGGAAAGACAGAGAGAGAGTTGAGTGAGGGTACGAGAGGATAAGGGACTTTGGGAATTTTATTTACTCACCAGAATATAGGCTCCAAATCCATTATACAGTAAATATCTTTGCTTTTTTTTTTTTTTTTTTACATAAAAAATTTAGAAAATGTGGTTAAACTAACATTAAGGACACATTTTCTAAATTTCTTTTGTAAAAAAAAAAAAAAAAAAAAAAAAAAAAAAAAAAAAAAAAAAAAAAAAAAACATTAAGGAGAAATATGGTGTTTTATGTTCAGAAAACTACATTTGTTACGAGAACGAGTAACAATTTCTAAATTAAATGTTAAATCTAGACTTGACTAACCTAACCTGATATAAATAAAGTTTTTAGTAGTATTTTTTTTCTTACCTTTCTTTAATAATCTATGATTTCTAATTTTGGTTTGTTTCGAGAGAATATAAGACCAAAATTTAATACAAGATTGCTATTAGTTTAAAGAAAAGCATAGTTTGTTTCAAAAAAAAAAAAAAAAAAACATAGTTTTCAGCGTCTCATAAATAAAAGGGCATACATACTTATATTATATATAATAAGTGGATGATTTAATTAGTTAAAGTCTTGAGGGTCGTACTCAAGAATTCAAGACTTGAAATCTAGGATAAAATCCCGAATAAAGAGGAAGATTTTATTACGATGTTAAACTAGTTTATTATCGACAAAAAAATGTTCTTATAAGTAAGAATGACTTCACAATTCACCATTAAAAGAATCTATGGGGACTTGGGGAGGTGAACAGAACCAAAATGTTTCTAACATAGGATTCATAAACGTATTCATTAGAGATAATATACTTCATGTTCAGTATACTCTAGCCTTTCTTAGTAATTTGAGCAATAAAAAATTGGATTCCATATATAGATACAGAAACAACTTAATTCAATAATTAGATGAGACTTTTAGACATGGCAACTTCTTTGAAAGAGAACAAGAGCTGATTCCTCCATAGAAAAGATTGACAACATAATATTTGCTTCATTATTCAAAGATAAAATATACACACAGGTACCTAGATATTCTATTATAAATAACAACAAATGAATTTGGGGGAGAAATTTAAGTGCGAAATAAGGGAGAGAAACAAGGATTGCAATTGCACTGCAAACCATAGAGGTACAAAAATTAGTATCGTTTTCAAATTGGTACATTTTCGAGAAGAAAATTACAACCCCGCTCATTTTATATGTGATACAATGATAAACCAGCATATATTCTACGAGTATCAAAGAAATTCTTCAGTACAGTTCTGAACCAATCTAAAAGTGAAGCAAAGGAACTGCCCAAGCGATTTTATCTCCAAGTTCTGCAGCTTCCTATTAGCCACTGATACTATCCCTGAATTCCCCCAAATGCCTGAGAAAGTTGACGATTTTAAACTAAGACACATGCCAAACTGCAACAAAGATATTCAGCAAGAAAGATATGCCCAAGTCCAGTTCTCTTACAGTAAAGTAACTCTAGTAAGGCACTCAAGATTCGTCGTCCGGGGTGGGGAGACGTCTTCTCACACGACGCCTCCAAGGGACTGAGCCGTCATCAGAGGAATCCTCATCCTCTACGGAAGCAGACCCTGTTTCAGCCTCAAGGCTCTCTCCCCATAACCTAGCAGACGATCTCCTCCTAGTACCCTGTTGTGCTCGGGTTCGAGACCTGGAGGTACCAGACCAACTACTGCTGCTCCTGGGACTAGATGAAGGACGCCAAACCCGAAAGAGGAAAAATATGGTGATCCAACCACGCTCATCCATCTGAAGATTGGCATCTTCATCTTGATCTTCCATAAAGGAAGATTGGATTGTACTGAGCACATCACCTATATCCCTTTGCCTCTCAAGTCTTCTCCAATTTCTCTGCCTCTCAGGATCAGCCTCAGAAGGTCTCACTAATGGATGCTCTACCCTTGCATGCTTTCTCAGATCAGTGTAATTGCCACTAAACTCACAAGTCTCACAGGCACAGCTTCGAATCTTGGCATTCATAAAATCACGAGCTGACTCTGCCACAATCCACCCACTAATTTGTCCACGACATAGAGGGCAAACAAGCTTCTGCTGAAGTTTATGCATGCTAGCAATCTCTGCAGCAACAGAACCTTGGGATTTCCCTTCGTCCTGCGAGGTCACCACAGTTTCAACGGCCACAATGTCTGATGACTGCACGGGAGGCTGAATTCCTTCTTCTGTCAGCGTTTCTGCTGAAGCTTCTGTGAAAGACTTGCGAAATTGATCTAGGCAATTGGAGTGTCGATAGCTGGTATCACACATGTATGGGCGACAACCCTTGTCATATGCCGAACAAATGAGAAGCACAGCATTGTGAGGATGCTCCATACAAACGGCGCATCTGGCATCCTCCCATTCTTTCAAGTCCTCCACTGTTGCTGGAGGACTTTTGGCCTTAGTTTCACAAGACAAACTCGAGCTGCAAGGAACAGGTGACTTTCTAGATCTCTCAAAAGAGACAGAACGATCTCTTCTTGCCTTAGGCATGTTGATATACTGCAGTTTGATACCTAGATCACACAGAAAATTCATAAGCAACTGATAAGTGAACCCAAATACTCAAGTATAGGACACCAACAAGTAACAAGCTAAGTCTAGAATGACTATATGAGTATATGAGACCAATTCAATGATTTGATCTGAGATGAGGTTACTTCTTTTTATGAAGGGTAACATTCATATTTTCGTGAATTTCCATTACATGATGTTCCCAAATTCCAACAAGAGGAACCCGAAAATGAGCAAAGCAAAACCATGATGTTGTCATGTTGCATAATGATAGATTGTATTAAGTATTGCAAGATTGTTCAAAAATAAATGATCAAAAATCAAGCAATCTTAGTTAGTATAATCAAATTGATGAGCATATCTGCATATCATTCCACCACGCCATATCAGGGTAAAAGAAAAAGGAGACTAAGCTTAGTGATGCAATGAAGAAAGAACTCTTTCCAGCTTAAAAACCCACAGCTGGATGATAAACTAACCAGTACATTCTATTCCATTAATCTTTAATTTTAAATAACACTGCAATATGAAAGTAATAAAGCAGCAAAATACAGCATTTATCACCATGCCTTGCAGATACATGATCAAAACAAGAAATCAAAATGAATAAAATTTCCATCATTCCATTCACAAGTAGAACACATTGGTCTCTTCTAGCAGATACCAATTGACATACATACATACATACATACTAGTAACTGTTAGCTTCTCTTCCAAAGATATACAACACCATGAACATCCCTGTGAAATGGATCAATGGGAGTTGAATTCTCCAAATGCAGACATCTGTAACGTTCTCCAAATGAATGAACCAGCATACCTCAACTTTCACCCTAAAACCTTAGCTCATATCATAGGAGAAGAAACTTAAAGAAATTAGAGATGGTATGACAGACCAAGAGTATATTTAATACCAAGTGTCTGCTGCTTAACCCAGAGTAATTCCATTATCTGCACCTTCTGAGTATTCCACTGACAAGCATTCCAAACTACAGCTTCCATGCTAATACTACATAGATACAACGATACACTCCACCTGAGAATTTGCACTAAGACATAAATCAGACGACTAGTATACGCGTCTTCCCATGTGATCTTTCAGTATACACGGCTTTGAACACAATTTACCTTTACCAGCCCAACTCAGAGAATGATCCATACATGGTTGTTGCTGCTGTCATAAGCAAACCAATGGTATATAGTTATGTTTGACCATATGATTCTGAACAGTCCATGAAAAATTGTTCTCATAACCTTTCATGTAAAGCCAGAGTAACATACATTCTCGCACAAACATTGCTTCCTTGATGAATAAAACACCGGTGTCCATATCGCAAAACCAACCAGTTCTATGTTCTCCAATCTGTGTTTGAAATGGAATCACCGTCATTTTAATTAGGCCTTTTTGCCTAATACACATTGTATGATGCGGAAACAGCTTCAATTTCCAGCATATGAGTCAGCAAGTAGAGCCTCAATGCATAACTAACAGTAAACAACTGTATCAAAGCAAATGACAACCTACTTTAACAAAATCCTAAATACCTAACAGCAAATCTACCTAGGAATATTTCAAATACAACATAAAGCTTGAATCTTTAACCCCAATTTAACAATTCATCTGGGTTTCTTGCTGAACCAACCTCGAATTCACCCAATCATAAACCATGAAATATCAAACCCATAAAAATAATTCAATCCAACAGGCAATTACAGTTCGTACATTTGAAACAATGCACCAAAAAACTCAATCAACAACAGCAAATTTCCGCCGCCTCAAACTGACAACAACCGAACCAAGCAATTCAACCTTTACACAAAAAACCCAACAAATCCCACCAAAATCAAAACCCTAATAACAAAACCAAGATCCCCAAAACACAAAATTCGATTCGTAAACAAAAACACAAGAATCAATCAAAAAAGAAGGTGGGTAAAATTGGTCCAATTAAAATTTAGGGTTTTCATCGGAATAAAAAATTATTACCAGAAATAGCTAAGATGTCGATAAAATTGAATGAACTAGGGTAAACGATCGACGATTTGAAATCCGAAATTAAATAAATTGATGATCTTTGAATTCTTCTTGTTCTTCTACTGGTAGGTAGGTGTGATGCTGGGTTTCACTGCTTCGAAAACTCTGTAATCAGAGAGAAAGAAGAGAGAGAAGAGGGATGTTAGAGAGAGAAACTTGACGCCTTAAAATTGGATGAGAGTTTTAGGCCGTCTTATTTATATGCAACTTTTTTTTATTGCTGACGTGGAATTAGTGGTTTTTATTTATTTATATTTTTTGAAATTTAAAAGAGATTTTGGGGTAAAAATGAAAATGCATGTTTGCTTACAAAGTCGGCGGCGCGTAAATGTAACTTTAATCATTACTGTCTCGGTTTTCTTTGTGTGTGGGTATCACGCGCTATTGCTTTGGTAGTTCACTAGTTTGGTTAATGTTTTTTTTTTTTTTTTTTTCACTTACAAATGATATTGGCAATTTGAGCATTTGAGCACTCCCAGCAGTGAGGAGAAAAGCCCTCACGAGTAAAAATAAGGGTGTAAAAAAAAAATCCGAACACTACATCAGTGAGTGAAAAAACACTCACCGATGAGTGAAAATAAAAACCCTCAAGAGTTGAGGGCTTTTGGTGATGAACAGTAACATGTGGCCCCCACTGCTTTTGTTGTTTTTTTACAACGGTTATATTTTGTATTTGAAATATAACCGTTGTAATTATTTTTTAAAAAAAAAAAAAAATTCACCAACGACCATAAAATTTTTTTCTCTATAAATAGACATGCATTTTGATATACTTTCAAAAAAACCCATAAATTAGAGAAATTAACATATTTTCCCAATTTCTTCTTGTTATTATTATTATTATAATTATTTCTTATAAAAAAAATTTCCATTTAGTATTATTAATATTTTTAAACGTAATTATAAATTTTTATTAAATTATTTTTAAACGTAATTAAAAAATAAATTAAAAAATAGTGGAGGAGAAAGTGATGAGAGGTTTTTTTTTCTCCTCATTGCTGTGGTGAAAAAAACATTTGATGAGAGAAATTGTATGGGAGGAGTGAGAAAGTGGGTAGAGAGAGATTGAGAGGTTTTTTTTTCCTCACTGCTGAGAATGGTCTTTGACTTGAATTCATTCAAATTGGGTTGAAGACTGCTTTTTTTTTTTTTTTTTGTTAAGACTTGTATTCTCTTCGTCTTTATTTTATTAAGTAAAACATTTCTCTAGAGTGTATATGGCAATGTAAAATTTTGACTAATAAAATCTATAATTATCAATCAGTAAAAATTATAACAAATGAATCAAGTACCTACAAAGTTATATTTTTTTCTTATGTATAAATTACTAACATTAGTCATAGTGGATTGAGTAAATAATGCAAAAAGTCAAAACGAATCTCTTCAAAAATTCGGAGTGAGTATAAATTTGGACGACGAATAACTCAATTTAAGTAGAGTCTAATCGTGTTGTATTCAAGTATGTTTATAATTTGTTTACTCGTATCTTATCAAATTAAAACAATATCATGTTCTCTTAGTTTCACGGTGTTTTTTTAATTTTTTTTTTTTTTTTTTTTTTTTTTTGTAAAAAAAAAAGAGATTTGAACATATAAATTAATGGTTCATTTGATTAAATGTAGGAATTGTAAATTTATTAGAAATTCATATATTCATTTAATTGAAATTCCTAAGAAATGCTAAATTTATATTCCCATGGGAAGTTCTAGTTATCTATGTTTCTCTAGGTAATTAAATTCCTCTATTTTGTGGAAAGTGGAATTTCCTAGAAATTCGTACTTCTCATGAATTAATCAACCAAACAACACAAAAGAATTTTAATTCCTAGGAATTTCGCCAACCAAACGACACCTAAGTTAAGTTTAATGTATTTAGTCATTTCAAAGATTGAAGTTAATTTGTCTCGAGGCATGGGCAATATGTGTGTTTTTTTTTTTTTTTTAAATCCGTATTTGGAATTTAGTTTTATGAGTTAAAAAGCTTTGGAAAAGCTCCTAATATCCTTGAAAGTCACTAATTTCAACCAACCAAGGAATTGAAGAACAAAACATTATTTATCAAAATGTTTGTAAAATACTACTGTAAAATGTAGCTCTTGAAGTTAATTCACCTTTAACATTTACTTTGCTAAAAAATAAAAAAAAAAAAAAAAATAATTTTATCAATGCACCATAAATTATTAAATTTTAGTTTTATGGTTAGTCTCTCTATCAAAATTGTATTTTCAAAGTTAGTGGACTATTTTATTTTTCAAACCTCGGAAAGAATTATTGTAATTTTAAGATCGTAAAGATAACTTATGAATAAAACGAGGATTTTTTTTTTAAAAAAATGCAAATAAAATCGAACCCTTAGTTTTTGGGTGCAAAAAGGCCCAAGGAGTGAATGGATTCTATGGCCCAAATACTGGAGGGCCAAATACTCCACAATCCAAAGATTTGCTTATTACATGGATGAGCACCATTGCACAAGGTGTCTATTAAAATGGCCAATTTTTACTAAGGAGGCGTTTGGTTAGTGTATTTTTTGGATTGGAAACAGATTCGATTAAGCCGATATCGTTATCATGTGTTTGGTTAGAAGGCATGATAACAATTACCATTACCTAAGGGTAATGGTTACCCCTCATTTATTACCTCTAAAAACTTAGAGTAACAAATACCCTTACCCTCCTCTCATTTGTTACCTCTCAAAAACTTAGGGTAACAAATACCCTTACCTCCTTTTAACAAATTAAATACCGGTTAAACCAAACAAATGAAAAGGTAATAGTTAAATAATTCTTTTCTCCCCTCTTATTTGTTTCCTTTCTATTCCATTTCCATTATCCGAACCAAATGCCCCCTTTAAGTACGCATTTCATATTTACATAGTTACATACTTACATGTTACTACAAAAGTAGTGTTACTTCAAGCTAAACCTCTCAAGAGTCAAGACAATTTGAGAAGACTTTGGCACCAGATGGCTGAAAGCTGTATCTCAAGTGCCTTCTCCCCTCTGAACTTGATATTGTAAACTACGACATCTACGGAGATATCAAGTATCACAAATCATAGAAAGGAAAATTGAGGGGAAAATGGAAAAATCATTTTACATGAAAATATTTTTTATCAGACCATACACACCCTTATGTTGTAAAATAAGGTATTTTCAAGACTGTGAGAAATGAATAAACAATACAATCGAAAAGTTGATCTTATAATCAATGGAATAAATATGGTGTGTCGTGATGCAAATCACCGACTTAAAAACGAAATTCCGGCGCAACCGAGGTGCTCAATTGTATTCGCCGGCACTTTCCCTAAGGTTAACACACCACTCTCATACAAAGGCACTTTTGGATGAGAGGTTGGAGTCAAACTTATGCCTAAAAATAGGAATTTGTTTAGCTTTATGTGTTTGGATGATAATCTTATTTATGTAGCACGTGTATATTATATTTGTGAAAGAGTTCCAAGCAATATATAAACTATGCAAGGAAGATAAAAAGGCAAATGTAACCTCTCCAACAAGTGAATTAATCAGAATAAAGGTGAAGATTAATCATCATAAACAATCACATAGTGAGGGGAGTTAAAGTAACACTGCAACCTGAGATCGCTACTAGAGAGCTACTAGACATGAAAAAGTCTACTCCACAACCCACTTGTGGGCAAACATGGTAGGCCACAACCTACTTGTGGAGTAAACTGATCAAGCTTTAGAAAGATCACAAATCAACCAAAAAAACATGATTTTTACTCTCTTTACTCCAACACCTTAGTGGTGCATTATAGATTTATTTATTTCTGTTTTTTAACTTAATATTCATCCATGTAGCTGCAATGGCGCGCAATTCTTTAGCTCTCAGAGTAAGATGGTCGGCATGCACTTAATTAGGACTAAACAACCAGTACCTCTCTAGTAGCGATCTCAGGTTGCAGTGTTACTTTAACTTAGAGTTACGTTGATCATAAGAGCACGTTGATAAGAAGTGTTTTGGAAACAATAATGAGAAGAATATAGCAGCCTAGCTATCTACTGAGTACCTAGTTAAGTGCTCCCTAAGGCGAAGATTACATGTATATCATATGGTCGTGAAATTTACTCGAAATGCATCAAACTTTCATACAAACTGCTTATCAGAATTTCATTAAAACTCAAGCAGGCAGGCAGGGAGAAGAAAAGCAATTATCAAAGGTGAAAAAGTAGCTATCAAGATAGAAGTACAAATCAGTAGCGAAGTCTACTTTTGTGGACTGAAGTTTTAATGATAGTACAGTTAATTTGGCCCAATAAAACTAATTAAGCCCAATTTATTGAAGACCATCATTACTTTTGAAGCCCAAATAATACCAATTTAAAGACTTGCTAAAATGACCCATCTAGAATATGGGATGCCCAAGTACCTTAGATTCAAAGCCTAATATTTATAGATTTTTGGGTTTTTCTTAGCTATACCCCTAAGGTAGTCGAGTTTCTAAGGTGTACCCATGCTTTTTCAAGTTTCTAAGCCGTGCCCTTCAATTACTTATCATACTAAAATGTACCCTTATTAGTTGTTTAAAAGTTAATTGAGAGTGTGATTTCTTGGCTTCAGTTTTCGTTATTAGGGTTGCGGTGGCTAAGATTTCTTTCTCCTATCATTTCCTTACCTTTTATCATCTTTTTATTAAATTTATAGTTAACTTTAGGTGACGTGGAAATCCCAAGGAGGGTATCATTCATTAATGGTAGTGAGTTGAGGGGCACAACTTAGAAATTTGAAAAAGCATGGGTACACCTTAGAAACTCGACTACCTTAGGGGCATAGCTTAGAAAAATCCTAGATTTTTTTATATTGAGATAAAAAGGAGCCAAAACTACTTGAGGTCAATAGGTCCTGGGTTCGAGGCTTAGGACTGACATTGTTTGAATTTTTTTTTTCTAAACACCAAAAAATTCGCTGGCGAAAAAAAAAAAAAAAAAAACTCTCTTAAGTTGCATTGGAAATCCATGTTTATATTGCATCCAATGCCCAATTTGTCGAACAATGACTCATGTTCCAACATATATTAACTTGACATGTCAAATGATATACTAGTATAAGTTCCTCGGTTTTTCATAATATATTTGAGAGATATTTGATTTCTTTAAATATTTCCCTTTTTAATGGGTTCGTTAAAAAAAAAAAAAAATTGTTCAAAATAGTTAAACCTAATTTTTTAATTAATTTATAAAGCATAAAAATTACTCACCTAAACTTTTAAGATTAAAAGAGGTAGGTAAAGAGATTGATTGCATTGAACCTTCACTAGATTACACATTCATGTACCAAGGAACTTTATCTATTGATGTTGATTCTAGAATTCTAGATAAACTATCAATCTTTTCATAGTTTTGTTATGTTCCCGACCAACTAGACATCAAGCTTTTATTTTGTTATGATATAGATTCTATATACCTCAAAACCCTCACATGAGGAAATTATCTTATTGATTGTATTTTCTGGTTTATCACCTTACTGTTGCTTTCTTTTGCTTCTTGGATAACATTATTTAATTGATAAGAATCCACGTTTGCTTGACTTTACTTGCCGTAATACTTGCATCATTTGTAGTTTCATGCTTATTAATATACAATTTGTACTGTATTAATAATATTTGTGAATATAATGATATGACTTACCTAATAAAAATACGAGTAATAATATCTTTTGATAAATTAAAGTATATATCAAGACGAGTCTTCTAAATTGATAACAATATCCTTTTTACTTATTTGCTATACCCTGGAATGCATTTCTTTACTATTTAAAATCAAAGCTCGGCTTTTATGACTTTATGAGGAATGATATTAGAGGCGCTTATTTCCTTTACTATTTATCTAAAAGTTGTAAAGAAAGATGGATGATCAAGAATTGTAAACCATTTGCAAATGACTAATGGAATAAATTCTCTAATTAGTAGGTTACTAGAGTTAGGAGAATAGATAATCTAATAAAACAAAAAAGTCAACAATGTAAGAGAATTAAATCCAAACTTGGACTTTGATCAGTTTAGTTAATTGAATACAACTAATGTATGTGGTCTAGTATTTGGAGGGATGAAGGGTCATTTGAGAGATTAGCGTATCTTAATGACATTTTAAGCATATTAGAATGTCTAATTTAATTGGAGGATCTTAGAAATTTTATGAAATACGTACTTTGTAAGTACTTTAGGGGCACCCGGATTAGAAATCTAAACTACTAGTCAAACTTAAGATAACTTCCTACTTTCTCTACTCGTTGCTTGTTTTTTAAATATAAATATGTAGGATGAAGAATACAAAATTATGTAACCCTAGCTTCTATCTAAGTTCTAACCACATATATTACAACTTATTCTCATTAATAAGATATAATAGTTTGGTGGTGGGTTTACATAGATTATCGATCTCTTTGTACATTTACACATTCATCTTAATAGAGAAATTATCTATCATTAGATAGTACTAAATGTCTACACTTATGAGGACAAATCAGAATATTCTACATGTATTGTTTATCATTATTTATCAATACGTGTATTAATTGTGTATATATGAACCAATAAGCATGTTTGGTGGTGTTGGTGAGAACTCATCACCTTGTGTCCTTGTGACTTTGATGTCACAAATTTGAGCGCCCTATCACCTATATTTGTTTGGGGTAGAGGATTCTCTTACCTTCTCTCTCAATTCTTTGACATAAATATATATAGTTGGGCTGGCTGACGTATGAGAGGTATCATATACATATACAACCATAGAAGCTTAAGGACAAAATAGAACGAATTTTTTTATACATATGCCAAAAATAATTAAAAAAAAATCTAGAAAATTGATGAGTATATAAAAATGTCAAGGATAAAATTGATAGTGTAGGGGCACACAGACATGAATGCATTTGGACCCCATTAGTTGAAGCTGCCCATAATTACATGCATCCAAACAATGGACACCAAACACGATTAGATGTGTGCTTATGTAGTTTCCCTGTTACACCATCTATCTTTGTCCCTCTGAATATTTTGCTTTACTACTTTCACTGAAGTTCATGTTTTTTCTCTTCATTTTATCGTTTTTTTTTTTACTATTATCTCTTCATTTTATCATTTTTTTTTTTTACTATTATGTGATACCTAGTATAAGCAGGGGCGGAGCCACGGTGGGTTCAAGTGGGTTCATTGAACCCACTGATTTTTTGAAAAAAATTAAAAACTTTTTTTTTTAAAAAAAAAAAAAATCAAAATAGGTTTAAATAGAATATTTGTGTATTATATGGCAACAAGTAAAGTTGTAGCCCAGTGGTTATTTTTACCTCTCATCATACAATGATACAAGAGTTTGTGGGTTCAGGGTTCGAAACCCATAACTCACACTTTTATTTTTTCATTTTGTTTCCTTTCATCCTGCTTCCCCTAATCCCCTGCTTCCAGCTTTCCTCTTCCTCATTCCCCCAAATTGCAAAACCCTAACTTCTTCCTCCTTCTCTTAATCTCTTCCCGTTCTTCCTCCTTGGCTCCTTCTCTTCCCGTTCTTCCTCCTTGGCTCCTTCTCTTCCCGGCGCACGGGCGCAGCACCGCAGAAGTCCGCAGCAGCCACTCAGGCACTCAGCCAGCACCGCAGCACGGCAGGTCGGCAGTAGGCCAGTAGTCACTAGTCAGCCACTCAGCTGACCACCGTAGCTCCGCCCCTGAGTGGCGCCGTGGCGGAGCAGACCCACCGTATGTAGGGGTAAGTGAATTTGGGGATTTTTTGCTAATATACATATGCTAAATTGCTAATATAGTAATATACATATACATATGCTAATACTTGAAAATTGAAATTCATATGCTAAATTGCTAATATACATATACATATGCTATTATGCTAATACTTGAAATTCATATGCTAAATTGCTAATATACATTACAAATTGCAGAATTTTTTGTAAATTGCTGAAATTTGGTTATAATTATCTTATATTTCAAGTATAAATATTCTCTTGAAAAATTGTAAGAGTGTTAAATTGGCTTGACTTTGTTAATTACCTCTGAAAAGTTGTAAGAATGTTGAATGGGCTAGACTTTGTTAATTACCTCGTAGCATAAAAACATTCTCTTGAAAAGTTTCAACATATGGCCTCACCTTGCTCAATATCTTATCGTAAACATTCTAACTATTTGTTGATCAAGAATAATAAACAATCTAATTTCTACCTTCTAATTAGCTAGAGTGGTTGATGTTATTGCTTGGATTGGTATGATTTTATTTAGATGATTATAATTAGGCTATTACTGTCATGTCTACATTTGAATCATTTGAATTTGTATTTATGATACATTTGATGTCCGAAATATTTGGGATTACTGATAAATTGTGTCAAGCTCTGCAAAAGGGGGACCAAGATATTGTTAATGCCATGACATATGTTAAATTGACTAAGGAGGGATTACAACAAATGAGGGACCATGGGTGGGTAGACTTTTTACATCTTGTGGTTTGTTTTTGTGTTAAACATGATGTAGAAGTTCCTACTATGGATGATATGTATGTTCCTCGTGGAAGGTCAAGACGCTTCTTTGCCAAAGTTTCAAATCTTCATCGATTTCGGGTAGAAATGTTTATAAGTGTTATTGATTTACAACTCCAAGAGCTCAATAGTAGATTTGGTGAAGAAAATATGGAGTTACTTATTTGTGTGTCATGCTTAAACCCGATCAATTCATTTGCGGCATTTGATATGCAAAAGTTGTTGAGACTTGCTGAGTTATATCCCAAAGAGTTTCCAACTAATGATATGACGATGACTGCACTTCGTCATGAGCTTCAATTTTATATTAATGATGTGCGCCAAGATGCAAGGTTTGGAGACTTGAAGGGTATTCATGAGCTTTCTATGATGCTTGTTGAAACAAATAAGCATACTACTTACAACTTAGTTTACTTGCTTATAAGACTAGCATTGATCCTTCCGGTTGCAACAGCAAGCGTGGAACGAGTGTTTTCCTCAATGACATACGTAAAAAATAAGTTGCGAAATAGTATGGGTGATCAACTATTGAATGATAATTTAGTCACTTTTCTTGAAAGAGATTTATTTTCAAGAGTTAGTGATGATGATGTATTGGAACGCTTCCAAAGTATGAAGACTCGAAGAATGCTTCTGTAGTCTTTTTTTTTTTTTTTCTTTTCATTTTTCTATGTGTAATCTATTTGTAATCCATAGTTTGAACTTATTTATGTACTGAATATTTAATTATTGTATTTTTATTCCTTTGTTAATTATGATTTCAAATTTCGGAAGTTTCGAACCCACAGTTCGAAAATCCTGGTGACGCCACTGAGTATAAGATATACTTTATCCGTTCTTTAATTTTGTCATTGTATTGTAACATGTAGGGATGCACAGTATCCTAAGCTAGCGGATTGTGATAACGAGATCAAGAGATAGATAGAGAGAAATGGAAAAAAAAAAGGTAGTTTACGTAACAAAGCAATTAAATTAAGAAAAAGAGTGTACAGATAAGAAAATGTTGCAATAAAACTGAAACTTTTGTTATAGATAAATGTTGTGATATTTAATTAAAGAACAGGAGTTTAATTAAGTTTTTCTTTATTAAATTAGTTGATTTGAAAACTTAAGTTGTGGGGTTGTCAGCACTGTTCAACTTTTTTGGTCACTTGGTCAGTGCATTATAAGAGTGGAAACTGGAATTCATGCAGAATTAAAAAATTAACGTCATTCTTTTATGTCTTTATCTTCTTTGTTTCTAGCTTTTTACTATTTTTACACTGTCGAAACATACCACTCGTACTTCAAAGCTCCTCCTTATCTATCCATTTGATTAGTTTTGGTTATGATCGACTTTAGATAGCTCACTCGTTACATATAATTGAAATTAAACTATGTTTAGTTCACCTCAAATTCTCTTGATATGATATGATGAATGAAAGTAATATTTTCCGTAGCTATTCACATTGCTTTGCTATCAATATATACAGTATACAAAGATTGGGCTCAGCCCCTAATTTAGCTATAAACAAGGTAACTAAATATTCTTAAGGCTAAACATCAGGAAACCGAAATATTTACAATAATATTTGCATATATCTTAACACACCCCCGCAGTCGAAACAGGAGGTTGTCGGACGTTGAGACTGTCCCGAAAATCATTAAAGAGAACTCGCGGGAGACCCTTTGTAAATATGTTCGCAATCTGATATCTAGAAGGCGCATGAAGAACACGGACTTCACCACGTGCAACCTTCTCTCGAACAAAATGAATATCCATTTCAATGTGTTTCGTACGCTGATGCTGAACTTGGGTTGCCAGACAAATAAATAGCACTGACATTATCACAATATACAAGAGTAGCCTTTCTAATCGGACAATGCAACTCTAGAAGAATGTATCGGAGCCACCATGACTCAGAAACGACATTTGCCACACCACGATACTCGGCCTTAGCACTGGATTTTGATAATGTCGGTTGTCTCTTAGACGACCATGAGACTAAATTAGCACCCAAAAATACACAGTAACCAGACGTCGAACGGCTCGTATCATGGCATCCACCCCAATCTGCATCAGTGTAAGAGACCAGAGTAGAAAAAGAAGAGGGGTACAAATGAAGATCGTGGTCTAAAGTACCCTTAACATATCGAATAATCCGCTTAAGAGCTGACATGTGATCAACCCGCGGATCATGCATATGAAGACACACCTGTTGGACGGCATATGATATATCCGGCCGTGTGAAAGTCAGATATTGCAGAGCCCCTGCAAGGCTCCTATACAGAGTAGGATCATCAAAAGTAGTACTAGAGGTAGCACTAACCTTTGAGTTGGTGTCAACTGGAGTGGGAGACGGCTTACAGGAAGACATACCGGCACGCTCAATTATTTCTTCTGCATACTTTCGCTGTGACAGAAACATACCACCCTTATGCCTCGTGACAACAATACCAAGAAAATAGTTAAGAGGACCCAGATCTTTCATAGCAAATTCTGAACCAAGAAGATCCATTATGGAACGCCGGAGAGTATCTGAAGAAGCTGTGAGAATAATATCATCAACATACAATAATATGTAAGCCATGTCGGACCCTTTCCTGAAAATGAATAAAGAGTTGTCCATTCTACCGTTGGTGAAACCAATAGACAAAACAAAATCTGCAAAACGCTTATACCAAGCGCGGGGAGCTTGTTTAAGCCCATATAAAGACTTACGCAGAAGACAAACATAATCAGGATGAGTGCGATCCCTGTAACCCAAAGGTTGATGCATATACACCGTCTCTTGGAGCTCACCATGCAGGAGGGCATTTTTGACATCCAACTGATGAATGGACCATGCCTTACAGAGAGAAATACTGAGGACCGTGCGAATGGTTGCCGGTTTGACAACCGGACTAAACATCTCCCCACAATCAATGCCGATCTGCTGAGTTTTACCATCACCTACAAGACGGGCTTTATGCCTCTCAAACACACCATTAGATTTAACTTTATGAGTAAAAATCCACATAGACCGAATAACATTAACATCACGCGGACGGGGCACTCATAGAGAATGTAATTAATGTGTGTTTATCCATCCTCCTCGAGATTAGATTAAGTCATTGACGGATGTATGTAATAGGGTACTACGTACATATATACCTTAGTTTTGTGTCGATGTATAATACATACAATTTTCACACCAAGGCTTCCCTTATGATATGATGATGAATCATAGTTTCAGTATTAGTAATGTTATGATTCATATGAAATACTTTGTATTGTTTCATCATACACAATTATAAATTACTCCATAGTATGACAACTAAATTTGAACAAAGGGAGTGATTCGTTGGTACTATTTTACCAAATGGATTTTCAAATAGTAGCATAAAAGTATAAATGCATATCATTAACCTAATTATTGACCTTAACAAAAAATTAAGCACTGATTTTTGTAAGACATAAATTCCTTTCTAGTGCCCCTGTCTTTTTCACAAATAAATTTCCTCTTACATTAATAAATAAAGTGTCCCAAGCTTGTGCTCTATTCTCTTTAGCACCTTCTAGGGTAAAAATTGAATTTGAATTAAAAATAAATTGATGTACAAATAAATTGCAACCCACATTGAACTTTATCAATAAGCGGGCAAAGCACTTTCAGTGACGCAAAGATTGTGAAGAATAATAATTACATTTCAATGGTATTCAAGAATTTTGAGGAAATATTAATGGAAAGAACACTTTTCACATGCTTATTTTAAACAAAAAGAAGAACGTATGATAAATGAATTAATTAATAAGAAAGCTTAGTATTTGTAGAAGCTACAAGTAAACCATGTTTGAATGCATGTTATAATTAGTATGCACCCGTTTTTAGATATATCGAGCATATCTAGAAATAGATACATACAGTGATACAAATACGTACACTATTGTCAAATTTTATGTTCTTTCAAATTTTTATCATAATAATGGACAAATTTAATGGGTCGTGGAGTTTAGGTAGAAGTAAATATAAAAATGGACTCCTAAATGTATAAATAAAAGGACATAATCCAATGTGGAGTCGATTTTGTGACGTATGCTTTACCACTTAATTAGAGAAGCATACAATGCAAGTAATGACAGACATGCATGGTACGGTAGCAGAAAGCAACTAATTTCTCAATCCACCTAAGTTATTGAATGATGAAAACATTTTTAAGTCATGAAGCACAATCATAAGTTTATTACAACAAATAATGAATAAGATCAGATTTGCGTAGGCTATTTTCGTTGCAACCACAATTTTAGTGATTATATGTTTATATAATTCCTACTTTTAATTTAAAAGTTCAAGATTTCAATAGATAGCATGTGCTTTGCATCGGCCAATTTTAAAAATAGTATGTATATATATATTGTCATTTCAAAGTAAGCATTATGCATTATGAGCAATATATATATTGTCACAAATAATTTACACTATTGGATTCAACTACTGTCAATATATATCAAATTACGTACATTCTTCATATGGAGATAATTACGTACATTGTTCATTATGCCATTCGAAATATTATTCGTTATTCATTTTCTTCAATTAACAATTATACAAATACGCACTTAAATTTAGTAATGGGGACTAGGGATTAGAGAGGATAAAAATCAATTAAGATGTCCATTATGTACCTAGCTAGTTTCCATGCACATCTAGCACACAATATAATGCACCCAAACTCATTTATAAGAAATTTTACTTTACCTCATTTGAAACTTTGCCAAATAGGCAATTGACCCCCCCAAAAAAAAGAAGACGAATAAGAAGAAGCCTTAATGTGTATGGTACACGTACCCTAGTATGTCAAATAGAAACAACGCACTATAAATAATGCTCATACATCTCAACAACCCCTTAATAATTGTTTGATTTCTAGGGTTGTGTAATTGAACTTGACATTTTAAGATGGTACCAAAGACCTAAGCTAGGATCAAATCTCCTGCATTTTTGTAGCAATCTCTTATACCTTTGCTTTCCCATCGGCTTAGAACAGACAAATTATTACATAATAAGCTATTAGCTAGGTTAATACTAATGTTTAGGAAGTGTGTAAAGTATAGTAGATCATTGACAAGAAACTGTAACCTTGTGAGTTAATGTTGGATCTGAGTAACTTTATGAAAGAGTTGGAAAATTGTATGGGTAGAACTGTAATGTATGGGCCATTGAGTAATCCAAAAACATTGCAGTTTGTGCAATTTTTTGCTGGGTGTGCTACCATAAACTGCAACAAAAAGAAAACAAGTGATCAAATCCTGCACAACTAATGGGGAAAACTGAGTTGAAATGTTTTGAAAGACATTTTATCATTTACGAAAAAGATTCAAACACAAAATTCAGAGAATTTTTGAATAAATGAAAAAAAAAAAAAAACCCCTTTTTAATTTAATTTTTATCTTTTTAGGGGACAATATTGGGTCCTTATATCAACCTCAATCTAGGTTAGTTATCATTCTTGGTTCTTTTGTTCTTGCTAGAACCAAAATGTCCTTCTAATTAACTTTTGGAAAATAAGGTTGGATGCATTTATTCACTGGCTTATTCATATGATTTGTCTTAGAAATAAGCTAAGGTTCACACAATTATTCTTCTCCTTCAATGATAATTGAGTTGGAATAAATATGTGAATAAGAGCACCAGTATTAAATGTAATAATAAAACGCTCTTTCTCACATGAATATTCATGTATTTGAGACGTGATATATATATATATATATATATATATATATATATATATATATATATATATATATATATATATATATATATATATATATATATATATATATATATATAAAAGTGACATTTGATTAAATATAAATGTCACAATTTTATAGATTGGTAACTGTATAATACAACAGTACCCTTTTAAAGATCGATTTTCCAAATGCAAGTTACAACCTACACATCAGTTTATTCCCCGTTTCATTCCTTATTAGATAACGAATGTAAGCGGTGTTTGTTACTATTCAATCATTATTCCTTCTTATATATACAACTAATTATCATAACTTGAAACTCCAACTAATTTAAATTCTACTATACACCCGAATACACTTAAAATTAATACACATACAACAGTAATGAAAAAGATGTTACATGCCGATTATTGTTGCTTATACAATTAAATATCTAATGAATCTCCTATCATATCTCAATGGGGGGACCTTTGTATGTATGATCATTAACACATCTCCGCAATAATTTTGACAATAATACGTAAAAACAAAATGCAACCTTGCTTCAAGTATTGGCATATATCCAAGCTTATGATATGATCATGATACTACAAGGTAGGTTACCTAGCTAGATAGTGAAGCTAGGCAGCTACTAAATTAATTAACTACTCATACTATATTATAAAAATGTATTTAATGATAAAACAATGTAGTAATAGCAAAGTAAAACAAGATTAGATAATAATAAGTACAATCATATATATAAAATAAGAAGAATGAAGATCTATTGGTTGAAAACCTGGAGCAAATCCACTGTAACAGATCTGGAAGCTAAGGCTTTAAGGTTATATTTTAAATTTTTACAGAAAATAAATAATGGGTTCACATGCATATAAAAAAGGTAATTCACAAAGGTATATTTATTAAACCACGCACAAAAAGGCACCTTAATATTTGTGAAAAATAAAGAGAAAGAGAGGTGATATTTATTTGTGGCACGGGCACTTCATGTGCTTTCTATGGAATCTAGTATTACACTATGCTTCTCCCACCCTTTTTTCAATTTTTATTTTTCAAAATATAAAAATTATTTACCTAAATTTATATAATTTTTTTATTTCAATTAGTTTTATGTTAAAGATTTATAATTTTATACTTTCTAAATAGTTTGATTTATTTCTCTATAACAATTTGAACTTAATGAATAATTAATATTATTTTGCATGGATTCACAAATATGGCGTAATTATTATTCCATAAAACAAATCTCTCTCCCTCCATTTTTCTTATACTTAATTGATTTTTTTTCAATTACTTATGATGATTAATAAGCTCTAATAATTTCATAATTAATATTATTTTGCATGGATTATTCATACATATGGCGTAATTATTATTCTCTCCCTTCATATTTTTATTTTTAATATACTTAATTGATTTTTTTTTCAATTACTTATGATGATGTATAAGCTCTAATAATTTCATAATTAATATTATTTTGCATGAATTATTCACAAATATGGCGTAATTATTATTCCATACTCCTTAATACAAATCTCTCTCCCTCTATATTTTTTGTTTTTAATATACTTAATTGTTTTTTTTTTCCAATTACTTATTATGATTAATAAGCTCTAATAATTTCATATATGATATATCTAACAATTCTTGTTATTTTAATGAGTTTAGATCAATTAGATTAATAAAGCGAAAGCATACACGCTTAAAATACTACATGATTCTAAAATTAAAGATGGGCAAGAGCAATGAAAAAGTCTACAAAAAGATTGCGATCTGATTTTAGAATATCCGATTTGAAAAACAAGAAGTTATAAAATATTGTATTCTCACCATTGTTTTATGGAGTTTCATGTACTAATTTTACGTGTTTAAGTTTAAGAGTATGCTTTTTACTAAGTACAATTAATTTAATTAATGTAATTGTTTTCGGTGATTTAAAAAAGTAGTCGTAGTAAACTAGAATTCAAAAAAGGTATGAAGAAATTTGTTTAGGATATGGTCCATCCATCATATGCTCTTTCTTCAAGAGAAGGTTTTTAACTTTAAAGAATCACTTTTATGCTATTTTTAATTCATTTTTTAGCCAAAAAGAATAACATTCTTTGGTAATCTGTGTTGTAACTTTTAGCACAAGCGACAAAGCATTTTGACCGTCAGCTGTCGACGAGATACAATTAATCTTTCGATGTAGAACATGTAATTGAACCTAAGTTACCAATGGGTGTACTTATAATTGTAAGGAAAAATTGCAATTATATATAAGTACATCCAATAATACTGTGAGAGAAAGTGAGTAAAATGGTGTATATTATAATTAATTATTGTGGAATTACAGAGGTAAAGTGGTAAAACATATTTTTCAATAATAGATTAGAAATGAGTAATGGAATAGGTGTATGAAAATAGATAGAATTTCTGTCCCGTCATCAATATAAGTGACTAGGGTTGTCTTACAAATTGAGATCTCATATCATATTTTCCTTAACATCTCTAATTTAAAAGTCTCGCCATCTATAAACTATTGTACATATACATTCAAATGAAAAATAAGGTTATGTTCTTTTGAGCTGCTGCAGTCTAATATACTCTACTGAAATCTGCTGAGCCCTACTCTACTTTGCTCTATTCTACTGAGTATAATTAAGCTACTCTGCTCTACCGATACCTGCTCGGCTGAAATCTGTTCTACTCTCCTCTGTTTTGCTCAAAAGCTCAAAAAAACAGGGCTTAACAATATAATTCTTTGTTCATAGAACAAGGAGATAGGAAAAAGCCAATCATCAAAAGCAATTAGCTTAAAATTTGACAAAAGTTGTTGAAAGTAATTTGAAGTAAGTGACTAGGTGAGTAATTATGCAAAAATATAATAATACATACATCATTTATCATCTAACTTGATATAATGTGAATATATGTGATAGATTATAGCATATCTCCCAACTACTACTTAAAGCGTGACAACTTTTCAATTTATAACCTTGTTGCATGGTTTTTTTTTTTTTTTTGGAATAAAGTATGTCCTTGTAACCTTATGTTCTCCTATTCCCACAATGATATGGACTCAATCATCAAACAATTCACATTAATAGATTGTACATGTATAGATAAGTATGAAGCTAAGGTAACGTAGATATAATACTCCTCCAGTTTCCGATTATTGATTTAATAATTTGACTTTTACACTATTAATTATTTACATTTCTTAGCTAGTTTGATCTGTGTACGTAATTTTTACTAACATATAGAAAAGCTATTAAAAAAAATTAAGACTGTTGTCAATGTATATTTTTAGTAGTGCATGTTAACTTATACAATTTTCTAATAATGTTTAGGTAATTAGAGATATGACGTTGTCAAGTGTATCACTCAAACCACTACATTTAACCTAGAACAAAGGAGTCGATTGCAGTGCCTCATAGTCTAGTACTTACAAAATCTCATACAGTATAATTTTGATACCAAAATCAATACAGTATAATTTTGATACCAAAATTATATACAAGTATTTTGGTACAAAATCACATATTTTGGTACCATAAATATAATTGCTTGGTATTTTTGGTGCCAAAATATGTGCAATTTTGATACCCAAATAATTAAATTGTGTGAAATTTGATCTCACACAATGTACTATTAGGAGTTCCCCAAAACAAAGCGTGCGAGTATAAGCTGATAGAGTTATGAGAAACAACACGTTGGAAAACATAAAAGAGACTAGCTTAGCAAGCTTGAATTATATTATCCAAGAAGGGATACTACTATTTATAGTGTTATAAATAAAAGAATAATCTTAATATAATCTTTACGATTCACCAACAAATATACAAGAATCGAATAATATAATTAGTTATTACAAAATATAATAACAAAGATATTAATTTAACATAATATCCTATTATATAAAAAATAACAGGATTTGATAATAACATTGATACCAACAGATATATTATATCTCAAAATACCCCTAATATATATAAGCATCTTATTATGAAGCTAAGGTGATTTTAGAACAAAAAGAAGTGACACTACTCAACTCATTCTAACTTTATAAAAACTCCTCTCTATATATAAACACCCTCTTCCCCACCTCACAAGAAAAAACCTTTCATTTTCTCCTCCAAACTTCTCAACACCACCTCCATTAACAAACCCTCTTTCTCTCTCTACTTTCTCTCTCATCACATAAACTCCATCTTCATTCATTCATCAACCATGGCAGCAGACTCATTCGACCAAGAAAGCAGTTGTTCATCCTCCATAACAATCCCAGACTCAAGCCAGAGTTGGATGAGTCTAAACCTAAACCTAAACCTAAGCACTCTTAGTCTTTGTCGTCGTAGTAGTTTCTCGAGTCATTCTCTATCCTCCCCCACAACTAAACCCCACAAGGCTCAACAAGCCGGGTGGGAGGCGATAAAGGGCCTCCGAAGGCAAGTAGCCGGAGGCCGTGTCGGACTCGAACATTTCAAGATACTGAAACGTGTAGGGGGTGGTGATTTAGGCAATGTGTACCTTTGTCAAATACGAAACCCCGCCGTGGGGGCGGTACCGTGTTATTATGCTATGAAAGTAGTTGATAGAGAAGCACTTGCTATTCGGAAGAAGCTTGTTAGGTCTGATATGGAGAAGGAGATATTAGGGTTGCTTGATCACCCTTTTTTGCCTACTTTGTATGCTGATTTTGAAGCTTCTCATTATTCTTGTTTGGTTATGGAGTTTTGCTCTGGTGGTGATTTGTATGCTCTTAGGCTTCGTCAACCTAATCGGAGGTTTCATCTTTCCTCTGCTAAGTAAGTTTTTCTTAGCCATTTTTAATTAATCTGTACGCTTATTTGACAATCAGCTGTTGGTTATGTGTTATTTGATTTTATGATATGACGACGGTAGAGTTAGATATTATGATAAAAGTATGTATGTATGTACATAGTTTTTTGCATGATGCTTTTGGAGTTTTGTTTTATTACCAATTTACCATGAGTAGTCTTTCTCACCATATATTGTCAATTTGATTATTAAGTACAAGTATGAAAATAATAATTTTGGGCAGAGATAAAATATATGCATAATAAGAGGTGTGCATGCAATATGTAATCATGTACCATTACTCTTTTATGGGCGCATACAATAGAGTTTATATATATAATTAATTAATCAGCACGACACGAGTAACTAAATTTAGAAAGAGGTAGTAAATTTATACGTGAATTAATTAGTAAATATCGTGTTATATATATTATAGGCATGTTCATGTAATTTAATTAAATTTAATTTGAAAAAGAATTAGTATTGACTTTGATTATGAAAAATGATGATGATAAACAGGTTTTATGCAGCAGAGACACTTTTAGCCTTGGAGTATCTACACATGATGGGAATAATATACAGGGATCTAAAGCCAGAGAATGTATTGGTAAGAGAAGATGGACACATTATGCTATCTGACTTTGATCTTTCGCTCAAATGTGACGTGGTCCCAAAGTTGTTAAAACAAAAGCTGCCAATTGAGAAGAACACTTATGTAAGGTGTTCCACACCTTCTTGTGTTACACCTATACAACCTGTCCTCTCTTGTTTTTCTAGTAACAAGAGGAGGAACAAGACATCCCCTAGGAACACCACCACCATACGACAGACGGCCAATGGTGATCGTATCGATAGTGATTCTGATGACGATGGTGATGGTGATGGTGATGGTGATGGTACTAATAATAAAGTATTTTTTGACACGGAGCTAGTGGCCGAGCCCATCAATGCTCGGTCCAAGTCTTTTGTTGGGACCCACGAGTACTTGGCCCCCGAGGTCATTTCTGGGCTCGGCCATGGGAGTGCTGTCGATTGGTGGACCTACGGGGTTTTTCTTTATGAGATGTTGTATGGTAGGACACCATTTAAGGGTGAAAATAACGAGAAGACACTGATTAATATTTTGAAGCAACCCGTAACGTTTCCTAGGATGAGCCTAGGTAGCGCAAAAGAGTATGAAGAAATGGCAAAAGTTCAAGACCTAATTTGCAAGCTTCTAGTGAAGAATCCCAAGAAAAGGATTGGTAACCTTAAGGGTTCAAATGAGATCAAAAGGCATGACTTCTTCAAGGGTATTAATTGGGCCTTGATCAGGTCAGTTAAGCCACCTTTGGTGCCTAAAGAGCTTCACAATAACAAAATGAGGAAGAGTTCTAGTAGTAATTGTAGTAGTAGTTATCAAAGAGGTCTCAATATGCCAAAAGCACTAAGCAAAAAAGAGAGGGAAGCACCATATCAGATTCCTCAATCTCATTTTGATTACTTTTAATTAAGTGAGACCTCCTTTTTTTTTTTTTTGAATTGTATATAATTAGTTTATAGCTTTATAGGGTCTTAATAGAAGAGAATTGATTAATTAGTGGTGGTGAATTAGCTATTAATTCAATCACTAGTATTTCTATCATCATATATATGTATAATACTTGATCCAAAGAGAGAAAACTCCCCGATCAATCTAGCTAGTCTTTCTCATTTTGCTAACTTATTAGACATATATCACATGTACTCAGACTTAATTGTCACGTTAATAGTTCAAATTACACTATCAATAATGTGACACTTAATTCTAAATAATGTTATATACAATTAAGGCCATATTAGCTTTCTGCCAAATTTCATCTTTTTCTTATTTATCTATTTGGAATGAATTGTTTAACCTATGATATGAAACTCCTTGCAAAAATTTAATTATGATATAGAATTTTCAATTATAAGATGAAAGAAAAGGTGGAAGGAGGCACATAATTACATCAATGTTTTCCCCATGAGGTTTCATTATATCATGTGGTCACAATTATGATTCTACTCAAGTAGGGAAAAAGAAAATTTGTGAACAATGATCAAAATTTAGTCTTACACACCATAAAATATCTTAAACAAAATACAAATTCATAATACTGAATTTTGGTTTTCTGTAAAGTTGGTGTGAGCTATGACCAAAAGGTGTTTTCTTTTTGTTAATTTGTTCTACCTTTTAACTCATCTAGGCACTTTGATATCCCAGCCTTTTCTTTGTGTTTTTTTTTTTTAAAAAAAAATTATAATTATTTTAATTTCATTGATTAAAGAGAAAGAGGGCTGGCTAAAATACAGGCCCATCATGGCCCTTCCACCTTTCTCTGATTCTCTTTCCTCTTTTTCATCATGAGTTTATTTTTTTTGGACAACTTCTCTTGTCATTTTTCTTAGTAGGGTCAAATTTTATGTTCTTTATTTACTACAGTAAGTAATTTACTTTGGAGGAAGCCAGCTAGAGTAAATAATAAAAAGATGTTTGGTAATTGGTTATCGGCTGTTTTATCTGTTTGGTTTGATACTAGTATTTTATTTAGTTACTAGTTTAAGTCCCGTGTAACACACGGTTTTTACTTAATATAAGTATGAATTACTATGTTAATTTAGCAATAATTTTTTTAAAAAATCAATATTTTTAATTGAAACAAATACTTGAATCAGCAACTTTTTGGTGCAGTTGGCCACACCGTGTGGCAGGGGTTACCCGAGTTATTTTGTTAGGGGTTACTCGAGTTATTCAGTTAGGGGTTACTCGAGTTACTCAATCAGGGGTTACTCGAGTTACTCAGTCAGGGGTTATTCGAGGGGTTCACTCGGTCAAGGGTTACTTGAGGGGCTACTCGGTCAGGGGTTACTCGAGTTACTCGGTTAGGGATTACTCGGTCATGGGTTACTCGAGTTACTCGGTTAGGGGTTACTCGAGTAATTCGATTAGGGGTTACTTAAGCAGTTCGGTCAGGGGTTACTCGGTCATGGGTTACTTGAGGGTTTAGTCAGGGGTTTCTTGAGGGGCTACTCGGTCAGGGGTTACTCGAGGAGTTCGGTCATGGATTACTCGAGGGGTTACTCGGTCAGGTGTTACTTGAGGGGTTTCTCGGTCAAAAGTAACTCAAGTAACCCCTAACCGAGTAACTTGAGTAACCCCGACAACTCGAGTAACCCCTGACCTAGTAATTCGAGTAACCCTGGCAATTCGAGTAACCCCTAACTAAGAAACTCAAGTAACCCCTGACCGAGTAACTCGAGTAACCCCTGCTGCACGGTACAGGAGGCCGCATACAAAAAATTGTGTACTTGAATTTCTTTTCAAAAAAAACTAACTTGAATTTACGTTATATTGATATCAAAAGTTACTCGTATTGATAGTTAAGCATTAAAAAAAACACAAATTTCATGATTAAAGGATTTTATATAAGAATAAAATTTTATGTTATTTATAACCCGTGCAATGTACTTATATACTCCATATGTCTCTATTTTTGTTGGCATGTTTTGACCGGCAGAATATTTTATAGCATATTTTGACCTGCACAAGTGTTTTATATAAATTGAAGTGACTTATTTTTTGTGACAATTAATAAGCAAGGTGTTTTTTATTTTTATTTTATATTTATAGTTATTGAATTGTAGTGTTATTATTATAAATAAATCAACAAATATATAATAAAAGTTAAAGTGTTAATCCTGGTTGGAGCAAAAAAACTTTCAAATGAAAAAAAAATACGATGTAGAATGATAAGGAGTATGGGAGTAGTACATTATTATAATAATATTATCTTATATACGTAGTATATGTTGTTTATTATAGAAAATACCTATTATAAAATATATGAAAGATATGTTAAAATATTTTCATTGAATGCATATATAATATATTTAGAATATAGTTGCCAAATTGAAAGTTAGATATTATGGGATATATCAATTAATATGCATGAAGATTTGGGGAAAAAAAAAAAGGAAAGTGAAAGTGGCGGGAAATTTTTTAATCAGAATATATAACAAGTGTCATGTCAGATTCGTTTTAGTATTATGTTATTGATTTGAACAATAAAAAGTCAAAAGTCAACTAAAAAATCATTTACTAAACAACTTTTAAAAATTTACCCGTAAGTCCGTAACATTGATTTACAATGTACAATATTGCAAAGAAAAAAAAATGATAACACTACATCAATAATGTTATTAAAAATGTGTTAAAAAAGAATTTCACTTTGGAATTCAATAATTGTACGGTCATTTGATCAATTTACTTTTGAATCAAAAAATTGACAAGATGGATACTGTTATACAGCATGTAAAGATAACTACAAAGAATATGATAGGATTTATTGTAAGGAAAAAGTTTAACAAGGAAGATAAAGTGTGGTTTTATTGTTCGTAATGTGGAAATATATGTTGTAGTTTGGCCTTGTCTAACTCTTGGGGTTCATTTTAGCTAGAAGGTTTTTCATCCACCTCTATACGTGTCTTAAATTATACTACCTCTGTCTCATAATATTATCGATAATTACTAAAGAGCATTTGCCAAAACAAAAAGGAGAGGAGGTTAATTATTTTTGTGGGCACAAAGTGCATGCAAATATGCAATGATACAAGTCCATTATTCAGTTAATGAATTTATTGCATGGACAAGGAAATGTATGGAATCAGAAAATGCTCGTGACTCTTTCCTTTGACATATTCATTACATGCACTCTTTCATCACAATCACATGAATCCTTGTCTTATCTATAGAGATATATTCTTTCATTGATTCCATAAAATTAAATTTTAACCAACCCAAAACAAATTTTAATTCGCTCTTGCTAGGAAATTGTATTTATCTTTTGACAAAAATATAATGCAATGATTCGTTATAATTAGGGACTTGTTTGTAATTTGCTTAGTCAGACAAGTTAATTTGCTTGACAAACTGATGGAGAATACTAGCCAACTAATTATTGACATGTGGAATACAATTAAAAATTCTAAGTTTGATTATCACATAGTCATTTTTATCGATTTTTTGTCAATTAAACAACGTGAGAGTTATATGTATGAACACTAACATTGGAGAGGTATCGGCGGCCATTTGAGGCATATCCATAAGGACCATAACCTCAATGACAAAATTAAATCACGCGGGTAAAGGGCTAACAAACAAGAGGAGGTTAATGTTAGTTGGACATTTTAGCTAAGATTGGGTGTACGTGCAATAATAAGAACTAAAAGATCACAAGGCAAATAACAACCAAATACTAAGATAAGCTTGAGAATTGGAGGTTGATTGATGTTGATTAGCAACAATGAGTTAATGCACCATGTCGAAACAAACATTCAAAGACAATAGTTTATTAATGACGTTGTAATTGGTTAGATAACGAAAGGAAGTATACAAATGACTAGTGACAATTATTGGTTATGAAAAAAGAGTAGGCGTTGAAGATTGAAGATTTTCTAATGTAAATGCACTTCATTCCACTCATTGCTAGAAGTATCAAAATTAAATAGATATATTTTGTATGATTTTTTTAATTTTTTATTTTGCAAAGTATGTATACATGTATATTTTAACATATTTACAGATAAGTAAATCACATAATCACTTTAATTAAACATCTCTGTTTTTCTAGTAAAATAAATTTCTTTCTTTTTTTTTTTGACATTGTCAAACTTGACGTACTACTAGTTTGATCATTAAAAATATGGTTTAAAGTATGTTAAAAAAATTAATTATTGTTATTTTGAAGCTCTATATTAATACCAATTTATTAATATTTTATATGACAATAATGTATATTTTTAATATATTTATAGTCAAAATTAGTACTTTGTATATAAATAATGTAAAAAAAAATAAAAAAAATCATGCATGCCAATTATTCTAGAATGGATGGTATAAATTTTTTTCCATTATATTAGTTTACAACGAACAATAAGGACGGCTTAAGTTCAAATTATAATTATATATCTACAATATATAAGAAGTATTTCGTATAAGATAAATTTTAAAATGAAAAATTTAGATAAAAAAAATTAAATGCATGTAATTATATTGTAAAAAATAAGTATAAGAAAGAAAAGCTAATAATTGTTGATTTTTTCGGTTTTTATTTTCCTTCAATTAAAAAAATAAATTATAATTATAAGTTGAGTATAATGATTACCATATGGTGGTAATCGATTACATGGCCACATTGTAAAGCATAAAAACGCAGTTTCCAGCAAACTGAATATTCAAGTGGATTTGATAATGCAGACTGCACACAATTTTATGGAGACATTCTTGAGTACCACCTAACTATAATAAAGATTGTGCAAATTACTTCAATCCCTAAATTTAATGTAACCCAAGAAATTATTAATTAAATTATTAATTAGATTTGATCTGACGTGTTTAATTAGTAGTCAAACTTCTGCTTCTCCTTTTGACCAAAAGAAGTTAACTACTCATTTGAATTCATGTTGTCGGAGCCCTATTGCTATTGCTGAAATTAGAGATTAATAAATAATAAGCTTGCATTGAAAAAGTTAAGGTTATGAATTAAGATAAGAAGTAATATTATTCAATTGGTTGATGCATGTTGTTTCCAATTTATGTTAGGTTGAAATAAGAATTAAGCTTTATTTGATTCAACTTATTAATGTATGGTTTAAATTAAATTTATATTTATTAAAAGCTTCAACTCATAAATGTATGGTCTGAATTAAACTTATATTTATTAAAAGCGAAACATAAATTGACATGAATATGAATACTGTACAATACTTTTTCATGACTGTTATTCCTTATATTAAGCATAAATCACCAAACAGAGTCGTGTTGTAACACTTGCAACTAATAATACATAGAGAAAGTAAAAACTTTGAACATATGGACGAAAACGGAAGATTCTCGTTTGGCAATCCTTTATCCTAGGGATCAATTCAAATATAGATCCACACAAAATCCTCATTTATATGTTTTGTACTTCACTTACAAAGATATTGAAACATGGTAGTTAGAACTTAGAAATTTTAGAGGACAATGATACATTGATCCATAGGTTAGGGATACTGTATTAGCAAATGGGTTAAGACTAAATTATATAACAAGGAAGATCTTCTACTTAACTTTGGAGATTGCCTATTTTGAGAAAGTTAGGAGAATAGTATTGTATGATATTGAGTCTAAGCACCGTCTTAAAACGGTGTAAAGAGGGTTGCTAAAAATAAAAAATGGCCCAACAACCGGCTTAGCTAAAAAAGAAGTGAAGTGTGCAATATTATTAAGATTGTATGGTCCAAAAAAAGTTATACGATAATCAAAAAGGGCCATTAGCCACCCACTATTGTTGAAAATAATTCATGTGAAAACCATTGACAAATTCCATAAATCCATCAACCGTGTCTAAGTGTACCAACCGAGAGAGAGAATGTTAGTTCTGGAGAAAACATAAAATCTCCAAACATAATTTAGGTCACATAACTATAAAAATAATTAATCTTTCAACTAAAGTATATATAACAAAATTCGACATGTCTTTATTTTTTTAAGTGTAAATTAGTAAAGATAGTCAAAGTAGACTATGTAAACACAAAAATCAAAACATTACAATTAAAACAACAAAGGAAACACATGCATGCATTCCCACAAGTTAGCAGGGTATATAAGGGGTGAGACAAGCAATTTCATTGATACAGAGTGTATAACAGAAAGACCTTTTTAACATAGGAGTTGTTACAATTATTTTAATACGAGCAAATTTAAAAATTGTATGTTGCAATTAAATTGAAACTGAATTTCCGAAGAGTAATAGCTAATCAAACTTGCTACACAAATGAACTACATGGGGATTTTCACAATATCAATACTAGATGCATTTTTGGTGACCTAAATTACACGTGATAGCACAACCAACTAACCCATTTTCATGCACTATGAGTCTATGAGCATTATTGGATAGAATAAAGAAAAAGACGAGTGGAATCAACTGACTACAACACAAATCTAACTGAAGGAAAAACAACGGGAACTAGACTTTTTCTTGGAACTTAGATTTCTAGTAATACCATCAAACTTGTCACTTAAAATGTCACACACTTTTCTCACCCACTAATTTTTTTTTTCTATAAATGTCACTCTTTTCTTCACCATTTTCTCTCATTCAAACTCCTCTAATATATTCATCTCATCATCAAGTTATCACATTATTAATAATTGTTTTTTCCTATATCCTATAAATTACAATGGCCAAAAATGTTGCACAATCACCGTTAGAGAGGTCTACCTTGTTCTCTTTTGATCAAAGGCTAACTATGGCCAAACGTTGCGCTCATGGTACGTATATATATACATTGCATTTTATAAATGTCAATATATACTCCTTTCGTCCTAGAATAGATCAATTAGATTAACATTTTACATAAATTTTGCTTTCTTAATATATAGTAGTATAATGTTATTTTATGAGGGTGTTCATTGATTTTCTGACAAAAGAGTATTTTCGAAAATGGAAAAATCATAATAAGACTGTAGCATGAGTCAATATTTTGTTACAGAGTAAGAATCTAAGGTATTATGATGGTGTTTTAGATGATCCTCTAATTATTTTGATGAAGATTTCGTCTTTCACACTTCCTCAAAAAAATAAACTGTAACATGCATGAAACTTGATTAAACTAGAGCTGATTGTCATATAATAGTATTTGTAATTATATATAATTACTGAATAAAATAAGAGAACACTTTGTGTGATGACTAATTATAGATGGTCCAAATTATATTTATATAATATTTTTGTTGGGTCCAAAAACCTTAATTTTGTTGACCCAAGAAACTCTCTGGACTCATTTTTCTATGGTCTTTAGTCTTTACCTAAAAGTCCGTGGGCCATCAGCCAGTTAGTTTCAAGATTTTAAATAATTTAATTTTTACCATTTCTTTGAAAAGATTATTAATCTATAATTTGCTAGTAAATGATTAATTATTTCTTGTAAATTCTAAATTATTTCTTGTATTTTTAATTTGAAATTGAATTTCAGAGGGTGTTCTTGCTGGAGCTAAGGCAGCTGTTGTTTCTGGCTTTGCTGCTGCCATACCAACTGTGAGTTCTCTAGCTAAGCTAATTATCAAATCCTCCCCCTCCCCTGGCCCAACCACACGTTACGTTATGCAACTAGTCGTACATATGTACATGTATCCATGTACATTGATCACTCTAGCACGTAACCACATCGTGCATTAAAGCATAATCATCCTTAACAATAATAGATTATTTACGATAACACCTTTCTTGTAAGGTATGTACATATAGTACATCAACATGTGAAGTGCATGCGCTAAAAAAATTACATCTTCATAGATTAACAGATTAGCATATATATAGTAGACCTGGCAATCCTGATCCAGACCCGATGACCTGACCCGAATGACCCGACCCGACCATACCCGACCCAAAAATGGAGTTGGCCCGAACCTGACCCGACACTCGAACTGACCCGACCCGAAATTGACCCGAAGTGTTTGACCCGAACAGACCCGATACCCAAAATTGACCCGAACAGCCCCAATACCCGACATGTCCCGAACTAAAATTACCTTATAATTGACCTTAAAATGTCTTGTACCAAAAGTAACTCAAATTGTTCTTCTTCAACCGTAGCTAAGCTCATAAACTGAATTGATAGTTTTTATTATAACAATAACAAAATATATAATCCGTATAAAATTATTCATTTGAGCTTGATTCACAAATAAAACAACCCGAACATGACCCGACCAGATTTTGACCCGAACATACTTGACCAGAAATTGACCCAACCCGAATCGACCCGACCCGACCCATACCCGACCTGAAATATTAGCTGACCCGAAATTAACCCGACCCGAAAGTGACCCGACCCGAATGACCTATTTGCCAGGTACTCTATCCCTCACTCTAAATTGAAATTTCAGAGTATTATAATATTATATTATACCTTTGCAGATTGCAAGTGCTAGAATGCTTCCATGGGCAAAGGCCAATCTCAATCATACTGCTCAAGCTCTTATAATATCTACTGGTACAATTACTACTAAAACATTATTACTTTTTTCTTCAACTTTCTTAATATGTGTTATTATTGGATTTTAATTTCATTTTTTACTGGTACTTAACTAAAATTCTGAATTTAATTGATAAAACAGTGGCTGGAGCAGCATACTTCATAGTAGCGGACAAGACTGTTCTGAAGTCGGCACGTCGAAACTCTTTTAATCAAGCTAGAAATCCAAACAGTGGAGCATAATTATAAATCTGAAATAATTGATTCTTAAAGATTTACAATATTTCCATATATGATTAATTAATGAAAATGATCATGATGGCAAATTGATGATTACGACGATCACATCGAATGATTTGATTATATTAATTAGGATTATGATTGCATGATTATAATAATTGCGGTGCAATCTAGCAATTATAATGTACCATGCATCTATATATATCTAATCTATACCTATGTAACATTAATAAGTATGTACTACTTATAAACATAGAGTTTATATACTTTGGTCAATACATATATCTTAGCATGAGTCTCAACTTTACTTTCAAGCATGGATGCATTATATTGAGCTTGAGCTCACAACTAATAGTGTGATGAAGATAAGGGTATTCATTGACCAATATTAAATTCGGGTTATCAATCGAGTAAATTGGATATTTTCATACACGTTCACCAATTTTTATTTATAAATTGTGTCCGTGCTAATACAAAACCTATAATATACATTGTCAATACGACTGCATATACCGATTTTAGAATGCAAATCAAGAAAGATTATATTTTGATTCAACGAACCTTTTAGGTACATTGAACTATTTGGATCAAGCTAGACAGTTAGCCACCTAAAAAAAGCCAAAAAGGCCAAGATATATACAAACTATAATTAGAAAGTATTTAACCACGTTCTGTCATTATAAAATATTTTTATAAGCTAAACATTTCTCATTCAAATCTCTATGAAGGCATAATTATATATATCATTCAAATCTCTATGAAGGCATAATATGACTATATAATTAGTTGAGAAATTCATAACCAAAACAAACAAAATATGATCAGCACGAAAATTACAATGATGCCGAATAAGCTTCTATCCGTTATAAAACCTTTTAATCGTATTATCCATATTTCTTGACGGCAAGCCGGCAACTAGATTGAGCGGTGGAGCAGATCAGAAAATGAAGCAAAAGTAATAAATTGCCAAAAAAAAAAATCTAGAAAATAAAAAGGATAATGAAAAGGACATTAGCATGGAGTATGCACAAAACATAGCAACAGAAAGATACTAAAACCACCACATACTAGTTTGTACTTTGTAGCACGTACAATATTATTGTAAACTTCTACAAAACGGTGAGCAAGTGCAACCAATACCCATAATATTACAATTAATCCTTATTAAATTCCAAAAATAGTGGACCTTTGATTTTGACACGTGTTGCTATTTACTATAACAAAGGAGATGATGATGGGTGATAGATCCAAAGCTTCTTTAATTTAATTTGCTACCCATTGTTTTTACTCTTACATTTTTTTAGTTGTCCATCTGTTCTCTGTCTTTTTAACTTGAGAAGCGAAAAATAGTAAGTAGAAATTATATTTTATGGATCCTGGTGTGATAAGATTCTTAAGTGAAGTTACCTAAAAATTAGTAATGAAGTGCTACTAAATTTATTATTTTGATCATCATATTTGCTCAATAAATTACTTTTAAATGATCGAGCAAGTAATATCCTTAAATACATCTAATTCTAACTGTATTTATACGAATAAAAATACGGTTAGATTTCAATCTAGAGTACAGTGGTAAAAGTTGTGATTAATGAGCTGTTGTAAGTTATCGAGCTAAATATAATGTTACTATACGGAGTAGCTGTCTAATTTAGAGATCGAAAAACGATATCCTACATAGTATTTACTTTAATTTATTTCATGTAAGCTTTAAACTCATTCTTCTCTTAGCTTACATGTTATAATATTTCTTACATAAAATACTTCCTCGATCTGGTCCACAAATATTGCAACAAGGATGAAATTACGCATTCCAAAGTATATTTTATATGTTAAATATCTAATATAAGAGTAAAAATTATAAAAAGTTGGTATTGTGAAAGTATTTTACGAGACGAATCTAACAAGACCCCACATAACTATATTTTACTTTACGTATAAATCATAATTTGTGGTCAAACAAGCATAATGAATAATGCAAAAGTGCAGTTGTTGCAATATTATTAGAACGGAGAAAGTATAATCGATGAATGCAACAACAAATAAGGTGCTTTAATTTGTAAGCTTAACCTAAAAGTGAATAAAAATGAGGGTTTATTATTAAATTATAATGTAGTCATAACTAAGCTCTTACTGATATTCAGGCCAAATCATTACTAAAAAAATATAAAATAAATAATTTAATAAATGATAACATAAAGAAAATGAATAATAATAATAATAATAATAAAAGGGCAAAATTTGGTTCTATATATATATACATCACACTACCAGAGCTCTTCAGTCTTCATCATTTTCACTCGTTCAAAAGCTTTTACAAAAAATTACTTAGTACTAAATTAAATAATTAAGCTAGCTTTACGTACGATAAGAAGTTTACGTTTTACCCTTTTTAGATATTCATAGTCTATATCTTCTAGATTGTTCTAGATGGCCAAAGGTATTGATCAACAGTCTCTTACAGAGTCCACAACTGATCAGAGGCTAGCCATGGCCAAACAATACTCTCATGGTAATTTATTTACTTTACTCGATCTCATAGATATCATATTTAATTATTGTTGCAATCCTATTAGCAATTTAGCATGCCAAGGTTTAACCGTTTAAACTTAATTTTCATCTAAGTTTATTTGAATTTATTATTAAATAATTAATCGAGCTTATCTAAATAAAGTAAGTGAAAATGTGATGAATAAATTACGACATATTGTTGCGTAATGAAATTAAATTTAAATTATACAAAAATAAAGGGCTAGCTATTCGTTTTGTGGATTTATTATGATAAATTTTCATGTGATTTTCTAACATGTCAAAGAAATAAATAAATATATACAGAAGGTGTTATAGCTGGAGCAAAGGCTGCCGTAATTGCTGGAGTGGTTACAGCCATCCCAACCGTGAGTTGGTTTTGAAAATAATTTTTCTTTGTTGTTCACAATATATAGTTAATAGCCATACTTTGATATATTATACGAAATATTTCGTACATAGAAATAATAATTTGATATTTTGACGTGAAATATGATCTTATAGATAGCAAGTGTTAGAAGGTTTTCATGGGCGAGGGCCAATCTCAACTACACTGCTCAGGCTCTTATTATTTCAACCGGTAAACACTTAAACCATTGTATACCAGTATACGTCGTACATATATATGTGCACACGTAACGTAACGTATTGAATTATTTTATGTGAAATACTATTTAGTTAAGTTGCTAATATATTGAATTTGGTTGATGATTAATTACAGCGGCAGGAGCAGCATACTTCATAGTAGCTGACAAAGCAGTTTTGAAATCAGCACGTCGCAACTCTATCAATAATAAAGATGCAGAGATCCAAACTTTTGGAGCTTAATTAAATCGCAAACAATTATCAAAATTAAAAATTACAAAAAGAATAAAGAAAGAATATAATGCTATGTAGAACAGGACGACCATGGGAGGCTTGAAATATTGATCGTTGCATGGTGAAGACGTGAAGTCATGATGCTAATGTTCACTATACCATAATTACCATTGTAATATATGAATAAAAATCATTGCGATTTTTTTTTTATTTTTCCAAATTAGTTTAATGTATTATGTAGTCATATTTCAAACGATCGCGGTGGAAACATTGTATTTTGATTAGTTAGTTCTAACTTGTAATTAAGAGCTAGTAAATCTCGGCTTAGTAGTATAATTCCTTTATGTAGTTTAGTTATTGTCAAGTTTTGTGTGAATTGAATGAGAGCCTAGAGCGAAGGCACACTCCTAGCTGTTTTATATAATATAAAAAAATTGTTCATTAATAGTTGTTAATTTATTTTCACTACTTTTTCATCTTCAATCCTTTATAATTATTTGTCTTATTTAATTTTCTCATTTTGTTACAATGGTAAAAAAAAGAAAATATTAGGAAACTTTCCTCACAAGGGAAATTTCTAATACATCTTATGGAAAATAGAGAAGAATTGTTACCATAGCATGACATGTTAATAAGATGAGGTGATAATAATACGGAGTCCAACGGAAAATTATACAAGTATATACATGAAGCATGCAACTACGTATGATGACGTAACGCCGTACCATATCCATTGGGTCATTTTCCTCCCATTACTCATGAACGAGGGATGATACATTGATACTGAATACCATGTTCTGATCTGTAAATATATAGCACCTAGATCAATTAAATTAAAAATTCTTTATTGGTTAATTTTCCTTAAAGTTTTTTTTGGCAGTGCTAATAAAGTATTCTCTACCTATATATGTTTATGCAAACTATTCTCTTCCTATGACCTTGATTAATTAAACTTATCTACGAATCCAAATACTTTTTGGTTATCAAAATTCACTCAAGTTTATAAACTAATATCCTAGTATATTCTCCATAAAACATACCATCTCTATCTCCATTTATATTTCTTCATACTTATAATCTTTTTATGACGTTTGGTTAATATAACTTTCAGGTATGTATGAGGTATAAAGTTGAAATGAGTAAAATCCATACTTAATGTTTATTTAAGATAAATCTAATATTTTAACCCATATCTCAATCCTTAAAATGTAGGCTAAAAAGGCGGGTATATATGAATCATACCACACTTCTAAGTATTAAATAATATATATATATATATATATATTTTAAAACAATGACTTAACACAAGGTATCAAGCAATAATCAAGTTTCTATTTATGCATCCTTATAGTTTCATTCCCGATTTTAAACCCATCACAATTTGTAAACCAAACTCCCCTAAGAGATAAGAGAAAGTTAAAACACCATTCCAAAAAAAAAAAAAAAAAAAAAAAAAAAAAAGAGAGAAAGTTAAAACAGATTGAAAAAAGGCTAAGAAAAAGGAATTAAGGAAAAAAATAACGGATATCATAAGAGACGCGTGTTGCAAGTTACGGAGTAGGATGGGAGGAGTGGCACAACTGCACAATGCAGTATTGCAGTGTGCCAAGCACATCAAATTAAAAAGGGATGCAATTGCAGTGTAAATGGAGACCTCGTGTAATGTACCCATGGTTTTGTGAAAATTCTAATATAGTCTTATTATTTTTTACTATTATAATTTTTTAAAGTAGATAGCTGAGAATATTTATTTTTTTTATTTATTTTTAATTAGAAATTTTAATTAAAAATCACTTTTTAATTATTTTATATATATATTTTTCATTTTCAGAATTTCAAAAATATTAAAAAAAATCTAGAAGATAAAAATATATTTAAAATAATAAAAAAATTATTTTTAATAAAAAATACTAATTAAAAATAAATAAAAAAATAAATAATCTTGACCGTCTATTTTGAAAAATTATGGTAGTCGACTGGTTTTGGGCTTGTTTGTCACATAATTATCCACGTTCCCGTTGCTTATAAAATATCCCATTTAATGAGTACTGTCTCTGCAATGTGCCAGAATCCATTTTAATCGCATTGATTTTGTCGCCCTTTTGGATAAAATCAATCTATACGGCTTGAGGTATCAAAAACTAATCCGACCGATTATTTAATATGAATAAAAAATACCCAATTCTGATTATATTTCAACTCGTATAAATACAATAATTTAGCATGACTCAGAGAGTAAGGGATATTTTAAGTGGTTAGATCTCTCTTCCTGATTCAGGTTATCCTGAAATCGATTCTCATTACTTACCCTTATGACTCTCTAAACAAAAATTTAGAATACTCAATTTTAAAATAAATTAATTACGGAGTAAGACATAGTAATTGTACTATATACGAGCTGAGTATACGATCCTAAACTACAAGGGTGTTGATAAAGACCTAAGGGGATAAGAAGACTACGGAGTAGAGCAGAGACAATTGTAAATTTGTACTCTTAGGATGAAGGCCCTCTTATCCCCTCCTTTTCTTATTATATAATAGATTTATTGCCCGTATATTACATGATGGTGATAAGTAATTAATCCGTATTTTATTTTATATCTTTTGTTGTTGATAATTTTTTTATTTTTTTTAATTTTTTTTTTATAAAAATGTTTTTTATAAATATAAAAAAACATGTACATAATCCTTTTTTTTAATGGTTATTTTTTTATGCTACATCATAATATTTACTATGTTATTGAAAACATATTAAAATGATGGTTAGACAAAATATATTTAATGTTGCATTATCTATTGAGCTTATACGTTTAGAGTGGAAGTTAAAAGACACATTATCTATATCTATTAAATATTGTTGTATTGTATTAGGAATATCCAAAATTAATACGGAGTATACAACAATATATTGCTACAAAATTCAAGTTTCAGATTTTTAGTTTCATACCTACTTTGTCCTAATTTCTAGCAAGTAAAATGAAAGGGCAAAAAAAATAAAAAAAAAAAACAAAAAAACAAAAAAACTAAAAAAAATAAAAGAAAAAATGATGACATTATATTGAAGTTTGGAGGGAAATTTTTCAATGAGAGCTTGACACATAAAACACTTTAAGGAATTGATGACATCAACACGTTTTGTTTTAGTAATAGTTAATAGATATTATACCATTGCTACCTTATTTTTCATTTCAACTATTTAAACTGGTTTTTATTTATTTATTTACTTTGTCTTTTATTATTCTTTAATATACTACTCACATATTAAGTAGGGGAACTATCAGCTTCTAATAGCTTGAGTCACTTTCAATAACTTTAATAAATCTATTGATATTAAATCGTGCTTAAATGATATCGTTTCATTTCAACACCAATAAAGGGTCTATTAGTTAAAATGTTTGTATGCATAAGTGCACAACACCATAATTCCCTTACTCTATATTGTGATATTAAAGAAAAAGAGGAAGTATGTCCTCAATTGACTAATAATAATAATATTGATCAAAGGATATGCATTGATTTTAAAAATTGCGTAAAGGGCAAGTGAGTTAACTTCATAAAACAAATGAAGCACTAAAAATTTTGTACACTCCAGTTTCCCATTCACTTGATAAAATGAATTTTTCAATTAAGTGAGTGATTTGGGATGGTAATAGATTAATTTAATCACAAATTAACATGAAAGATCCTCAATTAAGGAGACAAAAAGGACAAAAGGAATCAACCGACTAAAAACAGAAACCTAAGTCAAGTAGAAAACAATGGGACTAAAAACCTTAGATTTCTCATAAAACCATCAAACCACCTAATTTGTGTACCACTTTACAGCAACTTTACACTCTCTAAAGTTCTCTATAAATATAACGTACAATTTCTTCACCATTTCAACTAACTCATCTTAAACCTTCAAATTTCACATAATTATATATCAACATATTTTAGCACCCTCTAATTATTATATTTAGTACTCTTTATTATTGTACTTTTTTTTTTTTTTTTCTCTATAAGGAAAAAAAATGGCTAAAAATATTGCAGAATCACCCCTAGAGAGGTCTAGCTTGGCCTCACTTGAACAAAGGCTAGCCATGGCTAAACGTTGTTCTCATGGTACTTCAATTTATTTTATTTTCTATTTTTGCTTTTTATATACATATAAAGTTTACAATTATTATGATAAAATGGTCACTGGCATAATCTAAGTTTTATTTATAACTCACATTTTGGTCTGTCTGAATTTTTTATTTTTATTTTTTTTAAAAAAATGTAATTCAGCCAAATATTTACCTTATGAAAAAATAATGCTTTTTGAGATTTTCATGTGAGTGCAATATAATAATTTTTTAATTTTTTTTCTTGTTCTCTTTGCTGTTGTCAAAAAAAAAAAAAAAAAAAAAAAAAAATAATTTGATGAATATCTATATTATTCACTTATTGAGTAAAAATAGAGTACAGAATTAATTTTTTTTTGACATCTTAATTTGTGCTTTAATTTTATTGATTTGAAACTTTGAATGCATTAGCTTATTAAGGACATTGTTTATTTTCTTCTTCTTGTATAACAGATGGTGTTGTAGCTGGAGCAAAGGCTGCTGTTGTTGCTGGAATCGCTGCAGCAGTCCCAACTGTAAGTTTTTTTTAGCCTATTCTCTACCCCTAATCATTCTTATCGATTCAGTTTAGATTCTAATTTTATACCATAAAACGGTCAGGTCTCCTATAAAATAGGTGTATAAGAAGGTCAAAATAACTTTTTACAGAATATAGGGTGACGTTAAAAAAGACTAGAAATCCACCTATATACACCCATCTTATACAAGAATTATATTATATACACCCGTCTTATACAAGAATTTGTGTTCACGGTTTCGAAATTTTAATGTTAACCTTAACTTGCAGATAGCAAGTGCAAGAAAGTTGGCTTGGGCTAAGGCCAATCTCAACCCCACTGCTCAGGCCCTCATAATTTCTACTGGTATATAACCTTTACATTTTATTTAATTTTGGTCTTACATTTTATCCCTATTTATTATTGTTGTTTTCCTTACAAAAATTGACTAACATTCTAAATTTTATTGCAAATAATAGTGGCTGGAGCAGCATATTTCATAGTAGCTGATAAAACTGTGCTGAAGTCAGCACGCAAAAACTCCTTCAATCAAGCTGGAATGCCAAACATTGGAGCATAAGATTTGAAGATGACACATGTTCTGGAGGCTGTCATTGATTATTGAAGATGACAAAGACAACGACGACAATGATAATGATGATGATGACGATAACATTGAGCTTGATCTTAGTGTGAATCATATGATTACGTATTAAGAAGCAAATCTTGTACTGTATGAGTTATCCTTACGTAATGTATATGAATTAAAATAAAGATGTTTTTCTTTCAAGGTTATCTTCTTGCATCAGCTGATTACCTGCAGGATGATGCAGTTCTGCTAGCATTTCCTTGTTTTCTCACTAGTAGCAAGAGAAGTAAAATTTAACAGTAATAATTCCAAATTTTCGCGGTCTTTTTATATATTATGCCAACTTTCAATAATCCTCAATTCATATACATTATCAAAATATATCAATGTTAACATAAATATTAACTCTAACAGCAGTATTAACATGGGTTTATCATGGAAATAATTTATGTATAATGTATTATTCATGCTGCCATATATGATTAGATCTTGAATGTTAAATATAGATTTTCTGTGCTATATATGATTTCATTATGATGTACACCATATAAAGGACGATTCACAAGTTTACAACTTTACATGAACAATTAAATTTCATTTCCCAGAAATTTAAAATCTGGATTAATGTACAGGAATAGCTACTCAGATAGCATGATCTGTGCAAGTATTAAAATTCAATGAGATGAAAATGGATAGAAGGAATATTTACCACTGGTCCATACATGAACATTGGCCGTCTTTGAAATGATGGAAACGATTACGATCCCTTGCTATGATCTCCCTGTTGAAAATCTTTGATATGAGCTTTGTAGCTGAATGACAATTTCCACATACCCTTAAGTTCTTAACAATCCTAATCGTTGTACCGGGTTTCGTACTAATTAATCCATAAGCAATTGCCAGTCTTTCACTATGATGACTTAATGCCCCTTCTTTCCAGTCCTCATCCATGTCATAGAGAACCTCAGATGTATCAGGGACATGCCCATTTAAGGCCAAGAGCCTATCTACTTCATCCACCATCTCATATATTGCATTGCTCTGTGGGTGCAATTTATCTCCAACAAGAAACTCATGAACAATGCTATCTATCTCAATTGAAGTACATCCTGGAACTTTCTTTATTCCTAAGTCGTTTAATCTTGTTCTAACTCTAGCTACGTCATCCCATCTGCCTGCGATAGCATAGATATTTGAGAGCAGTACATAAGGCCCTGGGTTGTTAGGTTCTAGCTCGAAAAGATGGTTGGCGACTTTTTCAGCCATTTCAACCTTCTTGTGAAGCTTACATGCGGCAAGGAGAGAACCCCATATAGCACCATCTGGCTCCATTGGCATTGTATCCATTAGGGCCTCTGCTTCATCGAACAATCCTGCTCTCCCAAGTAGATCGATCATGCAACCATAATGAGGTACTTTTGGTGAAATCTTATAATCTTCTATCATAGCATTGATATATTTCCGACCAAGATCTACCAAACCAGCTTGAGTACAAGCCGATAAAACACCCACGAATGTGATATCATCCGGTCTAAATCCTTCATGCACCATCCTCAAGAAAAGATCAAGGGCATGGTTTGCATCACCATGCATGGATAGCCCGGATATCAGCGCATTCCAAGAAGCAAGGCTTCTAGTTTCCATTCGATCAAATACCTGTTTGGCAGCTTCAATATCACCACATTTCGCGTACATATTAATCAGGCTGGTCAATAGAGCAGGGTTAGTTAAGTGGCTGAAGTTTCGGTTTATATATGCATGAATCCATTTTCCATAATCAAGGGCGCCTAAGTGAGCACAAGCTGGAAGAACACTTAAGAAAGTCACATCATTCGGCACAACCTCAAGTTCTAACATTTCTCTGAACAAACACAAAGCTTCTTTGTACAAGCTCCCATGAGTGTACCCACCAATCATCACATTCCATGAGATTAGGTTCTTTTGAGGTAATCCCTCAAACAAAGTCCATGCTGTTTCAAGATCGTCACACTTTGCATACATGTCAATGAGCGCATTTACAACCCGAAGCTTTGTTCCCAAGCCATTTTCTTCAACCCAAGACCTAACCCATCTCCCTAACTCAAGATTACCGGATTGAGCACAAGCTGACAGAACACTAAGCATTGTACTCTCATTAGGCGTAACCTCTGCTCGTAACATCTCTTGGAAAAACGCTATTGCCTCATCGAATCGACCGCTCTGTACATACCCTGCAATCATAGCATTCCATGACACAACATCCTTCACAGGAATTTCATCAAACAGCTTATGTGCATCCTCCAAACAACCCCTACACACATACCCAGTAATAAGTGCAGTATAAGAAACAGGATCTCTAAGAGGACTTTTATCAAACACTTGGCGTGCACAATACAACTCCCCAATTTGAGCATACATATTGATCAAAGACGAATGCACAAAAACATCTGAATCGAGCCCGAGCTTCAACACATGCCCATGAACCTGTTTCCCTTCCTGGGTATTCCCCGATTTCGCACAAGACTTCAAAACAAAAGGGAAAGTGTAAGAATTCGGTTCGGCACCCGAAACAAGCATACGAATGTACAAATCAAAAGCACCCATTGGAGCAGAACTCAAAGATTTCCCTCTAATCACAGTATTCCAAACCAGAGTATTGGGTTCATCCATCGATTCGAATATCGAAAGCGCATACGATAGATCACCTGAAGGATTAACAGCACAGGATTCAATGAGCTTGCTAAGAGCAAATTGGGTATTGTGAAGGCCAGTTTTGATGATTTGGGAGTGGATTTGTTTTAGGGTTTGAATGTTCTTGCATTTGGAGAGGAGAGAGAGTGAGGGTTGAGATTGAAGGAGATTGTATGGAGGATCTGAATTTGGGAGAAAATGGAGTGGAGAAATTAGGGTTGAAGATGAAATTAGCATTGTCATTTTAATTGGGTTTTTTTGTTGTTCTTTGTTTGCTAAGAAATGAGGTTTTTTTTTTTTTTTTTTTTTTTTTTTTTTTGAAGTTTAGTTATTTCCGTTACCCGCCAAAAATAACGGTCCAACTTCAAAAAAAAAACAAACGGTCCATTTATTATTTTTAATTATTTAAAAGTTGGTTCAAAATAAGAGGGAGTCACCTGTTTCGTGTTCTATTTATGCCAAATTTAAATATGATATTCACGTATGAATCATTACTGGCCGTCTGACTCACATTGTCGGGCTCAAGTCAGCTTGAACCCTTTTGTGTTGTACCGACCTAAAGAACACTCATGTTAACCTGATCCATGCCCAACTTAACTTTACTAGCCACGCCTTTATTTAAGTTTTTCGTCTTCTTGGTCCTCTCCTTATTCTTCATCATCCCAAATATTGTAGAACTTAATGGCTTCGTCTCCCACTACTTTATCACCACGCCACCCTCATCCTAACTTTTATATAGCTCTCGTTCTCATTATATTATCTCTTTATGCTTCTTATTTTCTCATTTTTCTTTCTCTATCCATCATTCAATTACAACAATTCATCCAAATTTGAAGAATTAATTTGTTAAATTCTAAGAAAATTATAAAATAACAATCATTTTTCTTTCTCTATCCATCATTCAATTACAACAATTCATCCAAAGTTGAAGAATTAATTTGTTAAATTCTAAGTAAATTATAAAACAATTAATTTACTATTTTTTTTTCTAAAATCAAATAAATTAGTTATACCAATATTATTACTTCCATGTAATTTATTAATTACAAATAAATTCACCTAATCCATTCAAGTTGATTTAATCACAATTTTTATGAGGAGAATATATACTTCGTATATAAATATTGATTGAAAAGAAAGATTCGGTTCAATTTTAATCAAACACAACAAACTCGACCAAAAAATAAAAGTTGGCAAAGAAGTATACTTATAATGGATGGTGTTTGATTCTTAACTTTATTATTTTGATTAGGGTTATTTTGTGGTCTTCGATTACTTCATCTTGTATGTCAGAATTTCTAGATATCTTTATCTATAAGATAACTCTTCTTTTAATTTTGTATATGTCGTATTTGTTCCTTGTTGTTGTTGGGCCCTCAAGGAGGACGATGACTAGGATGAAGAAGGTATCAATTACAAGACTGAAAAACATGAAAAGGGTATAAGAGAATAGTAGTACATACAAATGGGGTAAAGCGAATACTAAGACTCAAATGGGAGAAGAAAGGCGGTGGAGCGAATACTAGGACTAGCTAGAAAGGAAGAAAATGGCGGTGGAAATAAAGAGAGGACGGATATAAGAGAGACTAGGGCAAGAGAAACGAATAACATAACTTAGCTTCAACTCACACTAAAAGAAAATGTAGTAAAAAAGGAGGTCAGGTTGAGAACATTATATGACATTTTGGACCAAATTTCGTTCATATATGTCATTTGTGTTCACTATACACTCGTAAAAGAAATTAAGTTGTATTAGGTTCCACCCTGTTAAAACTTATTACAATCATATTTATATGTTTCCATAAGAGACAATAAGTACACCAATTTAATTAGTTAATGAGTACGTATAAATATGTTCATCATATAGAACCACATAATTTTGAGTTTGTTAGGAGGATTTCATTTCCGGAAAAAGTGAAGCGGAGAAATTAGAGGTAAAGATGAAATGAGCATTACCATTTTATTTGTTTTTGTTATCTTGGTTTGCAATTATATGAGGATTTATGTATTTTTTTAACTATAATTATTCCGATACCCGTCAAAACTAACAATCCAACTTTGTCAAGTGTAATTTCATCAATTAATAGGGTAATAATAACTTGCCTAGTCCTTGTTTTATTATTAACTAGATGGAAGCCCGTGCATGCACGGTTTTTTATACATAAATCTCATGAAAAATATTATTTTTTTAATTTAACCTTATAATTCTTTTATTATTTTGCTTGTTAGAAAACGGATAATTTGTTGTATTTTTATGTAACTTATAATGCGACCTTAATTTACTAATATTAGTTATATGAAAATTATAAGTATGATAGATATTAGAATAAAAACATAGTCCTGTTTGTATTTTTTTAACCTATAATTCGTTTGTATAACGAAATTCCACTATACATATATAGTTATAGGATCACTATTTTTCTTTCACAAATAATAACTTAGACCACCATTATTCTTTTACTCCGTATCAACTTTATACAATGAAAAATTAATAAAGTAAACCCAAAACTACATGGTTAAAATAAAGACGGTGGGAGTAATAGTAAAAAATATGACTTAATAAATTTTAAATAGTTAAATGAAATATATATATATATATATATATATATATATATATATATATATATATATATATATATATATATATATATATATATATATATACTACCAAGAGTGTTGCATTACTAAAATTAATCTAATCAAATAAAATTAAATCTTTATAATGAAATTTCATTATCATACGTCTTAATAATAGAGTTATATGTATACACTACTATAATGATTTTTACAATAATAATATAGATATTCTACCAGAAACTATAATACACAAAATTTAATACGATAAGTAACATAATTAGATTAGGATAAATAAAACAAAACATACATGTTATAAAATAATGAATAACATCAATTTATGCAACACTTTTATTTTAAGCAAGAACTAATAATATATAATGCTCCACTAATTTGCTCCATTGATATGAAATTAAATCTCTAATTCCACTTACTAAGTCAATACACATGAAACACATGGTTGTGGTCCAAACCAAGAAATGAAGAATGTTAGTTGAAATTTGTACCAAGTAATATTGTGCAAGCATTATATTGAAAAACTAGTTTAAACCAAGTGTGTCAAATGCATTCTTAATTTTCATAAAAATCCATTAAAAAAAAATCCATTAAATTACACATTCATATGATATTAGAGATACATTATTCTATGCTCACAATAGGACAAATTCTTTTTTCCCTTAATATTATTGAAGAAAGTAATTAGAAATTAAACTCTAATTAATTTTGTTTCAATTTTGTTTCCAATCATTTTGTCTATCTAAAAGAAAATTTATTCTCCACTCTTTTAATTTATTTTCAAGTGATAAATTGCATGAGAACTAAATATCATTATTCCTTTGGCCAGAAGTTTTTTGGAAAGCCAGCATATTGTATAATTCTTCTTCTTAAGGGTCGTTATATTACTAAGTAACTTTTATTTTTATTTCTTTTTATAAATTTTCGCGCTATTGGGAGACATAATATGAGTCATAAGACACTTTCAAATACTAAAATGAAATACTTTCCAATATAATGTTCCCCAGAATCCTAAAAAAAGTTGTGATAATATTTTGATAGTAATTTGACACAATTTTGACCTAAATTTTTTCCTGTTCTATTATTAGTCGACGAGTTATAAAAAAGAGAATGAAATCTAAGATATAATTTGACCCACCAGTGAGATTACAAAATAGCTAGCTGTTATATATATTTGTATATCTTAGCTTTGAGGGCAAAGCATCAGATTCTGAAATGAATTATTGTTCATTTTATTCATGAGTTTCTGATTCTTAAAGTGTATATAAATTATTGCTATATGGAATAGACGAAAGAGATGATAATTGCCTTTGAAAGTGAATCTAGGGATTCCTTGAATCTTTCTGTTGAGGATAAACAATAATGGTGGTCCATTATTATTATAGTTAGCCATCTTTAAGCTAGACTAGCTAGATTGATCTAATGAATTAGATCACATGTCATGATCATAGTAGATAGTCAATATTCACGTGTTCTTCAATTCGTTTGACAATCCAGTGTTGATGGTTTGCTGATTCACTTGGCTTGTTTGATCAAGTATAGATTATTTCAAAAAAAATTATTACAGAAAAAAAGAAAAAAAAAAAAAAAAGGACCCATTTTCCACTAAATCCCTCTTTTTTTATTGTTACAATTTTACTTGTTAAGCTGAGTTGAAAAAAAAAGGCCTACAGAGTGAGCCTATAGAATCAATTCATAACAATTTTTATGCGAAATAACTGACTTTATTTTCGATAAATCAATCAATACTCAAAAGCCAGTAACCAATTACTTCATCCATATAGCCTAAAAGGTCATTTAACAAGCATATGCGTAATGATTTGGTTATCTAATCGAGCACATTTTTTTTTTTTTTTTTTTTTTTGTAAATAAAAACTAATTTATAATTATTGGTAAGAATCCAATTATTAAGCAAAATCATAGCACTATTGCCATGCATGCATACATAAACAAGTTCACAATTTACAAAATTCAAGAACAGCCAAATAAATGTCTAACCTTAAGAAATGTTTTTTTTTTTTTTTTTTTTTTTTTTTTTTTTTTTTGAAACATAACCTTAAGAAATGTTTTGATCTATCTTATGTGTAACGCACCATAAAATTAGCTGATATCACATAATAAATCCATTGATTCATTGGCATTAACCTAATTATCTACAACCTCATTATTGCATGATCAATATCCTCATTGCTTATCACTCCAGATTTGCATAACTATAATTCAATTTGCTATTTTGGATGATCTAATTTGATAGCTTTTTTTTTTTTTTTTTTTTTTTTTTTTTTTTTTTTTTTAAGGTACACAGGAAGGGGCCCCCCACCCTATCACAGGAATGGGGAGATGAAGAGTCGAACCCTCAACCACTTGGGGGAGGGGGGGATAATCATTCCTCCATCTCCTACATCCTCATTTGATAGCTAAATTAGCTTGCGTGCAGTTCCTAACGTAATGAAGAACTTGGAGGAGGTGATTTGTGTACATCTTATTGCCGTTCCATGATTAAGAGCTCAAATGGGAAAGTTCAAGAGATCCAAGTGTACATAGGAAGGCAACCGTGCTACAGATAGCTTGCTAATCAAGGCGTTAATCAATACTCTAGATTTCATTTAAGATTGTGCTCCTTAAGCTCTTAGTAGAATCTTAGACAAGGATACAAAAGGTGTGGCCTTTCCTCGCCTAGTCCCTCCTTACCCCATTTGATTTTGTTCTAATTGATTAGTTATTTAGTTTTTTGGACTTGTCCCTCATTTGAAATAAAAAATAAATAAATAAATAAATAAAAAATAAAAAAAAATAAAATAAAAATAATAATAATAATAATATTTGCATTGTCATTAAACATGAATGAACTAATGGTAGCGTACCACAAATGATTTGTAGTCAGTACATGTATATATGCGAACATGCTAGAAATAGACAAGGTACTTGAACATATATTTACATGTTTGATACTCACTTCACTAGTCTCTTTAAAATTTCAGCAAAATATAACTTTAATGTTTGTAATGTAAAACTTTAATTATTACTGTTTTTATTTATCTAATATGAAGTAGTAAAACTATAAAAAGTTTATAAGTAAAAAAAGGGTTTTTTTTTTTTTTTTTTTTTTTTTTTTTTTTTTTTTTTTTTTTATATGGTAACCCTCTAATTTTCACTTTTCTACGTCGTGTCCCTTCATTTAGAACTTTTTATACTGTAACCCCAAAATACATTTAGTTTCTATACGGTAATCTTGTCGTTATCCCGCCGTTAATAAATTCCGTTAGTGGGGCCAACTCTCCACTTATTAATATTTTTTTAATCGATTTGCGTGTTGAAAATTATTTCGTTAAAGGTTTTGGGGGCTATTTTGGCCCTTAAGGATCCAAATTGAGCTTAGATTTAGGAAAAATAATACGCAAACGCCTCGTTTTGCGTATAAGAAATGTCTCGATTTGCGTGTTTATGTTTTTAATTTGCAAAACGAGGCATTATTTACGTTATTGTTTTGTCAAATCTGAGCTCAATTTGGATCCTTAAGAGTCTAAATAGCCCCAAAAACCTTTAACAAAACAATTTCCAACACGCACATCAATAAAAAAAAGAATATTAATAAGTGGAGAGTGGGCCCCACTAACAGCATTTGTTAACGGCGGGATAACGACAAGGTTACCATATAAAAACTAAATGTATTTTGGGGTTACAGTGTGGAAAGTTCTAAATAGAGGGGCACAACGTAGAAAAGTGAATCTAGAGGGTTATAGAAAAACCCAAAAAACTATTTCATTATAAAATGACTAATCATACAAATATATTTAATAACATTTTTTTACCATTATTTTATATATAATAAGTAAAAAAAAAAAAAAAAAAACCTAACTCATGACGTTCAAAGTATATGAAACCCTAAGACATGAACTTCCTCGACTCGTTTAATGTAAGAATCTGGCTCAGGTTAGAAAGATTAGGGTGGTGTTGCATGAGGAAACCCTAGGGAATTAATACTGAATAATTATGTACTTAAGTAGATAATCAAGTAAGTGATGTTACATGAAATCTTTAATATCAATTTTGGTGAGTATCTTTGAAGAACAATTGCTGTGTTACCCATGTAGAATCTAGAATAATGATACTCGAATATTGCAATGTTTAACATTGAAAAGTTTGTAAAAGACATCTGGAAACATACACATGTCAGAAAACACATCATAGAATATGAGCAACATAGACGTACTAAATACACAGCATATATATATAAAATACTTCGTACTTCGTATATAATAATTTTGTAAGTCAAATTACAAGCTAGTCTCCAAGAGCTTTATATAGCTTCATTACAGACAGGGACTAAGCACTTCCTAGTTAGTGCTAGTTTGATTACATTATCGATGATATTAGATTCATAAACGACGATAAGGAAAGCAGATTTGTGGATAGTTCTGTTAGTACATTCCTCCTGCAATAACAAAATGTGTTGTTTAACAAACCGCAAACATAGGAAATAATAGGCTTGTTTCTGAATATAGCTAGACAAAGAGGAAGATTTCTCACCAAAATTCCTCGGTGTCTTGCAGCTGAAGCATTCCATCCTGCAGGCATAATTGTGCATCCCACATCCTGGTCTGTAAATCCAAAAATGACATAAATAGACAGATTCAGATGTATATATTATATATGCACCAATTACAGTGGTAAAATGAGATTTCCATACAATGCCATAAATAGACAGACTAACAGATGTATATTAGGCAGTAGAACGGAGTATTTACCCAGTGCAAATCCAGTCACCAGATTTCCATCCAGGAGGGGTAGCCTCAGAACCATACCCTGCACCGGAGGACATGACATTGCTAGCTCCACAGCATCCACGAGCACATTCAGGTTTCTGCGCGCCGCACCTGTAGCAGCTCGTCCTGCTAGCATAGTTGTGGGCCCCACAGTTCATAGACTGGCAGTACCAGTCCCCTGCCAACACTTGTGTCCTGTTGGTGGCGGTGTTGTGTCCATATGCTGAGGCATCATCCTGCCCACCATACTTAGAAAATCCACAGCTTTGGCATATCTCTCGCTTCTTGAAGTTAATGTATTGGCATGCTCCACACATCCAGTCCCCTCCCCAGCTCATCTCCTTCCCTAAGAACACCCCCACCCCAAAAAGGAAAGCAATATTTGTTAGAAACAGAACATTAATATTAAAGTCAGTGTCATTAGGCAAAATTTTGCAACATCAGTGTTCTGTCATCCCTCTTTAGAAAGAAACATTGTTCTATTAGCAAGTCATGATTCATAGTCTCTAAAGATTACCTGGGATAATTAAGGAATATGAAATGGTTGAGAAGAAGGTACTTTCAATGAAAGAGCAAGATATATGAAGATGGAACTCGAAATGAACTTAGTTCGGTAAACAATGATGCCCTTTTATAACTAAATTTACGCTTCCTGTGTACGGACATGAATGTTAACATCATCTTCATTGTTCCCTCCCTCTCTTTCATGCAGTCTCCTTAAAAACGGGATTCCGCAAGTTGACAATTACAAACAGAACCCTATAAAATATAAGGCTTTAACTGATATACAACTAACGACTTAATCTGTTATCATATATGTTAGCAGTTACCAGAAAGTCAGAAACTTGTGAAGTGAACAGAAAAATTGACCCCTCTGACGTAATGGAATTCCAAAAGTAGAAATTACACACAGAACCACATTTAATTTCCTGTTATAAGTTCAAATTATTTACAATAAACTAAAGCATGTCTGTAATCATATATGTTAGCAATCAACATAAACTCGACAAGTGATCAGCAAAATTGACCTTTTATCTTTTCTGATTCCCTCTTGCACTATAAAGTTCTTTATGTTCTTATTCTCTTCAGTCATCAAATATCCTTCTAGCAAAGGTGTTAATAGGGGATGATGTTATTTGAAAGGGGACAGCTTTCAGTTGGAGCTTAAAGGATGTATGAATCTGATGCACACAACATCAACGCAAAATGTGGGACTTCCACTCCTATTTGTTTGTCTTTCAAGCAGGTTTCATCATATAGCCCCAGTTAAATCATCAGGTTTATATGGCATGAAAAAAAATGCCATAGAATAAGGAAGGAAATATTAAAAAGAAGATTGTAAATCTATGGAAACAGTGCTTTCATCTCATGCACATCCTGAGGAAATATAAAACAAAATGCAAGAAAAGAAAACAGAAATCCTCAGTTTTCTTAATTTTAATTGGATTCCCTAAGTGCATTAATTCAAAAAGAACTCATATCAATTGTGGATGCTGTCTTACATTCCTGAAAGTGTAAATCTGACATGGTTTTCCCGCCAAATACAAGGGCTACACCTGTAAAACTTAAAAGTAATAACAGAACAAAGGCTCATATCTTTTTTGATATCGTCTATGAGTATGATTGATAAAAATCCAACAGCGACATCATATAAATTAATTTGTCCCTTGAGTGGTTTTTTTATTAAGGGTCAAAAACTGAAGCTAGAAAAAATTAGATGCTTTTTTATTTCTTGCAGCATTAAATGGCTTTCAATTAGTTCCTAGACGACTCTTAAGGAAAAGTACCATATACAGATATTCTAAGAAACATCAACCTCCCCCACCCAAAAAGGAAAAAGGAAAGAGATAAAAGGTGCTGGTTTCCCTTCAGAATAACTTAGCAGAAACCTAGATGTATACTGCATGAACTCAATCTATGATGATTTCAGTTGATTTAACAGCAATATTCTGTTAATTTATCGATTCTTTTTTTCTTAAAATAAAGAGCTATTTGCAGAGAATTGAAAATCTTATGTCAACCTAATGACGCAGTACTGGACCTAAAGAAAATCAATATCAAATGACAGGTTAAGGTGTTGAAGCACAAGTAATGAAGTAATCAAATAATATCTCAAAGGCAACAGAGAATATACTGCAGTGGCAGAACATAAAACTATAATGGCAGCATGGAGGCCATACACCCCCTCATGGGAGACGACGGACTACATGTTGACATGGCACACGGCAAACAATGTCGATTTTCCACTTAGCTTGCTACTTTGTTGACTCATAATTTTGATAAGAGAGAATCCTAATCATGAAGTTTTTACCAAGCACACTGAATATTCTCACATGAAGGAAGATGAGCCTTCTTTTACACTATTTTATTCTCCACCTGTGGTCATTGCAAATATGGCTCCTCAATAATTCTGAAAAGAATCCCCATCCTGACAGCAATCACTCAGCAAAAATCGCTGTTGCCTTTTCTTTTCTATTCTCTACGCGTTCTGCAAACAGGAAATAAAAACCCCTATTAATCCATGAATGATGCCCTTGCTAGATAAGCCTCCACAACTAACAATACTGCACCTGGATGCTTTTACAGGAAGGAAACAAGTAAGACAACATGAGGTGTCAACACTGCAAATTGTAGAATCGCTAATCACTTCTTCCCTTTTTTTTTTTTTTTTCTTTTCAAAACCAAAGGTAATAACTAGGCTGGATAGTCAATGAGATCGAGTGGCCTTAGTTGTAAACTACTTCATATAGACAACTACGTACCCTTCTGAGTCTTTGCCCATTGGAGCAACAAGAGGAAGAATTATTCCCACCTCTTGTTCTCTGCCAACCTTCTATAAAGAAAAAAAAAAAAAAAAAAAAAAAAAAGAGAGAATGAAAATCACGTAATCATTACAATCTAAAACTCTCCTCTAACACCAAAGAATTTATTTCATCTAAGTAAGTTTAAAATTTGATTGCCAAAAATAAGCAATTCAATTGGTGCAACACATTTTAGCTACTTATGAATTATGATGCATGAAAATGGCAATATGTCACCCAACACGGCAACAAGGCTTAAATCCTATGCGAAGTCACTGAGATAAACTAGACACGAAACTCATGAATCAACCCGGTCTGGTCCATTTTCATAATATGTCACCATCTTACATATAATTTAGTTAATGATTTGCTTACCCAAATTACTAGCTCTGTATACAAGGAATCTCTTTTATTTCTGTGAATAATAACCAAATGCTTGCTCTCGATTTTTATATCATTACATGAACTAGGTAACTAAAATTGATTGCCTGGAATAATGTAATTTTAAGACACGTAAAAACCTTATTCTCATGCCCACCAATTAAGATAACAATTAGAAGCCTAATTTGACTTTAACTCTCCAAGGCATATTTTAAGATTACAACAAACATGTTCCTTGCATGGATAATAAACTTATTATGAAAATCCTAACTAACTAATACATCTAATTTAATTGCCAAATAGTAGCCGCATGCTATGCACCATGTCATACAGCTGCCTGATTCTTCCATTTCATTAATAGAGACATAAGTTGCTGCAGCTGCAACTTATTAACAACAAAATCATGCTCCATGCCAAATTATATAATTATATACACTATATCACAAAATTTACTCCATACGCAACTTTATTTGTATAATCAACAATAATATTGGGCATTCTTATACTCCTACTAACGAATTTGAGAAAGGGCATGTTGGAAAGTTCAATCATAAGCCAAGCAATACAATTTTTTTCAGTCATCCTGAAGTAGTAGTATATGGAACAATCAATCTTGAACAAGTGAAGTATTTAGTAGAATCAAACTTTGCTTAGGTTTAGTAGAATCAAACTTATCTCTAAGCACCCACCCCAAATAACACCTTGCAGATTTGGATATTGTAAACATATCAAGTAATCCAATACAGAGGGAATAAAGAAAAAAAGGATACTTCAAATTACTACTCTCTAGTCTCTCCCATATTCAAGGATGTGTGCATGAACTTGCCTGTTAATAAAATAAGCTCCCTTTATCTGATATGGAGCAGAATTATTAATCAGAACCCTGAAATAGATCCTTTAATTTTATATTGTCTTCCCATACCAGGGAATCCCATTTTTAAGGAAACGACTCAAGTGAAGCAGGGGAACCCTTTGTAAAGGCAAATACTCCTCTAGCATGATGTGCACATTATACTCAGGTCCCACCTAAAAAGAAGTTCCTCAACTACTATAAAAGGGGTCACCACTTAACAGACCAAAAACCCACCAACTACCTTTAACACTTCTCTAGCTATCAACACTCATAAACCACTGCTTTCAGTTTCTTCCTTTTTCTGAAGCTCCAATTTATCAGGTTAGTTCCTCGAGCTCTTTCTATCTTATGAAAGTAATGCTCTAGTGCATTACATCATTCAACCTATGAGGTAAACTGATAAAGTTTCAAGGAGTTCATACCCTTTATGCCCCAACTGCAAAAAAAAAAAAATAAAAAAAAAAAAAAATAAATAATTGGAAAACAAAATAATGATCCTTAATAAACTAATGCAAATATAAAAAATGCTGAAGTACAATGTTTTAACTCCTTTTTTTCCTTATTGGTTACTGCAGATAAAAGCAAGAATGAGTTCTCCAGGGGATTGGTTGTGTGGTGCATGCCAACATGTAAACTTCAAGAAGCGAGAATCATGCCAGAAGTGTAGCTTTTCAAAGTACGGAAGCCAGGCTGATATCCCATATTACATTGCTAACACAAAGTCTAGTAGGACAGAGGTTTTGGCCGGAGACTGGTACTGCCAGACCATGAATTGTGGGGCCCACAATTATGCTAGCCGTACAAGCTGCTTCCGCTGTGGAAACCTTAAATGTGATTATGGGACTGTTGGTGTTGGTTATGGAACTGGTGACATGATGATGGGAGCTGGAGGATATAGCTCAGAACAACAACAGCAACAACTCATGCCAGGGTGGAAGGCTGGAGACTGGATTTGCATGAGGTGATTTAATTTAGTTCTTTACTAACAAAGACTGTTCGTATTCTCAGGCTTCATTAGTTGTGAGATGACTAAAAATGACATTATTGTGACTGCAGACCTGGATGTGGTTTACACAATTATGCATGCAGGATGGAATGCTACAAGTGCAGATTACCAAGAGATTATGGTAATTCATAAATCTCCTCTAGCAAAATTTATTTCTACTAATTATAAGAAAACATATCTCAAGGTTTTTTCTTTGGGCAGGTGGAGCAATGTAAGAGATAAATAATTTTACAGAGGCTTCTATGATTTATTTCAGTTTCTATTGTAACTTTCTGAATCATAGCACCTATTGGGGAATTTTTATTTAAAAAAAAAAAAAATCCTTCTACTTATAAGTGTAATTTTAGTCATTGTAAGGTGCTATGAAAGGATTAAGTAAAGCCCAAAAAGGGTAATTTTCTGGGTTACAAGTATAAGTGTAATTCCTCCTCTTTTGGCTGCTACTTGTTTAAGCAATGGCTAACAACTCTCACTGAAAAATATTCCATTCTGGGAATCACTCAAGTCTAATTTGATTTTAGGGGTGTGCATCATTATGCTAATGTGTTTCCCTTTCAAAGGAGCAATAACTAATGAGCCCCTTTTGGCATAAAATCTTAAAGAGTAGCAGCATGCAGATAAGAACTTGATGCTGCGCTTTAGAGCATGGGTTAAAAAAAAAAAAGGTCCAAACCTCTGTTGGTCTTCTGACTTCCCAATGCTAAATTTGATGAATTTCGCATATCCCCTAACTTTATTCCATATACAAAATAATGAGAAGTAAAGATTTACCTCCAAGCCCTAATTGTTTGGATTAGTGTGTTTGTTGCATTATCTTACATGTAATGCATGATACTCAGATAAACAGGTCAAGAAGCCGCAAAAAGTACAATACTATTGCCTACCCCATATAACTTTATGAGTGAACTTTTCAATGATTTTGTGGGTTCTTAGAAGTACAAACTTTATATATTACAGGTTATGATCAATGTGCAAAGGAAGTGACAAAAAAATTCGTAACTTACCCCAAGAGTATTGGTTTCTTTGGAAGTTCACAATAGATGACTCAGTGCCCACACTTGCAAGTTGCAATCCATTACTTGGCCACTTCTGTTGCCCTTTTTTCTTCTGAGCATTGTAAACCACAAAAATTTAATCAACAAACAATATGATCATTTTCTAAATTGAACTCATGATAATGTGAACGAAAGACGAATCAAAGTCATCTATCCTGCTATCTATTCCATAGAATGCATTACGTGCTCTCATTGGTCCATGCTAATAACCTAGCATCGAAATACAGGAGTAAGTGGCGTATATTACTTATAATTGTAAGTTGAATACAGGATTTTCTCCCTAGACAAGTAGAAGATGTAGAGTGGCATATTTCTTTCATTTTCCGAATCCTCTTTTCTTTGGAAATACAGATATTTTTTCCCCCCTGTCTAAGCTTATGATGACAGAGCTTTATGTTATAAAGCTCAAAAAATTAACAGAATGTAGAGGCTTGGAAAATTCAAGTTGAAGAGATAAAATACTGACATTCAGAAAGATAAATCCTAACAGAATCGATTTCAAAATACTGATATTCAGAAAGATAAGTCCTAACAGAATCGATTTCAAAATACTGATATTCACAAAGATAAGTCCTAACAGAATCGATTTCAGGACACAGAACTAATATTAGCAATTCCAACCATTGATCCTCCTATCTTAGCTTATTTACAGTTGCATGTGATTAAGGAAACCTACTTAAAAGAAAATTCCCAGTAAACATAGTGAGATTCAAATTACTCCAAAGCATGGCTAATTCTCCCAGTCAACAACTTAAAAATTCCAAAGAAACATAGCGAAATCAAACTTAAATTACTCCAAAGCATGGCTAATAATCCCAGTCACCAAGACACCAGCCTAAAATTTTCCTTATCTTCATTACACCCATGACATAAGTGAGTTTGAGCCCTTACATTTGCTCCACATCCCTCATATGGCAACTTGGCAACCCTTTGGTATCCAGCACCAAGAATTATATAAATACTAGTAAATGCCGACTAAAACTTCTGCAAGGAGAAAGAAGGTAACTCAAGAGCCAAGAACCTCAGTTTAAGGTTAAAAAGGTCTTGTTCACTAAAAGTCTAAAAGATTAGCAGACCAGCTATCAACCGCAGTGGTACTTCCCCCAAATCCTCAGTATCACAACAGGTAAATCACCAAGTTCATGATCTGTGGACAGTGGTACAGTTCCTAGGACTGCTAGCATTCCCTTACAGAGTCTGTAGCAGCAAAAAAAGAGATATAAGATAACGTTATTTAGGGAAAATAGAAACTAAGTGCAGGCAGTCTTTGAAACAAAGGAAAAAAATTCGAATTTCGAGTTTTGACCCTAACTCTGAATTTCAGAAAATAACTATTTCCCTCAAACCTACCGGTTACAAGTTACTTTTAAGAAACATAATTGTCTTTCTTCTGAAGCATATATCAACGTTTAGACTCATTAGGGCACCCTGTCAGCAGTAAGATACATAAGGGAATGTTGTAATAACAAATTTGTCATAGGAAACCCTGAAGGAGATCAGAGGGTATCATCAAACATTGAACTTGATACCATAAACCATACTAATCATGACAACTGACAAGTATTCTGATAGATGCAACAGCAAAATGAGCATTAAACCACTAAATGGTCCCACTTACACAGATACACTGATCGCGTAAGGGCATCATGGTTACAAGTTGAATACCAATAAAGATGAAGATTAGGTGCTCAACCAATAGGTGACAAAGAAATTAGGCACATGCTTGAACTGTTTCTTCGTACCATAAAGGAATAAATGCTTATACCTAATTATGTTTATTGACAGAAAATGCGCAATCTGAGGCCACTATAAAGCAACTCATACAGCTCCAAGACCCTGCATTTGAAGCGGCTACATAAGCATGAGAAGAAGAATTGACTCTGAATTGATTAGTGAGAAGATTATAATAACTATCTTAGGAACAGTTTTAGCAAAATGGTGAAATAACAGCTAAGCATTAAAGCAGAAATTGTTTTAAACATAGAATTGATCAATAGCTTTCTCCTACCAGCCCTATCAAATATTAACAAATATGCTAGGAAATGATCCAAGTACATTAGAGTGACTAGAAGTTATGAGAGACAGAGCCAAGGTCCAAAGTGATGCTTTTTGATTTGAATCCTTCTAGTCAAAAAATTGCAGGACTGTCATGACATACACAGCTCTGATAGCTGTGCTGATGTTCTATTGAGCTATTTCAACAATGATCCCAGGCCCCAGATTTCAGCCCCCTTCTAAATAGTTTTCATGGCCAACTCAATTTCAAACAATACATACAATTTTCTTTTGTGTCCTCTACTTAATCTTCCGGGTAGATTCTTGCCAAGATACCCTCAGCCTCAACAACCTTATTTTGATCAAAGGAAGAAAGAAAAGCTCCTTGTATCAGAACTTTTTTCTGTCAACTTGTCAAGTATCATCTAGTACATTTTTCCCTTTTTTAGCCAAACCTTTCTGTAAAGATATCTAGGTGAGTCGGGAAAAATAGTATCAGAATGAGCTGCAACAATGCAGGCACTGCAGCCTTCCCAGAGATGCATCAACCTGGAAAATTTATCAATTGAATACAGATATAACACCAATCGGCTGCTTCTGCAATAGTTACATAATAACAATAATAAAAATTGTTTCGACAATCCACCGATATACAGATAAACAGCAGCTGAAGCCTGAAAAAACATATTATGAAATGTACAACAATTACATAAATCAATGCTAAAGCAGGGGGGAAAGCCAAAAATTTCAAAATGCGGAACTGCTAGATGACCAATCTTGTGTCCTCAAGTACTCTAGCTTTAAGTTGGAGATTTCCTCAAACTTTAAAGCCTGCTTTTAAACCATGTAATTAAGAGAATTAATCTTCACTCTATGTTTTTGATGGGCAGATACATGTGTGTGGCTTCCAATAAACTTGCTTCTGATGTTTGGGTTTCCATACTCGAGTGTAACCTAGATTACTAAGGTAACTAGGGAAGACAAGAAGTGGCCTCCAGTAATCAACATATTATTAGTGCTAACAAGGCCACCTCTAATCCTATAAGGAGTCCTGGTAATCTGATATGTATAAAGAAAAGGGCAGCAAGGCCATGGATGCCATCCAACTCCTAACTACCATATATTCTTCCCTTCATGAAGAGATTAATAACCCAATAGGCAGGAGCAAGCGCCATGATCACTGCAATAGTCAAGAACAAAATATTGACAACTAAGATTGTCGGTTTTCTTCCCAGCTTATTGGTCATCTTCCTACCAACACCAGGGATTACCAGCACCAAGTAAAGCTCCCATTACAGCCATGATCATAATGTTTATGTAAGATTTAAACTTGGAGGAGGCCCCCATTCCTCATAATGAGAAACAGCTTATGTTTCTCATGGGGGTATAACCGACATTACACCTCATATAAGTCATTTGGTGGATGTGTGATGTGGCCTCATTATTCTGACGTGTTTTACTTGGTTTGCCAGTTGTATTAATTGTGCGTATTTCACAGTCGATGCCGTTAAACTTCAACGTTTATGGAGTTTTCATGAAAAGTCGAAATCTGGGCGAAACTCAAGTCGAAGAAACCAAATTCGAAGAAGGCACGGATTCCGGGTTTTCAATTCAAATTCTTTGAATCTCAAGTTGAAGAGCTGGGCGAAACTCAACTCAACTCAAAGAGGTCCCAACTCGAACTCTTGGTTTATCCAGGTTCTTTCTGATTCAAGTTCAATTCGAACTTGGGTTCTTGTTTTTTCTCAATTCGAATTGGCTTGTTGTTTTTTCGAATGTTTTAGGGTTGAGGGTCGATGTTCAGTACGTCGATTGTTTCAATTGAAAGAATTATTTCGGCGAGGATTGTTAAGGGTGTTGCAGCTCCAGTTTGGATTTTTTTAGGGTTGCAGATGCAAAACCAAAAGTAAAAATGGTATTACTTCGACTTTAATTTTTAATTTATTATATTATCTGGAATCAAATAGTGGAATTGGTGCGATTATCTGCAACAATTAAACAATGGAATTATTGCGACCACGTTAAGGTAATATTAATTGGATGTAGATGCGTGTAATTATGCTGCTCTGAAATGTTCATTTGATGGAATGAGGTGAATTTTGCATTTGAAATGTTCATTTGATTGAATAAGGTGAATTATTCATTCATTGGTGCTCATTATTCGTTCTATATATGTGATATTGTGTTATGGTGTGAAATCGTATTGATTTGTTATGCTTGATTGTGGGTAGATCAGATTAGATTGAGTATTGTGTGTAATGTAGTTAACACACCGTATTTGATGTATTCATTCTTGACAGGATTATGAAAATGTCAGCGGGGAATGGTAAGCGTAAACGTACAATGGTGAGGGTTTTTGGTTTTTTTAGATATATTCTTTAGGCTGGGGATGTGATTATGTTTTGAATTATGGTTTTATGTTTTGGTAATGAAGGTTGGGGCTGAAGATGAAGAGGGGTATGGGCTCAGTAAGAAGAGTAAGGTATGTGAGCAGAATACCATGCATTTGTATCCAGAATTGTTTAAGGTACTACAATATGGAATTCTGTGCGTGTGAAATTGGTGTTTTTGCATGATTAAGGTTTATGCATGAATTAAGTTATTGGTGTGCTTAGGATGACGGGTTAAGTTATGGAGGGGCTGTCAAAGGTAGAGCGGAGGTGATGGCTGAACATTCAAAGGCCAGAAGTCGGGTAAG